GGATTGTTTATTTGTCGTTTGTTGTTTGTTTGTTGTACTTCATTATAAAGTTTTATTTTCTGCCAGTGCTTCTAAAGACGTGTGAAAAGGTAAACGATAAAGTATTATCGTTACAGTAGTAACATTTATAATAATAATAACCATAATAGCAAAGTCATTCGAATATATTGTGTTTAAACTTCACAATGAAATAATTATAATGTAGGTTATTCAGTTTCAAATTTTTAAACGTAATTGATGGTTCAACAAATATGTAGGTGTTACTTCTTAAGTCATTAAGTCGTTGAATATTTAATAGTACTACTCTTACATAAAAGTTATTAACAGTGTTATAACAGGGTTCATCCCTGTAACAGATGTGCTGGTGACCATAGTGTGCGCACCATTACCTCCTTAGCATTTGCAACCCTAGTATAAATATTATGTAATATCATGCAACTTTTTCCTGTACGAAAACATTTTGTACGAAGAAAAAAAATTATTGAGTGTTTGGCATAAAATAAAATGAAAGTACATGAATACATTGGAGTAACACAATAATTTTGAGCAATAAAGTGAAACGGTCGGTTTTGTAATATAAATACAATTGATTGTTTTATGCTTAGAATATGTAGTTTATATAGAAATTAGAAATCATACTCCTTGCAAATGTTAAATAATAATTTTGTTGAGCCGTATCATAAACCATCGTCAACTTAATAAAGTGATTCGTCATTAATTCTATTCGACTTGTTAACAAAACGATTAATCATTTGACTCGATACAACTGACACTTCCCTAAGCGGTGGTTCAATTAAAAATGGAACAGATTTTAATCAATTTCGACGTGTCACCGTGATTGGTGCATTGGAAGCTTCCGCCATACAATACCTCGTTATCAGAAGATCATGGGCACGTGACACGACAAATAACCGATACAGATCGGCAGATGTCCCCATAACGATTTACACGAGTTCTCCGGACTATCGGATGTTGCTGGCCATTTTTTTAATTGCCCTCTCCGTGATAATAAATTGATTAAATTTTCCGTTGCTTTGATTACCCGTATAATTAAATGTTACAGAGCAACAAAAGATTAACGTTGAAAATCGTCTAGTTTAAATTATCATTTTCGATAAAATCACATTTTTGATAAAATCACCCATCAATTGTTATATATAAATTAATAGTATAACATTAGTTTAAAACAAATATGTTTGTAAGTACTTATTATCTACGCACGAAAGAAGTTATACTTCTTTCGCGTAACAAAAAACTAACTAAGAATTTTATTCCATATGCCAGTAATCCTCGTTTGTGAAAAAGACATTAAACTCGATTGATATTAATTAAATAACTTGGAATTATAGGTAAATGTCAAAAAGTTGGTTGCCATAGTAATACCGTGACGTTGGTCGCTTTGCAACCAACTTCATCGTGTCGGTGTTGATGTACGGGTACGTGCAAATCGTATAAATTTTACTTTCATATTTTTTTCCAGACGCGCTAAAAGAAGTATAAGATCAAAAATCTTACGAACCTATATATTATACAGCGACAATAAATGAACACGCATATAGGGGATAACTTTTTAAAGTTGTATTAAACATTTAAATTCTTTAAAAATCAATATTTACAGAGTTATTAAATTTTCCAAAACAAAAAATTTTAGAACACCCTTACCTATAAAAGCGGAAAGTAAAGTTCATTTGTAAAGGTCACAAAGCTTATGAATGGGTTGAATGAATTTAAAAGAGACAAAACATACTGTTAGAAGGAGAGGCTTGTAATACGACGCTGTGACGCGAGTTGTATAGGATGTTACAAATTTTGTTTCTTTTTCACTTAATTAGTTTGTTTGAAACATATCTTTTTTTAATTATGGGTTTTGTTTAACGTTAATATTTTTTTATGATTTTTCTCAAGTAGCGTTAGACGTGTGTAGATTTATTGTCGCGATGGTAAAGACACGCTGTATATAAATATATATATACATATTTTAATACGACGCTGTGACGCGAGTTGTATAGGATGTTACAAATTTTGTTTCTTTTTCACTCAATTAGTTTGTTTGAAACATATTTTTTTTTAATTATGGGTTTTGTTTAACGTTAATATTTTTTTATGATTTTTCTCAAGTAGCGTTAGACGTGTGTTCATTTATTGTCGCGATGGTAACGACACGCTGTATATAAATATATATAATTTTTTATGAAAAATTTGACGATTCATAAGAACGCGCAAGCGTGTATTTGAATAAAGTAATAATATTTTAGATTGATTGAAAAAAAAAACGTAATTGAAGTTTACTTTCCCTTAATTACAGTAATGTTGCATGTATATAATTACAGTAATGAAGAAAGAAAATTGACGTGACTTTTACGAATTATTTATAAATATAATACGGACAATATCCAATGTATTCTTGGCTTTTTGTCGGGAGGTAATGGCTTTCGCATGCCAAATTACAACGGCAAACTCCAAAGAATGTTTTATGTGCGTCAACCTATGAGCTAGCATTTATTTTATTCAAATGATGTAATGAAGGATTTATTTTATTCAACTCAATAAAAAATTTTATATACCTAATCTTTATGGTTCAGGAGAATTAGAATGTTTATTAATCAAACTAAAATGAGCAGCAACGGCAACAGATGTGTGACGCACGTTTTGATTTACTCAAATACTAAATGCAAGTCTATGTGATCGGAGTGAGCGTTAAATGAGTCGCGATGTACGGTTATAAATGTGAAGTGGGGAACTAAAGTGAAATATATTAAACGCACACAGAATATCGGCACTTGTCTCTTGCTGTTAAATGGCTTGGCAGGGAATTGCTTTGTGTCGCATCCACCAAATGTGGGGCGCACGACGGCCGATCTGTCGGCGTACACTGATTTCGTTATAATACAGGGAAATGTTTCGCTAACGGACATTCTAAATACGCGTATGATTTGCAAGACTTGCTATAACATGCAATAGAGAGAATAATTGCAAAAACATTTATAAAACTGACATAGATATATTACACTTTTATTTTATTTTAACTCAAAGGTAAAAAACTATTACTGACTATTATTTTAGAATAGGGTGTTAGTTCACAGTACCAACGTCTTTAGAAATATGCTATAAAAAACATAATCATAAAAATTTAATAAAAAGTATGAATTGTAACATATTTCAATTTCACTTTCAATGTATTTGCAAAACAAGTGAGATTTTGTTTAAACAAAAAACATCTGCTGATCCTCCAACCGCTTTACTAACAAAACATATAAAACTATTGTTGAGTCTTATTACAATATCATCGCCGTATCATTAAGTCGATCCATACATCGCCACGCGGCATTTGGCGTCGTATGGGACGGCAGAGCGCTTCTGTTATGATAACCATATATTCGTTTTGCCTGATAGTTTTTGACGGGTCGCCTATGCTCCCCCATGCTGGCTAGAGAAGTTATGAAGTTATCCTTTTGGGAAGTTCTACGACATAATTCGTCCGAGGTAAATTAAATCGATTTTGTTATTAAAACTTAAAACAATTATTTGGTGATTACTAGTTATAAATAACATTAATTATTATTGGCCAGTGCTTGTTGTATTAACCAAAGTTTATGAAAGCGTGCCCTATTTTTTATCAAAATGTATATTTTCACTTTTAATATTGTTTCACACCAAGATTGAAAAAAATAACAATTCACTGCAGAAATTACTTTACGCCCGTAAATATCATCAATCACACAAGATAATAAAATCCAACGTTTTTATCGTGCGAAAATGAAAATTACAAATCCCTTGACGCGCCGTCGACACCACCGAAATTGCGCGGAGCAACTTTCTCACATTCAAATCGTAGTTCTGTTTATGGGGGCGAATGTACACTTGATCCCAAGTCCCATGAGACCGCACTTGCACTGGGCTAAATGAAAAATAATTGCGTGGGAGTATATGCTATGACCCATTACCCATTTATTACCAAAGAACTGCTGGTAAATTATTGAAATATCAACAAGCTGTATCATTTTTTAAACATCGAATAATTTCCCATAAGTAGAAAAAATTTGCAACCATTTAACAATAAATTAATAGAAGAACATTCATTACGATAACGCGCATTCAATAAAAGTATATTCTTTAAAAAAAACTTTCCTTAAAAAAGTTTATCTGTTAAATTACCGGCGAATTTACAGCCAACGTTAAATGAAATCATACCGATATCACTATGTTTTTCTTCCCATAAAATTATTTGAAACAAACTCTACACATAATTATGTATAAGATTATAAACACCTTCATCTTTTAACAATTTCTGCGTGCTCTTTTTTCAATATTATATGAAAATATATCGGATAAAACTCGCAGATAACCATATAATTGCCCATTATATCAGCATCGCAACTTCTACAGAATTGTCTACGCGACGCCTCCGTAGCCCTCTACAAACTGGAGCGCCACTTTCTAATCACTTTAAGTGCTTGCTACGATTTGTAACACTTCTTTATGCCATGCAACTAAAGAATGAGATTTCATTTGAAATTTATGTCCCATTAGTACTAAGATCATTAGAGAGTTTATAAGAAAGGTGTTAATCGATTTGTTTAAAAAAGCTTTACCAACAGACCTCATTTTGGTAATATAAAGAATATGAATATATATAAATATGATGAATGTTTGATCCTTGATAAAAAATATTATGAAGCTTTGAATAAAATCGTCAAACATAAAGTAATCCTTTCCTTGTAAGAATTATAATAATTAATATTCCAGTGCAATTAAGCAAAGAATCAAGTCGATAATTGATAAGTATTATCATTTAAATTAATAAAGTTATATTAAGATATATGTTACATTAAATAAATTATATTGAAGTAAGTAATATTAAATATCCAGTAGATTACATATGTATAAGTTATGATTTTTTGTAGTGTTGGTTTGCAAATAGACATCGAAGCCGAGTCGGCTCCCGAATTGGGGGTGGTCAGGAGTGTGAGAAAATACAAACGATGTTAATCGATTGCTCATAGCGAATTATCGTTTGATCTCTGGACAGTAGGCACGGGCATCCCGTGGGAGAGGCGGGACACGGCGCGGGGGCGCAATCGAGCGTACCTCCCGCCAGTTCCCATAGCGCAGAGTCTCGGCACTGTATTTGTTTCTACCGTATCAAATGTCACGGACTTCAGAGCGATTAGTCGTGCGACAGAATTCTAACAGATAAGCTCGTAGAAATCTGTCAATTTTTGTTATGAACGTCAATTATCCTGTCGTAAATCGTATACTGCACTAATATGGCGTAAATCAGGTTATTTTAAAGATTGATTCTGAGGCAAGAAGATGCAGACAGCTAATATTTGGCCTTTGGTGGAGACCTAAATTATTAGACAGCTTAATGTATGCTGTTAATCATTTTGTAATACGGAAATAAAGCTTTTATATATGCATGTATTCAATTAAAAATTTTATTGATTACTAAATTCTTACCTCCAGATATAAAATCCAAAAAAGTACCCAAAAGGTCGGCTATCTCCCCTGTGCATAGATGGTAAGGATCGAAATAAAAATTCCCTTGCATTACTATGCTGAAAGACCAGAATACACTAGTCCATGAAGAAAAGTGAACTAATCTCTCGTCAATTTTGCCAAGGTGGACCTATAGGCCCCCTCCGACCGCCTTGTCGTGGCGGAGGGGCTTAGTAACCGTGGCTTGGTCACCCACGGTGAAGCCAAGAGGAATCCACACTAGGCCGGCCTGTGGTGAAAGGCCGACCCAAGAGAACTCGTTGAGCTCACTCTGGACGCGTGCTGGAATGTGCAGAGGACAGGTCAACGGTGGTAGAGGAGGAGCCACTTTCCCTGTCCTCTGCTACCAAGGAGGAGTCGCAGATGAAGAGGAGTGTCGGTATCTCCTACCTTTCTCGTATCTCCCTACCTTCCAAGGCCGAAACGTGGTGAACGGCGGAGCCACAGACCTGGACCACCTGTGGGTGCTGGGAGTCTTGTTGCTTATAAGCACTGGCTCTCCTGGCTTACCTGTGGTCAGCGAACTTGTTATGTTATGTATGCTACGATCGAAAATGTTCCAGCGTGCCTTCCTAGAGTAGAGGAGAATTATTCCACGAGAAGGAGATACTAAGGCGGCTAGCACTAGCAGGGTCGCGGAAGCGTTTCCGTTGCCCTGCCGACATGCGCCTGGGTGGAACATCGTGGGGGTTTTAGTCAGTGCGAATCCGACATAACCTGTCATTGTCCCCGCGAGGGCGGGTATGCGTAGGCATTTCTCCCACGTTACCAAAAGAAAGGTGGACCTATAGGCAAAGTTGTACACTTGAGGAGAATTTAAACAAGCCTGATTTTTTTATTTGATTAAATCATATGATTTTTACTTAGTTTCCTAATAATTTTAGCCCATATGTCATTCATACCTTCACGGTGAAGACAGAAAAATAACATAAATAAAAACTCTTAATTCATAAACTTGTTTTCTGAGAAACAGGTTTGGAATTAAAAAGTTTAGGATCAAACCTAAGCGGCGAGTAACCTTTTGACCGGAACGCAATTCATTATCCACACTCGACTTAACTGTAGCTTCTGTAAACAACATCCGCAAGCTGCGGGTTAGTCCCAACACGATAACAATTTAAAAGATCGCTGGACAAACAACACTGAAATGACAGTGAAAATGTTACCCCCAATAAAGTTCGAGTAGTGGATAATTGTGGCAAGTGCATCGAATCGCTCGCGAACTGAGCATGCGTGCACGCGTGTGGCACGTGGCGCCACGTGGCGGACACCTGCGTGGGAGTCCACCCGACGCCCCATTGTCGCAGATATGACAGACTGATATCGTACATTATAATGCACAATCGGTGTAATCTTATTATTGAAGTGTTCATCTTAGTGTGTGTAAGTGGAAAACAAAACATGATAAATCTATTAATCGTTTTCATTGAGTGCCAACTTTTAAGAACTTGGTCTTAAACAGAGCCTGTTCAATTATTAGTACCTATTTATTTATTTCATTTAAGTTCCAGTCAGAAAGTTCAGTCAAAATAATATCTGTGAATATAATTAAGGTTACACATATATTATTTGTCAAATATGTTTTGATTGTTCGTACGTCATAATTTCCATAATTCTTCATCAAATTTAATGATTCAAACACAATTTTAATTCTAACGAAAAATAAAAAATTGAAATGTTTAATGTTTTCATTAAAAATTGTTCGTTAAAAAATTTCTTATAAACAATATAATATGATCATGCCAGCTTAAATGAATAATAGGGCGGTAGACTGTTCGTCAATATAGCCTTTGATTGACAAATACTTATTAACACTATAATTATATTACCATTCCGTCAATCCGCAGTGGGGTCCCGTGGTAAGGCTATGCCCTCGGTACAGAGGCGGCCTCTGCCCAGTAATGAGATATATAGGCTGTTACTTTACGTTCTTTATGTTAAGATTTGGTGACTCATAACGGTATTGTGCGAAAATTCCACACAGGTCAACTAGTTGAAATAATTCCTTATATGCTATAATCATTGTTTTATTGCTATTGCAAATTCATTATAGTACAGAATGCATGTGATATTACAATAATTGTTTCGAGACTGACGTATCCCTTGCGGATGGCCAACACGAGATCTTAGATCCCACAGACTACTAGATTGAATTTTAACGACTACTCCCTGACGGCCATGTCAATCTTTATTGCTTTAACGGCTTCATGTTCGTTGGATGGTGCAGTTTAGTTTCGTAAATGCACAAAACTATTAAAGCCCTTGATGCCTAAACTAACAATAAATATAGGTAATCCGAAATCTTGCCGAATAGCAGCCCAAAAAGTAAGTATAATTATGTTTATACTCTACAACTCAAGATAGTTTGGGACTCCCAACAAATATTTTTTAAAAGTTTTTTAATTAAAAAATTCCTCCATTAGAGCATGGCTATATTAATAGATTTTGACTCGTATCAATAACGTAAAAAAAGAATCTATTAAGAAATGAATAAAAATATGCATCAGAGAAGTAATCTTACATTCTGAATACTCTTATACGAGTAGGATACTTTCAGCGCTCAAAGGTTAAACGCAAAAACATTCACTTCTACTAATCTCTACCGCTGTTCTTTTGTTACAGAACCAAAACCGTCTGCGATTATATAGAATTTATTGAGTCGGACGGAGGCGTGCAACATGGCTTGATGGATTAAATTGCCCCATCCCTATGACAACGTGGGCACGGAAAAAATACGCTCACTGCGAAACAGCTGGTCATTTTTCAAGCGATTCCTTTTGCTCTGCGCAAAAGTTGCAGGTGCGCAAGCTTTTTTAAAACGGCTACAATGTGAGCGGAATTGTTTTACGAGCGCTCTACAATCATATTACTTTTGTAAATGAACCATTGCCTCGTTTTATGTACTTATTCGCTTAGTAATATTCCTGATGTTAAAACCTTTATTTACACATATTAAAATTATTCCCGTTTCAATTAAAAATTCTTTGAGTACAATATGGCAATTTGCTTATGCTATGATTTATAGTAAAAGTAACATTTGCAGTAGAACTCTGAACGCCTTTTCATCTACGAGTGTACCATAAAAATTAACTTATCGTTAAAATTAGACAAAGGCAAACCATAAATTTCATCTAGCAATACAACTCTTCATGCAAGATTTCCAACTAGAATGGACATCAAGTATAAAACAAATAAGAAATAAACAGTGTAATAAAAATACCTAGCTACACCGTTATATAAATTACTCGTAAATAACGCGAAGTCGAAAAGCCCATGGAATACCGACGTATCGCCGTTGCACCCTCGAAACCGACGGAGTAAATACAACGTTCACCGCTTCGCTTCCGCCCAATTTTAATTGTGATACGTGAATTCGCATTTTCCGGGCGAGTTTTAATTATCGGGAGTCGCGCGCGCCTGAATTACGCGACCGCCTTCGGTATTTATGGCGGGCCCCCGCCCGTTGTGATACACTTTTTAATGTAATGAGCGCCCGTTGCCACGCGGGGCGCTCGCGTTGCCGTTCTTCCCTTTCGTATTAATTTATAATGTCCTAGTGCAAACACGATAATATTCGTACGGTCTCGAAAGGAAATTACTCCTGATGCCGAAAATTTTTATTTCTTTTCACTCTTCATCGTATGTGTATTAATTTTTCGGTAGTAATCTTACGTCTCCGATAAAAAAAAATCTATTTATTATGTATAACGTTATTTTCGATCTAAGGTAATAAAATATAATAAAGTTGCTCTTAAAGACAAAAATTATGTACCGTTTTAATATCGGTAGCCTCAGTAATCTAGGGACAATTTTTAAATTATTTATAGAAAAATATTTAATGGGTTACCAAATGTTCTAAAAGGTTAAAGTATTTTTTAATTTATCGACTCTTTATCGTTTTAATAAAAAAACACACACTGTTTTATTACTTGTAACAAAACAATAAACATGTTAAACAACAGTCATAAACTGTGCCAGAATAAAACGTCATCGTAAATAAGCAAAAACTGCAAAAAAATATGGAACCTATTACATACTTTGTACTCGAAATGTAAATAGTCAATAAATCATTAATATACTTACGTCATGTTTTGATTTTAATAATTCAGATGTCGCCACGAACTTGGCCGATACGGGAAGGGAAGTTCGCAGAACGGTTCTCATCTTCGAGAATATTAAATTAGAAACGACTCACGGCAAGTCGCTTGCAAGTTATATACATGATCAGTAATGCTTCGGTTGCGAGGACTACTGCCGAGATCGCATTAATCATTCATCGGCACGTGTGACTTACCCGAGCTACGTAAAAGTGCGCGCCTGTTATGAAATTAGCCGCGTTAACCGCGAATTGTCTGCGTTTTTCTACGAGAGGCCATCCACAGACGAATTACTGGACATTAATTGGACAACGAAAATTGTGTGACAGGTGTGGCAGGATTATTTTTCAGACTGACACCGTATTCCAATGGTAGAACACGTCCCGAACGCAGACGCAGAGTCTTGGCTAGTCAACGTTGAAAAACCATATAAATCTTGTAACAATTTCTTTTATTATCCCGCGAATGTGTATGCTACATACATGATAAATTCAGACTATTTTTTTTAGTTTCACTTCAAAAAATATAATTAAACACCAAATAAATCGTACTCACACTTTCGCTAGAGGTAAATTATACGTTTGCGTAACTTAAAAATTTTCGGTGGAAAGACTAACGAAGACAAACACTTCCGTTCTTTTTCTAAAGGCGTTACAAACTATAAAACGATTCAAACTACTGCTGTGTCGCAAACATCTTCGTTAAAACGGACTGTATATTGAAACTTTTTTGTCAATGGATAATACTGCGGAGCGTGTAGTTCGAACAGGGATGCGTCAATCCTGATACTATATGCGATCAAGTATATATAGTATAGCGAGTATAAAGCTGTACATACCTGTACCCTAGCTTCTGTCAGGTCTATCTTCATGGCGATCTCCTCTCTCGTGTAGATGTCAGGGTAGTGGGTCTCCTGGAAAGCGCGCTCCAGTTCCTTCAGCTGGGCGGACGTGAACGTGGTCCGGATGCGGCGCTGCTTCCTCTTCTCAGTCAACGAGCCCTCATTGCCGCCGTACATCTTGTATGGGAGGCCGGCTGTGGACCACATTGACGAGGTTACATTAGAGCTAACATTGAGTACTTGTAAAACTTATCGCGAAGTTGTTGGACCAACGATATGAATTACAATTTAAAAACATGTAGCAAAAGCATGAAACCAATATTAATTCCTACTGATTTGTTTTATCTTTACTGCTACTCTACTGAAGGTATAATATTAAAATGAGAGTTTGTTGTAGAATAATTGGCGAAAAAACTTTTTTGCTTTTTAATTATAGAAACATTACATAATTTTAATCTGAAGAAGCCTAATTAAATAAAATACAAATTAATAAAAGGTACCTGGAGGACCGAGCTTTGCTCAGTTTGTTTTTTTTTTTTGGTAAATCGTGTATTTTGGAAATTATATTTAAATACAAATAACTAAGTAATGAAATATGCATATTATTCTTCGATCTTACTGACGTAATAATAAGAAAGTATGGACTGATGTTTTTTACAAAAGAAATAAATTAAAAAAAGGAAAAAAATAAAAATCGACAAAAAATTAAAAATAATGAAAGCAATGATCTGAAATCGAAAAAAAAGTAAAAAAATAAGTGTGTAAATGATCGTGATACGAACCACAGCTTCCGTTTCGGGGCCGCCCGATTACCGACCGAGCTATTACAACATTTTTTTTTTCGTTGAAATTTACCGTCGTATTCGAATGATATTTTTCATTCCCTAAAAACTGGGATAAAACGACATTTTCTAAAAATGTAACCTAGCCATATCGGTTTTCCGCCCCCGAATCTACGCACATACTAAATTTCATGAAAATCGCTGGAGCCGTTTCCGAGATTCCGATTATATACAGGACTTGCTCGTTTAAAGGATAAGATAACAATCTAATTTCTTTCTAATTCATACCTGGCGACTTCTGTCCTATAGGAGTTAATTTTTGACGATTGCCAGTATTTTTCGGGAGTTGTGATATTTTAGAAAAAATCGTTTTTCAGTTAATGGATATATACATGTATATATAAAATAGGTGTTTGTGGTACTTTTTTGCATTTTTAAATTATTTTTCCGTATTTGCCAAAAAACAACAATTTAAATTTGCGCTCGCTTTTAATTTACATCTTTTGGTTGATCACTATTTTTATTTTACTTTACATAATTGGAAAATATAAAAGATTATGGTCATATACGTACATTAGCAGTTCAAACTAATTTCAGTTCAATTCAACTAATTAGTCTCATTCAACAGTTCAACTCTACACAAAAATAAATGCTTGAATTTATGTTTGTTAATTATTGTCTAATTACAAATCTGATTTTTATTCCTGCTTAATAGAAGTAATGTGTGGTGGCAAAGTATCTGCAATACTTCGGGTGTTGCAAATGACCATGCGCACCGGTTATCACTTAACATCAGGTGAAATGCCAGCTCGCTTTCTAACATAAAAAAATGAAAAAGGAGCAATTAAGAAAGCGGTTCAAATAAGAATGCAAGATATCATATTTGGTACATTTTTTTATTACACAAAATTTTAAATTAACGATTTTTTTTTGAATATTGAAAAACAAACTACGTAAAAGATAATAGTTTAATAAAAATAAATTTAAAAGAGCAAGTGCATTAATTTATCCCGCGCTTGAAATCATCTTTGAAACAAGTTAAATTAGAATAGATCACAGAAATCCTGAACGTTGGAAGACGCAGGTTGTACGGGGCGGCCATTTTTGTCTCCCTTCCGGCATGTCGCACCCTCTCCGCTTTATGTACCTACAAGCCTGCAATGAAATGAATTTTATACCTACGCCTCTTTTGTTTATCTTCGTGTGTAAACAAAGCCATTTTAATTAACAGCGTTTTATTCATATTTAAAAGCGTTACGTTTTCCGTTTCCATGCACATTTTTAACATGAGAATTTTTTTTCACTCAATACAAACCGAAAAAATGGTACTTAAACAAATTAAATGACATTGCTATTATTATAACAAATATATGATGGATTTCTTATGACTGTCCTATGTAGATACCTTATTCAACATAATATTAATATAATAACTAATATTACGTATATTTAAAAATAAAAAACACAACGTGCATTGAGAAATAAAAAAATAAAACATTTTGATTTCATAATGTGTTAATCCGTATTTATAAATCATATTACAAGTATTTTTCGGATGTGAAACATGATAACGATTTGCATATACGAAGATAAATGAAAGAATGTATGACCTAAGAACAGTACAATGGAGATTTCCAACTTTTCCATTACAGATAGGTAGTTTTAGACAAGAAAGAAAAAACCGTAGCGTTGAATTGTCGTGTGAAATACGTATCGATCGTAGCTCTGAGCTACGCCTTACAAGTAACTCGCTACGAAGAATATTCGTAGCGATTTACTTGTAAAGCGCAAGTAAGTACAACACCCCGTATCTCTCATACTTTTAAAAGTAACTTATCCTTTTATACTGGGAAACTTTATTTCAGATAGTTAACTAGTAGACTGATTTATTTGAGCTTAAGGTATTATTGAGCATACTCGAGCAACCTGAGTTCGATCCCCGGTGCCGGCACCAATGAAGTTTTTAACTTTAAGTGCTGACTTATCACGTGCTCCGCGGTGAAGGAAAACATCGTGAGGAATAATAATAAGAATATTTTCGAAATAATAACAAGAAAATATATATTTCGAAAATATGTGAAGTCCGCCAATCCGCAGTGGGGCCGCGTGGTGAACTATGCCCTGATACCCTCTGTATAGAGGAGGCCTTTGCCCAGCAGTGGGACATGTATTGGCTGTTACTTTATTATTGAGCATGGTAAGAGTTTTGTACATTTTTAATGACAAATCTTTATAACGTAATAATATTGCAAATTTAAAAATGACTTTCAATTTATCGTTTTAATTCGGACTGAAATTGTAAAAAGGACATTAAAAAATGTTCATCATCCGTGTGTCGTATGCATTCAACTCGGCAACATTAAACCTTTCGCACCCATTCACCCTTCAAATACAAAGTGACTATTTTTCAATTTGTCAATTAACATATCTGTCACACTTGCAACACTAAACCATGCATAATTTTGACTCAAAACTGATCGTACATTACGAATTAAAAGGATATGCAATATAGTGATTAAATGCAGTTGTTCATGTAAATGTGTGATTAGCTTTCTAACAGTCCTTTTTTTATTATTTATTTAACAGGACATTAAATGAACTAATAGAGTAGGGAACGAAGGAACTGGACTTACGTCAGTATGTTACTGGCAAATGAAAGTGTGGCAGAGAGACGCTACTGGGAAATAATACGACGGGTGTTTCATTAGGGCCATAAGCGTGGTCCATTAGCCGGGCTTTAGAGACATTAGACGTGAGGACGCGGCGCGGCCCGGTCCGCACCGCAAACCGCACTCGCAACGACAATTACCTCAAATGAACCGGAATTAAGCGGGACTCGCTTCTTGGCCAGGCTGCGGTCTCATTTGCATTATTAATAGAGGATGGGAGACACGAGATGGGGCGGCGGGGTGGGCACTTGTCATTGCCCCCCGCGCGCCCCACCCCGCCCCCCCGTGCAATTTGCGGGACCTAATGAAGAGGATCTTGGCAAGATGTTTCCGTTCTTATGATGCTTAATTCGAGTTTGCAGTTCGCGGGTCAGGCGGACTACGCTCATTGTTATTACCTCGGTATAATATTGCGTAGCCCTCAAGCGTAGCCACGCGTTGAATAAGCATTATGAATTTGTCTCATTTTGTATACAAATTTTATTTTACTTCAATACTTTCAAGGCAGTTTTATTAATGTTAATTGTAATTAATCTGTTGACTATTTAATACATAAGATGCTAAATACAGTTCACTAAGTAACCTGACTCATAAAATATACAATTTCGCTAGACTCTACATTTTAAACACAGATATTAAGATAAGAGAACATTTTGTAATTTTCATTGAATAAAAATGTAAATAAACATAATACATCCCATACAATATTAAAAGTATATAAAAACTGTATTTAGTTATTATTAATTAACGAAATCGATGAGTTTGTAAAATAAGACCCGTAACCAGTAGTAAATAATAATATGTTTTACCTTGATAAAAAAATTATTACTTTTTTAAATAATACAACTCCCAAACAAACTCATTTAGTTCGCGTCAATTCTTATTTAGATGGAAACAAGATATGCACAAATCTCTACATAGTTCCACGTGTCAAAATCACGATGCGCGTGTTGAATTTAAACCGCGTGTTAGTAAATAAGGCGCTCACGGGAACGCGTGGCGTTAATTAATCGTCAGAGACCGATTAATTCGCAGGTGATATGATCCGTAACCTCCCACAGCGCAAGCGGCTTGCCTCCCAGCCTTTAATTACGCATCGTAGCGACTACGTACAGGGTGTTGAGGGAATTTCTGCATCTTGCCTGCTGTTGCGTTCGTGACTTTCATTTGTTTGTTTTCAACTGACTTCAAAAAAGGAGGAGGTTCACACAACGGTTGTATTTCGCCATTTGTGAACTAATTTCGAATATTATTTTTGCTTTGGTTCGTTTCCATATTACATTAATTTCATTGGTTTTGAATCTCGAAGCCTGAAGATACATCAGGGAACTCCCAAAAATCAAATAGAAAATGTAAAGTGAGTGAAATTTTGTATCGCTTTTATTTTTGTCAACCTTATTTATAATTATTTGTTATGTTCTTAAATTATTCTATTAAAATGATTTAATTTTCTCCGTTTAGTCTGAACAAAAAGCAACTTTCCAAATAAAATCTTTGTTCCGTATCAGAAAGACAGTATACATTATATTAATTTCATTTGTAAGAGCCGTTAAAAGAAACAAAAATTTGGAAGAATCATTGACACAAAGCTGCAAACTAAAATTTACCACATACGCAGTGTCTGCTGAATCAAAATTCACCGCGTCAGAAAGCTTTCACAGAGAGCTTCACGCGGCCGGATGTAGTAGAAAATGGTAGTAAATCGTTTCGCCATCCATCTAGGTGGGCCTCGGTTCATTTTTCTCGCGTCACGCGAAAAGTTCCCCGACATCCATAATGCAAGCGCTGTCGGCATGTCATCGCGGCATATTGCGCTGTGCCGCTCGCACTCCGCGGCAAGGGTTAGGTGTAGATTAATGGACCCGCGCTTTGCGAACATTGCCAACTTCAAACGGCCTCCAGCTTATAAAGAACTCTAAGAAACAGTATTACTTCTAAAGCCACTCATACGTTTCTCGAATATTTACTCTGGCTGTTTTCGATTCGCTTGTCGATTCGTTTTTGTTCGCTTTGCTGTTATTGGTTTTGTTTTGTTTTTAATTGATGGTATTATTGTAAGCCAGCGTAAAAAATTCTGTTCACAATCGCGATTAAATTTCAATGCGGACCATGACATAAAAGGCAGTGTATATGGCTCCTCACAAAAGATATAAAAAGCTTATAAGCTTAGTGCACATTGGCAATATATTTTATATTTGCAAATAAACATGTGGGTAAATTTACGTAATGGCAGCAGTAAAATACGAGCATTTGGATGTCGGAGTTAAATTGTACCTTTGAGGAGCTCTAGGTACTCGTAAAAATGAGGATAATGGAATGACAAGGTAATATTTGATTTAGCCAAAAAAAATTCTTATCTTGAATTAACGAAAAAATACTACTTATAACTGTTACTTCGATGTAAAATTTCCATTTTTTTTTTTGGAAAATATTGTTTTGTTTCTAATCTTTCCAATTTTAAATTAGTTACAATTTTTTTGATATTTTATAATTGTGTAGTGCTTTAAAATTTTCGGATTATTTCGAAATTAAAACTTGATGACATAAGTCATTCACTTGATAACATAATCAATTTCGAAATAGTCTTCATTTTAAAATAAAGTCCATACATAACTTTGATTTAAGCAATATTATCATAAAATGATAGAAGGGTTTCATTGAAATGACAATAAAGAGTTGTAAGTATGACACAATGCTTCGAATCGTTTTCGGCGAGTCGAAAAAGTTTCTGTTCGGAAAAAAATATTAAATAAACGTCGATTCTACGGTTGGATGTAGGGTTGTAACATTGTAGAAGTTACGATCGCGGCTCACGGCGCTGTTCGACTGTGAGATATTACCTTTTTTATGGCCCACTCCACCATACTACACTTTACTGGGACAGAATAGATCACATGATGCGATAAAATATCGCCCCCGGTCCTAGCTGCAAATCGAATTAACCCGTCCACTTGCATGCGAAGGCGACATGAGAATAGAAATTGCGATATTGGTTTAGGATTCCGAAACTATTTGTGTTTTCGCGCGCCGTTACGCGTCGTGTATAAAATCATGTGGGTTGTCTATGGAAATTTATCGGATAACATTTGTTCCGAGTCCGACGAATGGACCGAAATAACATGAGATAGGAACGTATCGTTTAAATAGCTTATAATATAGTAATACGTTTAATCTTTACATTATTCCGATAACAAAATCAAAAATTAAAAAATCTTAAGCCTCATTATTCATTGTTATTTAAAGATATGGCAATGAAAAATTATGCTAAAAACTGAAAAAAGAATTCAAAATTCTAATCTATTAAACCTAACACATATTCATATACACAATTAATTATAATTAAAGAAGGTTTTTAGAACAATTGAAATGATAGTTACTCTCTTACTTGTTAGACGTTAGTAACAAATATACTTACTTAATCTCAAATAAGGCGAAAAGAAACAAACATTTAATATCAAACGATGAGAAAGCAAGAAATGTAACAAGGTTTTCCGTTGATAACAATATGTCGCCAGAGAACTACTCGTGGGACCGTAATTTAATTCACTTGTCGCAAATCTTAGTGCAAAACATCTTAACATCACCCAACCCTGTAATTCTTGTAATTGTTCCACAATTAATACGCAAACTTGTAATTAATTTCCGTATGATTAACGGGCATAATCCGGGATTACTCAAAATTACGTGAGATACCGCCTTAGGTGAGTTATTGTGTTGCGTGGGCGTCGCAGGGGGAAGGGTGTTGCGCGGGCAGGAAGGAAAGATCCTCCGTCAGTTGACAGTTAGGAAAAATGTCGCTCGATGTCCTAGCATGTTCTTTCACATAACACCTGAATTTGACAACGTATATATTCATGGTTTTTTTTTCAATTCATTTATTACTCTATACATACAGTATATGAGATATATAGGTCTTATCTTAGTTATTTTAATTACCAACGTAATTTTTATGTGAGGTTTTCACTTGCATTTACATACATTTAATTTATAAAATTTTGAAAATAAAAAACTTTGCGTAACATCTTCGTACTAGACGATTATCTGATGTAATCATAGTGCCAACCAATTAATAAGCTTAAAATCATCGGCATATAATTCAATATAGAAGCATTACATACTCATTGCTTGCAAAATACTACTACTTCCGGTTCGGAAAAGCAAAAGCCATTGATCTCGAAACTCGGCGAATTTTTTTTAAATTAGACTTTTAATTACGAATATTTTTAATTCTTTAGGCGTAAACAAAACCGGATGAACGGGTGCTATCAATTTAGCGGTCCAATCGATATCTCAGCGGTGGCGCGCTCGCATCCCTACCGCGCGCCAGGGCCGCAAGACAGACTCGAGCCCGTGTCCTCCCCTTAAGATTCTCGCGGCCGCCGCTGCCAATTAGAGGCGCAATCGCTCACGCGGCGAGTCTACCCCCGCCCGGCGCCCGCCCACCCCTGCTCTTTGTTCCATGACCGTCGCAACCTCCCGTCCCGGCACTCGCTCCAAATGAAAACGATTTCACTTGGCCGATACGTAAAGGAGCAGCGATAATTGGTTAGTGCCCCCCGTGTTGTTCACGTTTTTCCATGTTCTTCTCGGACTGTGGTAGATGAAACTCGCATTAAAGAAACTGTACCGTACAAGCACGACGTGCGTTTTTTTTGTTTATTAATTTTTTTCAATGAATACGATTCCAACGTTCTTGAGAAGCGATGTAATACTATTAATGTAAGACGGTAATTAAGATTTTCTTTGTTATGTAAGGTACAATATTAAAAAAACGAATAACATCAAATAGTTGTTACTTTGTTTGAAAAAACAACTAAATCGAAATAAAAAGTATCACGGAAGTATATAGAACTTTTAGTAAAGATGTTAAATATAAACTGACGACATAAAAACAATAACTACTTTTTTTATTTGCCATTATTAATAGCAAATTATGATTAAAATTATGATTTCTTATTTGCTATTATTTAACAATATAATAAATAATGAAACGAACAATATATCACATATTATATAGCACATATTTAGCATCATTTAGCAATGGCGTCTCTTCTCTATACAGTCAAAAATCCTTATCCATAATTCCTTTGTTCGCGTTTTTACTATTCGCGAATTAAAAAAATGCTACCCGATTCTTAAATTCGCAGATAAACATTTCTTTATTCGCGTATTTAATCGGTACATATACGTATTATGTAAATAAAAAGAAAACGCGTCGACAAATAGACTACTATAAAAGTAAAACAGATCTTATTACAACTAAGCGTAAAGTATGAAGAACTGAAGTCATACACATTGAAACCATACTAGAAGAAACTGTGGCCTGTTCTGACCGCAGAAAATGACGAAGAATCTGGTCAAATTCAAAACTTAACTGCAGACATTGCCGAAATTTTGAATGACGAGATAACGTCGGACAGATAGTAATCGAGACACATTCTGGTACTTGAATCGTAAAATAAAGATTTGATTGAAACCGACTTGCAGGAGATGTTAAATCCACAGTCCATTGAAGTAGAGGCTTTATCAAACACGTTTCCAACGTGAGATTTAATTTAAAACATCTAAGTGTATAATGAGTTTTGTAATTTCTTGATGAAAATTGATTCATCGGTGGAACTAGGTCTTACTTTTAAGAGGAAATTGCTAATGCAACTGCTGAATATCAGTCTGAGTTGAAGGAGCTTTTAAAAACTGCCAAACAAAAAAAACGAATTTATTGCCTAAGCCAGACGATAATAATTAATCAATATTGTCAAACACGTTTTGATTTTTTGGTTTGCCACCTAGGAACGTATAATCCCTATAATCCAATATAAATTGCCAATTCATATTCAAGGTTTCTGTATTCGCAACGTATTTATGGAACATGTTCCCCGCTAATAAAGAGCTAATAGTATATATAAAATAATATAGTATATGATTTACACCAACATAACATAAAAACTATCAAATCAATTGAAAATGAGTAGTACAAACAAATAAATGGATAAATATACATAGGGAGAGGACTAGTCAAAAACTTTTATAAACAATTGTTGATGTCTCAAGAATAGCCGTAGCCTTTTTTTTTTTTCAAACTTTCTTAATTTGCTGCTTGGTAAATGTATTGGTTAATAAATGAATAAGACTCAAAGTCCTGACAATACACCCGTATAAAATAAATTGTTTTAGACACAATATAACATGTATGCCGTACTCGCTAATAAGACCTTAAATTTTAAATAAAAAAAGGATAATAAAATATTTTCTTTAAGACCCCTACAACTCCTGCTTCTAAACATCCGATCATCATAATATTAACATACAGACTTAGAGGGCTACATTAGTAACTCCACTCGTATGTGGTAGGCTCAACCATAGGCTTCAAAGCATCTTTTTAAAGCAAGAAAGACTAATTCAATGAACTTTCATCTGTGAAAATTGATTCTTCAGTACTTTGAAAGCTAACGATTTTCTCGTACTTTTATTATTATCTATTTACTGTCATCGATGTCACTGAGACATTCTTGTAATAGTATACCACTTTGACTACGTGTAATTAATTCTTTTATTTTAAAACGGTGATGGGTTCTTATTCAATTTCTTGACCCGAACGCCATTAGATGGTTAATATTTCATGGTACTCTCATAAAATTGAGTATTTTCAATACATAACATTCACAAATAATATTATATTATCAGAATTATAAACACCACGTTTTGTAAGTATTTTTAATCTTCATTTTCTTTAACGAATGATATTATTCTGATCAAATCATTAAGTAGTTAAGCAACTTTCTTCTTTTCAGGTATAAATAAGCACCTTCAATAAGCTATTTGTAAATATGTGTTCATTTTGATTATCTAATAAAAATAGAATTGCGAAGTTAGTAATTCAAATTGTTAGTTATTTATTCAAATTTATGATACACGACTTTTTTAGACAATTTGATCTATAACTGGCTTAAAACTTTTTTGTTGTCAGTGGTCCTTCTTTTGTCATCTTTTGGAGTATTATCGCCCTAATGGAATAGTGAATTACCAGGAAACAACTCTTTTTTAGAATACCATTTCCTGGTAAGTTTACCAAAAATTCTTCCTATCATTAACACAAACTTCATTATGCTTTTGATAAAACTATTAAGGAATTTATCGCTTTCATTTAGCTCTTTTTTAAATTCATGATACTTTTTCCATGGTCTTATTTGAATTATTTTACTTTTAATATAGGTGCTTATGATATCTCAAGATCGTTTTTGTTTTAAATTAAGTTTTCATTTCTTAAATTATAGGGTTCAAAATGTTGGTAGCAGTGTCACCCAATCATCTTTACTATTAAAATTGGTTTCCTTCTTTATTTTACGTTTCTTATTTTATTATTATTCTTTATGTTTCTTTATTTTAGCCTCATAAATCATATTTGAAAGATATCGCGAGTCGAAAATAAAAAAAAACGCGATAAAATCCGTAAACTTGTAATAAATGTAAATTAAATTATTTTTAGAACTTAATTCATATATAGAAATTGCGATTACTTTTAGGTGCTCTTTAAGTTAAACAAGTTGACTGTTTAAAGAACCGATTTAAGTAACAATAACAGAAAATTTATGTTTATAAATATATCAAAAGTAAACGTAAAAAGGAAGTTAACGGCCTATATAGGTTGAGTATTGCAACATATATAGGTATTATGTGCCACTATTGAGCAAAGGCCTCCCGTGTATGGAGATTAAAATATGCAGGTTTCTTCGTGATGATTTTATTCACCATTATGCACGTGATGAGTCGGCACTTAATTATTTCAATTCTGTCGGTACCAGGACTTGAGCTCTGGTCAAGCATATCGATTGATTAAAAGGGATGGTCGGACATAGAGATATCGCGGCTTTGAATTTGGTTGTTCATATTGATAATAATAGTTTAATAGCCATTGAAAAATATTATTCAAATGAGGCACGCCATATGAAGCTCCTGTCATAAAAAATTTGCAAATATTTGATTTTCAAAATACACAGGTGTCAACTTATTTTAATTTTTGATTATTTTTAATATATATCCAGTATTTACAACAATAAATCTATCTAAATTATTAAACTATATGTTTTGACTATATAATCATGGTACCATACCATGGTACCACGGTACTAAGATTAAATAGAGTTCTAAATATATCACAAATAATTACATCAAAAGTAATAAAATTTGATAAGTGATAAGTCAGCAGATTAGTTAATGTTTATCGCACTTTAATTTGCATAGAATAAATAATGGAACAGCCTATAAATGTCCCACTGCTGTGCAAAGCCTAATCTGTACTGAGGGAATTAGTTATATTTATATTACGCTGAACATGTGATAATTTAGCAGATTAATTAACAATTTCTTTGGTGGCAGCACCGGGGATCGAACTCAGGTTGCTACATTTAATAGCTGTAAATATTCAATTTGTTTACGGCCTTGCCTTCTTGAAATTAAAAGCGAGCGCCCGGACAGTGACATTGATGATTAATTTCCGTACAATAAACAAAATAAAAAAACGTTTTCTGTATGAATGTAATAAAGTATTTTACATGTTTTATGAAATATTTTAACCGTAACCACTCTCTACGACTCTACGACGCTACGAACGTAGCGAACTTGAACGTGTGCGCGTTTGAAATGAATAAAATGTTTCGTATATTTATTTATCTCCATCACGATCTTCACAATTCAGTATTATTCGAAGAATTAACATTGACTTGAACTAAATAGTGTTAACTGTTATTATTTATTTCGACATAGTTCAAAATAGAGTAAATATTTATTATAAAGGTTAACACTATTTTCATAAAATATGACTTAGTTAGATAAAGCCATACAACATTTACTCTTATCTGCATTTTAACAAACATTTACGAGTTGCTTGCTTGGGCATCAAATAATCAAAAAGTGTTAAACATACAATTTGTTATCTTAAAATTTAAGTAGAAAGCTAATGTTGCCTTTAACATGGTTCCTTTTTAATATCAACAATATCCACAAGTAGAATATTTATTGTGTATGTATTGCAAACATATTTCAACTCTCCTACAATTATAAGACCTTGACCGTAGTGGGCCACGTGTATTATCACTTATATACTATACATGGCGTACGTAGCAATGAAGGCGATCTCACGCTTTAAGGTGGACAGAGTTTACTTACGTTGCAAATTCATCGCCGGCGGGAATATATGGTGGTTCCTTATCGCGGCGTCCTGCGGGCGCGCGCACTGCGGCGGCGGCGGCTGGTAGCGCATGCCCTGGTAGCGGTAGGCGGCCTGCGACATTTGACCGCAAGAGGCGAGCTCGCCCCACGCCAGCTCGCCGCCGCCCGAGCCCAGGCAACCGCCCTCGAAGCCGCCGCCGGCGCCGCTCAAGTAACCGTACTCCATTTTGGCTATCTAACCGACTCGCTCGCTGACATGTGTCGTCGCGTCAGCAGCCGCGGACTCCTCACGTGCGGATCACGCGCCGCATTAGCCGCCGGGCAAGCTGTGTCGCGGCGATCGTCGGCGGTGAGGAGTTTTTCCGCGCGGAGGTCCGTGCCCTCGGCCCACTCAGAATCGAATGATAAGCCTAATTCAATAAGGGCGAGCCCGGAGGCCGGGGCGGGATCGCACCCCCCGGCAGGCCAATGGCCACGGGTGCGCCCCGTCCCAGCTCCGCCATTGGACGCCCGTTCGCCATCTCGCTCGCACGGGGGTGCGTGTCACGACACTCGTCTACTTTTCTTTTCGCCGACAGTTCCTTTGTCATTGAGGAAAATAAAAAAGTTCTAATTAACGATCCAGGTATTCGCTTAATGAATGGATGTTGCTATTTAATCCCAATTACAATTGCACCTGATATGCACTCATTGAAATTATTTAATTACTTCGCGCCAAATACAGATTTTTGTGTTTAACATTCATTTAATATGTATTATTCTATACCATGTTTCATTAGCACAATTGTATAAATATTTTATCAACTATAAATAAGTGTAAAAGATCAAATAATGTTATATAAAGTTTTTATTCGAATTACACCTTTTAATCCAAAAAAGCATGGTCTTGCGGACATTTTTAAATTTTAATAACAAATAAATACTATCTCTAGTCTTAAAAGTTACGTAGACTACTATAGAATACCATTGAGTGAAAACTTAAAATTTTTAATAATTAACTTATGTTATTCAATAGATAAAGTTTACTGCCACTAAATAGTTATACAACCAAGAATCTCATCGTTAGATAATTGACATTATTGATTAAGATAATCTAAGCTTAAGTTTTTAACATCGAATTCTAACATAAATATACGGTACGAAAATATTGGTCATTGGATGTATAACACTGTGTTAATTTACGTTAAGAAAATATAATACAAATATTTATTAAAGTCTTATGAAACAAATTGATACTTTGTTATAGTTGAAATATCTGTCGACATGTCGTCATTCTAATAGAGAGGTCATTAATCTAAAAAATAAAAAATGTCCAAAAAAACTCACAAGCGATAGTGGACTTTCGTTAATATGTACAATAATTAAATTAACACCAAACTTACACATATACATATTTTCTACATATGTCCATTACCACACACAATTTTTCACCTCCAAAGCCGTAAGGCGTAGAAAAGCTATGACCAAAACAAACTGAGTGCCGATTCTGATTGGAGCTAGTTCGATTAGTTCTGAATAACGTACTAGTTCAAGGTATAGTTTACAACAAAAAGCTAATAAAAGGGTCATATTAAAAATAAAAAATAAAGCGAAGAAGGATGAATTACTAAAATAATTTCTGCCAAAGCAACGCGCGTGTCAACAGTGCGGGGGATGCATAAAGGGTACGTGAGAAAACGGCGCGAATAATATTCACAATATCGGAATTACCGGGGAAGTCCCTCGGGAGGAACGGCGAAACACCCGCGCCCGCTGCGCTCCTCGACATGTCGCATGCCTTATTTATTATTTAAGTTCATTACACTGCAAAGCACATTTTTTCCCTACCGATATTCTATATATATACTGGATTAGAACCACGCCAAAGCTTCTACGTGGGATGACGACCTAGGATGTTGCAGTGTCTCACAGAAGTCTGGCTTTAAGTAGAAGTAGTTACTCGATTAGTCTGGTGAGTGAGGTAATAAAAGCCCCACCAACTCGGACGTTTTAAGTTTTAACGCACCTGGAACCCCAGTGTAGTTAACACTGGCGTTGCGTAAGTAAATCGCTTCCTTGTTTTGCCCCCTTTGTTGAAAAAATGATAATGCTAACAGAATTCTCTTAAATGAGACACTGGTTTTGCGAATCTTTTTACGTCGTAACGTCATGTATGGACGTGAAAGAAAATCACAAGTTTTACATAAGTGATACAATTTTACAGAGAATTTGGATTGTTGAATCACAAGTAATCAGAAATGATGACTAAAATATGTGATAGATGATAAATAGTTGATCAAGCCAAATATATAATTAAAAAAAACTCAAGATCTACGGGGATTGCAACTGAAACAACTGATGAACACTTTTTGTATTATTTCTTAGAAATACAATTTTCCTCGTGCTGTTTTATTTCATTGCATTGAATTAGTGGTAAATATAGACTCAAAATAGCAATCTCTTTGGTGAGAGTTCTGAGATTTGAACTGAGGTAATAGAGAATAGTGAATGAAAATAAATAAACCATTATGACTTTTCTCCAATACCGTTATAAACATAGTATACGTGACAACGCAAAAAAAACGAAAGTAAGAAATTTGAAGCAATCAAGATGGAAAAGATATTTTATTATTGTCAAATTCATTAAACATTTTAACTGTGGTAGGGCCACGCAAGTCTTCGCTATTGCATGAATTGGCAGATCCATCCGGGGAAGTAACACGACCTCACAGAAGACCGGCGTAAAGTGGAAGGAACCTCTGCGTTTAATCTTGTGAGTGAAGTAAACGGGCATCTGCAACCCTACGGCCGTTGCAAATGTTCATGAGCGGTGATAATCACTTAAAATCAGGTGAGCCAGCTCGCACCTTTTCACATATAAAAAAAGAACATACATAATCTCAAAATTTTCAACGAAATTTTGTAGTTTCATTGTAAAAATTCAATAATATTAAATGACAAAAAGTTATGCCCCGGGTGAGGATCGAACTCACGACCTTAAGATTATGAGACTTACGCGCTGCCTACTGCGCCACCGAGGCTATGGGATACGTGACGAAATTTAATATTGTGTATCCTTTCAATTTGTTTTTATCAAACTTATCACATATTGATTCCTTATCGACGTACACCTGAAGAAGAATTTGACATTATTATCCTCACCTTACATTTAACAATATTTTGAGATGTTAAATTTTTAAACTTTATTTTCCCATTTAATTTAAAACATACAACATACATAAGTTTGCAGAAAAAGAAATAAATTAGTAAGAGACCTTCATGGTTTTTAATAATGTACGGTTAACGCAAATTTAGAAAGCATCTTCGGTCTAAAACTGTTTTTCACGTAATTACACAATAATATATGTACGAAAAATATATATAATACTATTAATATAAGGCGTTCTTGTATTTGTTCACATTTTTACTATATTTACTTATATAGGTTGTTATATTGAACCTTATAGAATATCTGATTAATTCTAAAGGACACCAAAACGTAGGACGAAAAACAAAAACGCTTCACAAAGTGAATACAGTATTCGGTACTGTGACTTTGAACGAAAACAAGTCACCGCGGTGAAATATGAGTTCACTTAGCAACCTGCAATCAAAAGACAGAGCTTTATAGTTGCCGAGTTCCCCTACTTTTTGTAAATAGACCTCATTCAAACATCTCGAACACAATATAACACTTTGATCTGATATCCAGAGTGCTAATGACATTTACCAAAGGGTTTCTTTTTCTCGGGTTATAAATATAATACACAGAAATCACTGCTGCAGATTTTTGTAGACAACTAAGTTGGAATCGCAGTGCCCTATCAGCTATAAAATGCGAATACATCAGTTGTTCAATAAATACAATTACGTAAAATGAAATACAGGAGATTATAAAGACACGTACTTAATTAAAAAAAATCTTTGCAAGTTTCGCTAATGGAAGTGGTTTACCTATTCCATAATACGAGTTGTTATGTTGTGCATTGGCACATGGCTTGTTGAAACATCGTCGTAAATATATTTCAACTCAACACGGGTTCTGTGAAAATTTTAGACAATGTATGCCTAGTCTAATATAGGAAAATTAAAATATGCATATAATTTTTATCGATAAAAACTGTATTAATTTCTTATCTTCGGACCGAGCATAGCGAAATATTTAACTATGACTATTTGGAATATAGATAACGGTAATATAAAAAAATAAGATAGACTACTACGTTATTAGGGCGCGTTGTAATCGCGTTCAACAGTCAAGTGTTGTGCTTATGCTTACATAAGGAAATCTCGCTATCAATACAACCATTAAGACGTAATGCATCCACGGCCGTCGCGGATTGCAACGGAGGCGTCTAATCGGATAATGCGGCGGTTATGGCGGCGTGCGTGTGCCAGTCTCCTCTCGTCCCGGGATAATTCAATTTGCGCCCTTCACGAGGCCACATGCCGGGCACCGCGACTGCGCCCCACGCGCTCTCGCCGTTTTTAATTAACGACGCATAAACACTGACTTTCGCCCGCCGCTTCGCTCGCGTAATTTTTATCGAGAAACATAATCGACAAATAGCTTTTGCGGGAACAGTACAACATGTTCTTATATTTTTTTTTATGTGTGACAACCGCCGCCCATTTGTAACACTCGTAGAGATGCAGATGCATTGCCACCTAAAACTAACCTAAAGCAAGCAAAACGCAGAAGTATGACACTTTCACTTCACGCCGGTCTTCTGTGAGGTCGTGGTACTTACCCGGACGCACACAGATACAGGTTATGAGGTATTTAAATTTAATAAATTAGACAATTAAGTTTAATCTATCCAAAAGTTGCGGCGATAAATATCACAAGCACACAAACTGTGCGCTTTTTACAGGATAGAAGCAGTGACGCATGAAAGACGTCTACTCAAGTTTCTTACTTCAATTCACTGTCTTTTGCTCTGCAACTGGGTCTACGCTATATCCCCTGAATTTTTTCCTTCAAGCATTGAACATCTGAATATGCGGGCTATAATTCGTTTTAATAATTTTAACGCGAACAAAGTTTACAAACTGCATTTTTAAGTGCGAATCTTTCGCTTTCGTAAAAGTTGCGAACCGCTTATAATTACAGAAACTCAGTCATTATTATTCTGGATTTAGAACATTATACCAGTAATTGTTACTTATACTGAAGCTATTAAAGTTTTAATTATTTGGCCGGTTCGAGGATGCGAATTACGCGTCCAGACGCTCTATCCACTAAGTTAGTGGTATCCTCACTTACTTTGTTTTTATTTATTTATTTATTTATTTACACACTTTTTTGTACTAACTGGTACAAACGGCGGGCTTAATGCCATAAGGCATTTTCTACCAGCCAACCAGAAAGTTAGTGAGAGAGAAGTGTAGGTGCTAGCTATATATAATATGTATACATACATTATGATAACAATTATTAAACACTTACAACAATAAATACATAAATAAATACTATTATAATAAGTAAATATATATATACGTACATAAAACGGAAATATCTATCAAACGTTATCCATACTAATGATCATAAGACGACGAATTAAAATATTCCTTAACTTTAGCTTTAAAAATAAATTTATTCGGTGATTTTCGAGTTTCACTAGGAAGGGCGTTCCAGAGTCGAGCAGCTGTAACAGCGAAGGATGTAGAGAGAAAATCGGTACTGTGAGAAAGAATAAGCAACGTAAGATTACCAGCAGATCGAAGATTGCAGCAATGAGAGGTACCCAGGCACTGAAATTTAGACTTCAGATACGCTGGGGCAAAAGGATCGTTAATGATACTATAAAGCGTACAGAGGATCCGATGATTCCTCCGTTGGGAAATATTCAACCAGTTTAGTGGAGAGCGATATGATGAAATATGGTCAAACTTTCGAACACCATAAATGAAACGAATACATTGATTAAGGAGGCGATCCAATTTGCTAAGAACATCCATGTTTGCATCTGAGTAACACACATCAGCGTAATCGAGATGTGGAAGTATAAGTGATTGAACTAAAAGTTTTTTAGTATAAGGTGGTAAGAAATTTTTAAATCTATATAATTGTCTCAAGTTGGAATAAACTTTACTGCTGACTTCATTAACTTGCGCTCGCCAGCTGAGCGAGGAATCAATAGTTAACCCAAGATTCTTAACTTTTGGTGAAAAGGGAATGACTTTATCATTGTACATCACGGGCATCACGCAATTATAATCTATTTTGCATGACTGACGTTCACTCCCTAGAATTATGGCTTGGCATTTGGTGGGATTTACAGTAGTTTTTATGACAGCTTTAACCATACTTACCTTTAAACTGTAGACGGGATTACAAATAAATAGTCTTATGCCCAGTTTCTGTAACACTGATAATTTGGGAACTCAAATTATATTTGAAAAGCCATTTCACAACTTCTTTTCGGGCGATAGTTAATGTAATAAATAACGAAAAGTTAAATTATTATTACGGATCTTTTTGCTGGACTGTTGAATCCCTGCTCCTTAAAACACCTACACATTCTATAAAAAAGTATCATTCACTGCAGAAGACGTCAAGATAGTCAGTATAGAACTCACTACCGCGTCGTACATATTAGGTATATGTGTGTCAGTTTTTTCCTCGACATTTTTCGTACAAAGATCTGGACTCACTATTTATAAACTTAAAACTTTGTTCATATGTAATATATTGTGAGTATATATAAAGAATATGTTTGTTTATACTATTTGTACATTTGTACAGTCGCGTGCACTCCATACAAGGAAAAAAGCTCCTCGCAAAGATGTTTATTGATAATGATAACTTTAATTCTTTCTGTATTTATTAATTTCTGCGCCATATATTAATGTGTTTGGTTATCCGAGCCTTGTTTCTCTTATCGTGAATCGCGATGAAAACACTAGGAAACAGTTGTACGTATGTTTGCGCGTTTGAATGCATGTTTGTAAACGCGACACTGTGGTGCAACCCGTCCGTTTAAAGAAATATTCAAAGTATCGTTTAATTATTGATAAAATGAAATGTCATTCATTCAATAGAATAATACCTTTGCAGCGTTACTCAATAGCTAACTCACTGATATGTGTGATGCAGCCGTTGTGTCTGGCGGGCGGTTTACCAAATTCACGAAAATTTAAATCATACATTTATATACCTGTGATCTTATTCGTTTTCTCCGATCGCATAGTCACTGAGATCTGGTGAGGGATGGTTACCCGTTGCGATGGAAACCGTCGCCTTAATACGGTGTATAAGCCGTTGACTAAAGGCTGGTGGAGCGGGAACAGGCGTGTGGGGAACGGGGGAAGAGCAGACAATGCTGCACCTGAGCCGGTGATTGATGACGGTACCGCCATCGCTATGATTGCGAGCAGAAGGCACAGCGCGATGTGGCGTGGCCCCAACTTCACTAAAAATCTTCAAAACACATAGGAACAAGTCGAACCATTCAAATATAAGGACGTGTAATAGAATTACGCGCATAAATAGGAATAATTAGGAACCGCATAAATTTCCTTTTCATGATTAACTAGCTGATACCCATTCACAACTACACCGCACGCCCCACTTCTCAACGGCATGAAAACGGAAAACTTAGTGCTTATAAAAGTCGTTCTTAAAACTTTAATAACTTTATATTAAATAAAGATATAGATTTTTATTAGATTAGGGCCAATTGTCTTAAATAAAACTTAGAATAATTTTTGTGTTAGTTTCTGCACTGAATATAGAACGTAAAATATGATTTTAGGTATATACATTGGAAATAACTTTACGGGATTTATTTTAAACTGCGGGATTTGAACCTACGCAGTTAAAACAAAAATTTTCCTCACTAATTCCAAACCTACTTTGCTCATATCAAAATACAAAATTATCGCAACTTCTTAATGACAGACACAAAGATTCGAAACGATTGTAAGTAGGTCACGAATACTTGTCCTCAATGGGCGCTTACCGCAAACACGAAAGCTACGCATATTACTTTATTTCGTTGTCACCTATTAATTTATAATTTTCAATTTAAGTTTACTTACCAGTCACAAAAGACATAAAATTTTTTGTAACATTTGTATTTAAATTGTGACTATTTATAACAGAGTTTTCCTTACTAGTACCTACCTACCTGTTTTTATTGTTTCAAGTCTCTAGCAAAAGTACCGAAGTGCAAACATAAAAATCTGTGAGTTGACTGTAACAAAGTTGAGTAAAAAGTAGTCATCGTTACATACATAAAAATGAAAACGAATGATATAAATTAATTAAAAAATCCATAATTACATTTTGTATCTTTTAATAAGCTCCTTTATGAATTTCTTTAAGGGATAAAATAACTAAGACAAAATCTGACGACTAAAACTTCCTAAAAATATATCTATCGATCTCTCATTTTTCTCTCATAAGAATTATTCTTATTAATTAATATAAATTAATTATTAATATTAACATTTTATTTTTTATACCAGTACTATAAATAACCGCTACAGAGTTAGAATATCTAACAAGTACATTACCAGTACCCAAGCAATGGACATACATACGAGTATAAGCATATTGTAAAAATTACATGTAGTCTCCAAATGACCATTCGCATCTAAAACAAAAGTCTTGCCTCTCTCAAACTACATGATTCCAAAGTTATATGTAGGTTTTACGGATTCTTTATATATTGTAATTTGTAATTTGTAAATGTAGGTTCTAGTTAATGTTAATCAAAGCGAAAATCGTGAAATTAATGTGTTATTTTATTCACACACGAACCATTGCCTTAACATTGAGGCAATTTAGTATTTACCGAAACATTTCAGAGTTAAGATTAATTGGTTGAAGACGCAGTAGGTAGTCATGTTTAGTTTGCTATAAGCGAGTCTTAGTAAGAAGTAAGGATTAAGTCTACACGACTTGAGCGAGCCGGGTAAACATAGCGGACCGCCTTTATTTACTGTGTGCAGTCCCGATAGCTCTGTGTAGCCGGCATTAGGTCGTCGAAGGGGAAGATCGTGGAGCGAGCGGACCTCGGTCTTAGGCGAGTGCTGCCGCGCTGCTTGTCAAAGTGGCCGCCGGCTTGTTTGCGCAACTAATGAGCGGGTCCCGGGAGACGGCGTGTTTGCCCCCGACGCCCCCGACGCCCCCAACGCCAAGGGCGCCTCCAGCTTTTTCGTACGTCCGCGTCCTCCCCCCCGCACCAGCACCCCAGTCGACCTCGCCGCGACGCGGTCTATTCGCCCCCCGCTCAGACTCGTATCGGACTTTCGAGTGCAAATTGGAAAATTGTCGACAAACTCTGCGAACCGCCGAAATCGCCCCGATGCCGATGTGTGCATAGACCCGAATGGAATATCCGAATGTATTTCGTTCGGTCTTTAAAAAAATTATATCAGTCGAAATTTCTCGGATCATAAACGATGTGGTGTCTGATACGAGAATTATAATTTATATGTTCTTTATTGAAAAATGTACGAGTAGAAAAGTAGGCCGGACATAGATTTTATTACTATCCTTCAAAGTGTATATTATTCAATACTACATTATAAGCATTAATGGTATAAGGTGGTAGTTAACACTAGTCACTAACTCAGTAAAAGCTCAGTTTTTCTTGGAACATGTGTTGGAACAATGATAAGATGGAAAGACAAACCCCGCGCTGCGGGAATATAGTTCGCCTTCTTCACTGTAGTATAAATGAAACTAATTTTTTAAAGATTAATCTATGCATAGATCGGACACAAAATAATAAATCGGACATAAAATATAATGTGTAAATGAAACTAATTTCCTAAATAAAAAGACGTTTCGAACCCTTTACAGCGTTCATGGTCACGGGACAGACTGAGGTGATGGACGTCTGATTATCATAGTTAATTCGGGCTACCGTCAGTTTTTGAATTATTAAATTTGTGTCCGATCTATGCATATATAAATCCGTAAAAATTAATTTCAGTTATAATGTGTAATCGCGTAAATACAAGAAATTATCAAGAGCAAGAACTGTTTGCTGAACTTCTAATTGTCTGACGGGCAGGGGAAAGACTTTAAAAAAGTTTGTCAAACGTTCTATTGGGATCAATTGCTTCCGGAGCCAGCTTTTCTAACAATAAGTTTTCGTGTTTCATGCTATAAATATTATCACAAATAAACAATTTCGACTTTGTAAAAACATAAAGTGGCAGCCCACAGTTGGGCAAAGGCCTCCTTCGTACAGAGGGTATTCGAGTACAGTCCTCCACGCGACCCCACTGCGGTTTGACAGACCTCACATATCTTCCAAATATTTGGATTTTATCATTTCGAAAAGATGCAGGCATCCTCACGATGTTTTTCTTTCACTGCCGAGCACGTGATAAACCACCACTGACGATTCTAATGGTGCCCGCACCGGGATTTTAACTCAGGTTACTCGAGTATGTTGAATTAAAAGCGAGTATCCGGACCCTGAGCTATCACGGCTGAACTATGTGGAGTTCACTAATGAAAGAAATTATTTAACAAGGATTGTATTAGGTTATAAATCCAGTATGAAGCCTTCATCATCAAAGAAAATAATGGACCGAAAATTTTCTGGTGTAACAAGACTTTTGAAACTGCCACCAATTCACAAAAACAAATGACAAATGGATGCAATATATCTCATTAGGTTAAAAAAGAGTTTTCTATTATTCGAAATTTAAATGAAATTTTCATTGGCAACGTTTCTAACTGTTCAGTTCCAATCAGTGTGACCCTAGTAATCCAGGCAGCATACAAATTGCTCTATTCACGACTTCTAAAATTTAAATAAATAAACTACTTCAAAAAAATAACGGCTTCAGCTGTGAAAACAAATGGGCAGATCCGTCCATGTATATTTCTGCGTTTCGTCTGGTGAGTGAATGAGATAGCCGGAGCGCACTTTATTAAAATGTGGTAGCGCATCTGCAACCCTACAGGTGTTGCTAATGTCCATGGATGACGGTTGTCATTTAATATTAGGTGAACCGCCAGCTCACTGCCACCACCGTAAAAAATAAGGGAGGTAACCAAACATTTAATTATTATTAAGTTTCAATTATGAGCTGCTGAGTATACGGAGTTTTATCTCAATGTCTTAAAAGTGTCCATAGAATACCCTAAGATGAAGATACTGTAGTGTAACGTAAGAATGAATTTCAAGGAATGTGCCAAAAATTGTTAAGACATTTGCTGCACTGTGGTGTCAATTAATCATTCAGGTCTTTCTTTTAAACTTCTGTCCATTCCGGTCATTTATCGAAAAGTTATTGTATACTTTTTTGGGCGTTTTTCCAAAAAAAGAAGTATTAGATACTACTCCTTATACCCTATACTCCATTATTTTCGTGGTGCTATAGTACCCAATGTCTTTGTCGGTGTTAATAATTAATTCAGTAATTTAATTAGTAGAATTTACGCCATCTAGTATTAAAAAATTAAAGGTGAACTATACATAATTTCCTTTCATAAACTTGTTAGATGGCGCTGTTATCAATGGCCTAAATGTTATCAATTATAATTTTAAAACAGTATATGTCAGTAAAAATTTTACATAAATTAGTTTAGAACGTGTTAAAAATTTCTGAATTTTTGATAAATCTTTCAATTATGAATATTTCTCACAACATATTTACGATAACACGCCATCTACATATTATGCACATAATTAAAAAGCCGTCAGCAAATGAATATTTTAAAACATTTTACACGTACAATACAGATGACACTAGCATAGCATAGCAACTCAACTTTAGCACAGTAATTTAGTATGTAAGTATGTTTAGTATGTAGTTTATGTAATGGAATATGGATTGATCGGTAGTAATATCAAAGAGTAGGCTAATTGAAAAGTTATTATTAATATTGCGAGACCGATTCTATCAGAAGAAAGCGGATTGAATTTTCAAGTTTTCTGAATATAAATTATATCATTCAAACAAATTAAGTAAATAAGTACACGTCTTGATAAAATGTCGAGTAACGTCATTTTTTTTTATGTTCTTTACGTATAGCAGTGTAAGAAAAAATTTTGAGGGATCAATAGTTGAATAGAAAACCTAACCACGTGTTAGTACACGTGCGAGCAGTAAAGATACAAAAAAAGGTTACAAAAAAAACCTTTTCAATGAAATCTATACACCATTCTTCTACAAGATTAATCAGCCTACATAAACAGTGACGCATTTTGAAATTGGATCACAACACTGACGTAATTTCCTAATATTCGCATTATTTTCTAAACGACCGAAACAACAATTTATTACAATCAGATAATCTATACGAAGTAATTAGGACATAAGAAATAAACGATAGGATAATGTTATCCCAAAGTAAGGGCAACGTTTTTAAAAAAAAAAAGAGAAAATAATGGCTCTACAACACACGATCACCTTTTCTGAAAAAAACGTAATGGCAAGTCTGTCCTTGAGTAACAAACCTGACTGACATATGTATGTAATAAAATAGAGTAAGCAATTTTATGGTAATACTAACTTGCTTGCCTGGTGCTACCCAAAAATTTATTTTAATAAAACTACTTTCATTATTGTATAATCTACAATTTTTAACTCCCGACGTTAGTCACTGGACTGATTTTGCAAATCCGAACTACGAAGAAAGCTCTAATTTAGTCTTAAAATCTTGCCGCTGTGATATGCATGCCGGTCTTTATTAAAATGTATTAGTTATAGGATCCCAAACCAGCGATGCAAGCGACTAGCCATATCCTCAATTGAAATTTGTATTTTCTTTATCAATAGACTCGCGAATCAATTGCCGATATCGATGTTCCAGGACAATGGTTTAAGGGCCATTTCAAATTTGAGCGTATTTAGAGCAGGAAAGTTCAAGTTCTTGTTTACTCTGTAAATCCCAAAAAAATCAAAACTGCGAATAGGAAGATACCACCATACGATCAAATATTCATTCTTTCTTGATAGCTAACTAAGTTACTATGACGAACAATGTTATATAATAAGCTATAATATCGAATCTGGTTTTTTTATAAGTGTGTAGCAAACGAACAAGCCGCTTACCTAGTACGTGATCTTGTTGCCAACCTTTGTGCGACGAGAGATCTCGTAAAATATTTTTACTAACATTTAAGTAAATTTAAAATTATAGCCCACGTTGCTGTGATATAGCGGCATGGAATAATTTTCGTTATTATCCTTTTTTAATGACGACTTACAAATATGTTTATAATGTTATGAAGTATTCATTATTATTATTTGTAATTATAATTAGTATTTGTATTAAGTATTCATTATTATTTGTAAAGCGTTCACGAATTAAGAAGTAAGAATTAATTATTTTTCATAAAAATTTGATAACTGAAAAAAATAAAAACAGAAGTGTGCAGTCTTTGTATATTTTTTTATTTCGTTTTTACAAATTTCACAAAATATCCACCAAAATTGTACATTACTTTTAAACCCAAAGGGGGTTCAGACTTTATTAGTCTTAACAGCTAACATAACGAAAAACAAGTCTGATTAATTCTGTTTTTTACAATGAACTGTTTTTAGACGAAAAAATACGTTAAAAACCATTGATGGACGAGAATAATCTGAAAGTTGGAAACGATTATAAAATAAGAAAACGGCGAATTCAGAGTGAAGGTTTACTTTTATATACCAGGAAATAAATATCGAAGAATCGTTCTATGATTTTTAGGAGATTAACTGACTCGTCCATTAACTGTATCAGTTATTAACTTACGTACAGCAGTAACATCTCTTGATGTGCCCTAATTTATTGTCGGTTACACAAAATAATTATCAATACAACACTTTATTCTAGTACAAAAATACACACTTGCTTTATATTCTTCTCATAGCTAAGAGCGTTTTTAAGGAAAAGAATGTATCTAAGCAGAACTAAAGCAAATATATACCTTCTAACTTAACTAAGTACACCTCCATTAACTAATACTTAAACACTAAGTTTGGTCGAAAACAGGAATGTGTAAAACATGTGACTAGAATTTACTAAAACTTAACGTCGACCTAAATAAATATTACAATATCTCAACATTTTTACTCGAAAATTGTAAAAGCTAAATACATTTTCGTTGTATAGAACAATTCATTCTGGACTTGCTACAAAGTGAGATCTTATGAATATGACGACACATAAAAAGCACGCACGTTCACACAAACGTTATAAAATAAATTGTGATGCTTTGATAATTAGGTAATAATCCAACCATTTTACCCGACTGCGGTAGATGACAAAAATAAAATTTGTTTAAACGACATTTCGTAAAATTTTCTCCCCACAAAAAGTAATCTTGGGTAATCAGAAACTATGTTTCTGACAAACACTAATTAACAATTCTATTTTGAGAAGTCCTATAAATACGTACTCGTACAAATTAGCAGTCGGTTTTCGTATAACTTAGGATATTGTGAATTGACAAATAAGGTGAAATTCAACGTACATTAATTTAAGGTTTTGTAACTCAAGGAGATCAAATATACAGGAATGACCTACAAAATGCAACGTCAAACTGGAATAAGCTATAATACAAAATTAACAAATACACAATTAATAAATAACGTTAATCTATCTTAGCGCAATATTTTACATAAATAATTTGAGATCATTATACAATTTTACTATAACCGTGCGAGAGGAAACGAAGGTAAATTTTTTTTTCGTTCTTTCCACAGATTCTTTTGGTAGAGCCAGGTGCGCGCGCAAAAAACGATGATCGCGGAGATGTGAGTAGATTCATTTCTCCTCTACCGGTGAGATCAATTGACTTTACTATTGAATTTCAGAAACAGTCAATGTTAAACGACACAATAATATTGCGTAGTACAGCTGTTATTTAATCGGAACACGTATTTATTAAATGTTGCATTGTATGTTGCTTAACAAAAAAATAAAGAAAAACAATTTCATTGAAGACAGTTGTTATGCAATAAGTAGTACTAGATTGCATTAATCATATTCCTGCAAGATTAACTAATCGTTACTTTTCCGGAAATTTCTCTAACATCGTGTGATTTGAACGCAATAGATGCAAGTCTACTCTTTACCAACTCTCGTATACGCTCCGGTGCGTTCCGTATTCACACGTCGACTTCCTTCGTGGGTCTACCGTTGTCGTTCCCGGCTCGTGCGTCAGAAGCGCACGTCCTGCACGTCTGTCGGTGTGTCGGGCAGCTGCGTCTGCTCGGGGCTGCTCTGTTTCGCGGGCTGCAGGTGCCTCGCCCTCGGCTCTTGGGGCTGGGTCTCCCTGGCCAGCACCCGTTCCACGTGCCTCGCGACCAGCTCGGCGGCGGCGGCGGGCGCCCGCGTCATCGCGCACAGCTCGCCAACGGACATGCGCACCCTGAGACCGCGCGCCGCGGCGGTAATGCACGCGACCGCAACCAAAGACGGCGGCACCAACAGGAACTCGGTCTCTGTTGACAAAGTTTTTTTTTTTATGTGAAAAGTTGCCAAGCGAGCGGGTTCACCTGATGTTAAGTGGATACCGCCGCCCGCCGCCGAAACTAAAAAAAGCCACAGTGAAGCTCGACCGGGTTCAGTTAAATAATTAAGTAGTTAATTAATAAAATACAATCAAAACATTTATTTTAAAATTCGGAAGATGTTCCCTAAATCTCATTCCATAATTGATCAATCATGTTGAATTATCGCGTGGGTCTGACGGACTGAGAAAATCGAGTCTTTAAAATGTCGCAAAGGTGTTCTAAAATGTACCGACAGAATACACATAGATAAACATTTCATTTATATCGAGTCGAATGCCGTACGGACTCGATGCAAGCGCAGCGCAGGTAGGGCGCATCTGTTGTAAGACAATTATAACGGACAGGTGGCCAAGCACCTTGCATCCCATCGTCCTTGCGTCCATCTCACGCTCACACGTTTATCTGTGCCTCGTTGTACGTATATTGTTTACGAGCAATCTGCTACGAGTTAATAAAAAGAAACTGATCCGACGAGAAAGACTAACTAGACGTGTTTATTTCATCTTAAAATAAACGCTTGCGTGCAGATAAAACAATGATACTGACAGGTATCTTGAACAAAAACTTCAGACTAGACATCCTTGTGATTTGATCCGTTTATTCCAAACGTTCCGAATATGATAGGAGAAATCGGCCAAGCTGCTAGCGAAAATGTGTAAATAACGAAAGATTAATGCCCCCGGAATCGGTGCGAAGGTCCCGATTTTTAACAAAACGTCGCGCTACATTTTGCACAATACGAGTCGCTCATTGTTGTTCGAGAATAAGGAAGGAGAAGTCGGCAGCTGCCAGATTTGTGCACGCTGTCCCCGTCTGCATCTTTGTGCGTACCTACCCGGGACAATAGGGCGGGAATAATGGTAATTTACATCTTAAGTCTTTTAGCCAAGGGCGCAGCTGTGATTTCGCGGCAGTGGTACGGTTGGGTTGTTATGGTTATAGATTTTGCGCATTTCAAATAATAGCCCGATCGATAAATAACGGATGACAATAGTTTCTTAAGGACTAAAATTGCCAAATCGCTCCGCAATAATAAAGTTGAAAATAGTTCTACACGACCAAACATTCTTATTAGTTATTATTAGTTACAGTAGAATAATTAATAAACTAATAAAGTAGTTATTTTAAATAAGAAAAAAACTTATAAGACGACGATGCTTGTTACCTTACATTTATTTCAAGACATTTATATTAAAAGGTGGTAAAAAGGGCAAATCGTAATAGCCTAAGAGCCTCATTACGGGCGCTGCATTGCTACGTTCACCTCGGCCTAACGACGGGCGCGGTGGAGCGAGACTTCTTGGCTAAGTCGCGTTGGGTGCAGGCTTAGGCCAAGACGGCAGATGTGGCAACACCTGGCGCGACCCTTCCACGGGCACGCGAGAGGGGTCACTGCCCGCCTACACCCTTCCTCAATGTGCCCTTACAACTTTCTTCACGCTAGAAGTACGTTTTTGAGAAAAAAGATATATCGCAACACGCGAATGACCGCTACGGTGAATCAGAAAAACTGCTACGTTGTCAGACTCTTCGTTAACGATATGATATAGTATAATAGTTGTAACGTAGGTAAACGCTGACACATAAGTTGTTGTTTATAATACGTCTTTATCGTTACCAACGGTTAAAGTATCTACAATATGCATTAATGCAATAAAACGTATTATTTCATATTAAGTTGAAATATGAGAATAAACTAATAATTAGAAAACTTACAATAATTTATCTCAGTATTAAAATTGCTTTCGGCGGTAAGTTTAATATTATATCTCCGTACTGATACATTGTTTTTGCATTATTTTAAACCAAATAAATTAATGAAATGAAATCAATCCAACTGATAGGGGCTCATTAAAAATCCGAAATTTCCGGACATCCTATCGAGCGAAATCTGTACCGGCGCGGGCATCGAAGCGGCGCGGGCGGTTGGGCGACAGGTTGGCCGACAGTTGCGTCCAACATCTGCTGAGCGGTCGCCGACAACCTAAGACTACTACACCCTCGCGTCTTACCCTCCTAACTGCCGAACACTTGTACTATCTAACAGACGAGCCGAACCGTTAATATCCGTTTGACAAACCCGTCTCACCCCATTCTAGATTCGCGGCCGTTCAAAAATAGACACCCGAAAGTGCAAGGGTTGCAAATATTAATTTGCAGTCCCACTAATGAGAAACCGGTTGTAATACAATACGGATCCCCTGTGGGACTTTTATGTCTTCATTGAGATCGAAGCACTACTGATATGGAAGACAAAAAATCACAACAGCCAAGTGTTGTATTTCGTGTACATACGCCTGGGAATAAATTAGAGTAACAGTCGATAAATGTTAAAATAGAGATAAGATGTTATTGGGTTAACGTGGTTAGAAGAGAGGCATATGTTAACAAGTTTAGCAATTACCTCAATGGGTATATGTATAGAAAGTATTTTATGACTAACCTACCTAATTTTAAAGGAGTAATATAATGAAAGACTTTCATTGTACTACACTAATCATTCGTCATCTCGAAAATTATTCAAAGAATTATAAAATTAAATTTTCAATAGCTTTTAATTTTCAAAACTCAAAATCTCATATCTGCTATATATAAGGACAGAGCATATCAATTTTATCACACCAAGTTTGACGCTACCTTCCTGCCTTCGGTAAGTAAGCACTGACATTATTATTAAAATATCTTGACGTAGGTCGGCCAAGAACTCGGTGGCCTTAGTCGGGTTTAACGCTCAAAGGAGTATCGGTACTGAGATCGGCGGCAGCGGACCATCGAGTTAGATAGTTTGGGGTCGGGGCGCCAGGTGCGCGCCGAGACGACTCCTTGGGGTGCCTTTGTCACCGGGCCCGACACTCACGGGTCGAACAATGGCCGGGACGTCTTCGGGCATTGTCGCCAGTCAGCTGTCGGCCGGCGGGGCTCGCGGCCGCGGCCGTGACACCGTCCCCGAACCAACGATCGCACTCGAACACCCGGATTAGCGGTTGGCACTCGACTTAAACTGAATTCATTCGTTTGCGAAGATCGTTCTTCTGTCGGTTTAGGGCGTAAATCAAAGAATGAACTACGTAACAGCTTACGCAGGCTTTTCGTTATAGCCAACAACCTAATCGGAAAAAGGAACGTTGAAGGAAGACGTGAAAGTCGGCGTTGTTGTCCAATCGTCGTAAACACCACTCAAACGTCATTAGCATAAAGGATTCAAATTACGGCAAAGTTATAAGGTCATATAACTACAGATTGAGCCCGCGTGTTAAGATCAAAGGGCCGGGGGTCAAGGAGTGTTATTAACCTGTTAACACCTCCGGTAATTCACGATCGGTTACCGGCAATTATTTCACTTCCGGCGTCCGTTGCTGGCTTTGATTTGACAGCCCGCTTCAAACTTCACATTTCTTTACAATACGTCGTTTCCGTTTCGAATAACATAGGTGGGCAGATTGTTAATGGATAACCACTAAATAGACGGTTCAACACGATCTTGTAAACAATATACATGAAAACAACGCCGAACTGACCGGAAGACGTTAAACATTAACATATACAACTTATATTTTTTCGTTAAGGACTATATTTAGTTGGAAACATAAACATACGACTTAAACATGATGATAAGACTGTTACGGATGTTCAAGTTCAGACGCAATTTTATATTAAAAATAAGCAAATGGCTTATCAGTGTATTTGTTTAGATATTATAATATTACGTAAGTATATGACTATCAATCGTAGTAATAATCAACTTCCGGCTTTATTAGAAAGAAAGAAGAAAGATCACTAATCTTCTTAAAATCTGTTTAAATTAATAGGAGTTCGACGTAATCATTAGTTAGGATTCATCGAACATTTCTTAAACGTTACCACAGTCTGATATTTCGCAATTACTTACTAAATATTTACTCTTCTGCCATATGCTACTTTGTGTTTTGATTTCATCGAACATTTCTTAAACGTTACCACAGTCTGATATTTCGCATTTACTTACTAAATATTTACTCTTCTGCCATATGCTACTTTGTGTTTTGATAGCGATACAATACTATATATCGTGTAATGCGGACCTTCAAAAATGTAAGCAACGTTTCGAATGCGTAATTGCACATAACAGCATTTCGACAATGGGAGTGCCGGCCGGTCGGGGGTCAGTGGCAGTGGGGTGCGGCACAAGGTGTGCGATATCAGTGCTGCGCGCGGCATGTGCGTTCCGATACACGCATGCGCACCGGCCCTCCGCCCCAACGGAACGGCGCGCGCGCACGCACTCAAATCGCCTTAACAAAGGGAGGAAAGCCGCGGGCGATTAAAAACTGGCCCCGTCCGACACGAGCAATTCGGCTTGCACACGTTTAAAATATTCACCGATATGTGAAACTTAATCGAAGACATTCTAGTTTTTACAAAAGCAACAGTATTATGTTCATAGTTTTTGTTAAAGTAAACAGTAACAGCCTATAAATGTCCCACTGCTGGCCGAAGGCCTCCTCTGTAAAGAGGGTATGAGGGCATAGTCCACCACGCGACCCCACTGCGGATTGGCGGACTTCACATATTTTACATTACATATACATTTCGAAACATTTTTTTTATTATTATTTCGAAAATATGCAGATTTTCTCACGACCTGTTCCTTCACCACCGACCACGTGGTAATTCAGCACTTAAAATTAACAATTTCATTGGTGCTGGCAAGGCGATCGCCCGAACACTGTATGTTAAACCTGTAGTGTGTATCTATAGTCTATATGGATTAAATTATATTACCTATAACGAACTTTTATAAATTGACTAACTAATTTTAATACCAGAGGCCAAATTAAAAAAAAAGGTATAACAAAATTAAGGCTATTTTTCTGTACTACAAAATATGTATAAGGTATGTAATGTTTCCAACTTCTATTTTAATTATCATTTTCCTTTTTTATTCTGGATTTTAAATACAGAAATTTATATTGATTGTGGATAATTAACACAAGGTCAAGAGACAAAAAATGTGGCATTCGACCCGCATGATACGTAAGCGTAGACAATTTATGTTTGTCTGAAATGTCAATTTTCCGCGTTTGAACCACGAAGAACGATAAGGAACTTTAACGAATGTTAATTAACAAGTGAAAATAAAAGTAATTTACTATTAGTTGTTATTTATTATATTTTACCCAACATTTATTTCAAGTAAAACCGATATTACATTACATCTCTCATTTATAATGCGAATCGAATAAGAATAGGAATAACGTCATTGACCTCAAATGACCGGAATCTGTCAACTAGCATTTAAAAACTAGGGCTTACAAAGAGAATAATAAGATTTAAACTTTTTAGATTTTAAAATTTTTTTTAGATTTTAAACTTTTATATATATATTATATTATATATTATATATTTATATCATAACTTTTTTCTCTTCTCTTGTTTATATAATAACCAGTGACGATTCGCAGGAATAAATTAATCACGTCAAACGAATCTAAAATGAAATACTGCAAAGAGAAAAATATCACCACGACGAAACTTTAGACAGCACAGATGGTCATGTAATAAAATGCCTATTTTTCTATTAAATAACAGTCGATTGAATATTTTAAATACAATTTAGGTAGTTACACATACCTACATGTTCTATTTCTAAAGGGTAAAGCAGCAGTGATGCAGACTTGATATGAGCGGAAAATTGGTTGTGAAAAAAAAGTTCTAGATTCCGATTAAAGCTTTTTCTTTCATGTTTTTGACCGGGCGCTCGCCTTTCATTACATTTACTCGAGCAACCGGAGTTCGATCCCCGGTGCCAGCACCAATGAAATTGTTAATTTTAAGTGCTGAATTATCACGTGCTCGGCGGTGAAGGAAAACATCGTGGGGAAACCTGCATATTTTCGAAATAATAATAAAAAAAATGTTTCGAGAATGTGTGATCGCCAATCCGCAGTGTGGTCGCGTGGTGGACCATGCCCTGATAACCTCTTCATAGAGGAGGCCTTTGCCCAGCAGTGGGACATTTATAGGCTGTTACTTTACTTTTTTACTTTCATATTTTAAGCACAAAATTTATTTGTTAATAAACAATATTTCACAAATATTTGTTTTGCTTATCCTGATAGCTAACTGGTTTGAATTGACAGTTATGATGTCACAAGATGGCGCGAGATCAGTCCTATTCTTATTTTAATCGCCTTTTCTTAGAAGGCATACGACATATTATGGTATCTTAAAACATTTTTTTTAATTATTTCTCATACATTTATTTTCCTTGCAGCGTTTTCTTTCATCTATCAGTGCTATGAAGTTAGAGTATTCTGATTTTTAAAGCGAGCGCACGGACAAAGCTATCATGGATTATAAGCGCATTTTTTAAATAAACAGTTAAGTAACGAGTTGCTACTTCTATTACTTTATTTGAGATAGCTAGTGCTATTCAGATCTTATTCCAGCGTATTTGGAGTTTGGTGAAAAGTGGCTATTTTGTAGGTTACAGCAAATAATTTGTCTTTAGTCGTTACGAAATTCTCTACTCACCGGTATAGCAGACTGATGTCAGGGTGAGGGCATGGGTACGCACAAGAGCGTTCCCTCGGCCCCATGGTACCCGCGCGAGGAATGGCTCCACGAAGTCGAAAGCTGTCGCGATTGACAGCTGCCAGTTTAGACGCTGAAGAAGCATGACTTCCCATTGCTGAAAAGAAACGACGACGTTAACCAATATCGAAGACATAAAAAAGTAAAGTATCATCCTGTTTATGGCAAAGGCAATCTCCATGTACAAAGAGTATTAGAGAATAGTCCACCCCACGCTGATTGGCACATCTTAATAATTATTTAATGGGAAATGTGGGCTCCATCTTAACGCAGCTACGGCCGTATGGTTTTGGATGATGGTTGGAATCTACTTTAAAGCTGGTCTTTGATTCACGCGAACCAATTGGTTAAAGGCCCATTAACATAGTTAAATATGGCGCCCTGCTCCTATGTCGGTAATCTGGATTCCACGTATAAAAAAATAGTCAGCTTATTTATGAACATACTATGCTCAAACATAACATGCCTTTAAGTCAATGCAACTAAGCTAAGTTGACAAGACTAGCTTATTTTATTTACTTGTTAAAAGCTTTTTGTACTAAATATGATAGTAAGATGCCTTTTATTATAGGCAGGGGAAAAGTGAGAGATCAGTTTTTTTACAATTACATGAATGCGTGCAAGCGGCCAGGATATTCACAAAACATTACATTATTTTTTTTAAATAAAACCAATGCGAATTTTATAAGAAGTTAATGAAATCGTTAATGGCTTTACTTTGATAAAATAATTTTTGTCTTTGTGATGTAATTGATTATAAAGATGTTTAGACACTTTCTTTGTTACTTTCTGAAAGGGCATGCTAATTCTTAGCAATCGAATCGTAACCGTCATACACGACGGATCGGGCGGAAACCGCAAAAAATAGCAAACTATGAAGAATGGAAAGAAAAGGGACAAGCCAATGGAACCGGTATGTTTGTTTACGTAGGGAGAATCCATTGTGTTCATAAAGGTGAAAGTTACAAAGTAGATAAATCGACGAGAATATTCTTCATAAGGAGACAATACCGTTAATCCCGTAAAGTTTCTTAATTGCCTGCGTTGTTTGTAAAAATTTGTTAATTGGACGCGTAATCTCCTTAATTTGATTAGTAAATTAGTTTCCCGCAGACAATGTTTCGACAAGATCGAAAAACAACCATAGCAGCAATAGTTTAAAAGCACATTGTATTGTAATGGTTGCGCCCATAGTTCACTAAACCCATAGATAATTCCCGCCCAGATAACAGACAACTATCGTTACTTAAAAATAAACATCCCTTTTCATATGATCTCTTATCGCGTAAGAATCCTCGGATAACTTAATAAATTATGTTATTTACGAAGTGTAACACAATGTCATTTGGAACATAATGGAAATTAAGAAACATTTGCTATTAACTTTCACTCGAATATGAACATGTTTCACGTGTGAATTGAAAACAGTTGGCGATATTTATTTTCACGCACGATGTACCACGAAAACGGCGAAGGCACCGAAGGCATTTCCCAACGGTGCGTACGCCATGTGATATCATTAAGTATGCGCGTCGCACGCTTATCGGGATCATCGGACGAATTAATTGCAAGGAAGGATGTCCCAGGACACCATAAGGTACGAGCGAGCCCACTTCAACTTAGCCTGCCCGCTTTCCCACGGTACGTACGTCGCTCAGTGAATATAAACATTTATTGCGTTTGATAATAACATACGAATGTGATCTGATGATAATATTCGTATGATCATATGGCACCATTTTACTATATCTACTAATGACAAGACAGGCAGGGAATATCAAGCGAGGGCGACTGAGGCGTGTGAATAGAGGTACAAGTAAAAAACTCACGGGCATTAGTGAGTAATTGATGGAATCACACCTGCCTCTACCTGGCCGTGGTCACACAATATCACAATTACGGTGTTATCAATTTTAGTAATAAACTTTTCTATGGGAAATGACAACAAATGACATTGTCGCATTACATTTATGAACAATTAAACAAAATACTTTTGTTTTGTAAACCGTTTGTTTCATATTTATAAATATAGTAAATATAATATGATTAAGCATTAATTATAATATATTATGATTATTATTATTATTATTATATAAGAGCAGAATAATATAACTAAGGAAAGAGTTACATCCGTGTCCCTCAAATATTAGAACGTCTTAACATTAGGAAGCGTCTTATCGTTTGCATCAGTGTCTACCCACATTTCCGTCGGAAGCGAGCAACCAAGCCATTCAATAGCGGAGCTCGTCACAGAGTGCAACTACTTACGAGAAGGGCGACAAATTATTGGTTGCCCCTAGATTGTCAGTCGCGGAAGAAGTAATTACCGGAAACTCACAGGCGACTTTAAGGAAACGGGCAATATAATGCCGTCCTCTTTGAGGGGCTAAGGAGTGACATTTGACTCCGCCAATCGTGTTCATTCACAGGAGAATCAGAACAATGTACACAGAGTTGCGGTTGACACAGGATGTAGAGTGTAAGTGTAAGACTTCATCATACTATTAAGTAATGAAATAATATGAATTCCAAAATACCGTAACGTTAGGATTGATATGATTTTGTCAGTCATATTCAATCACAAATATTTTAAGTATTTTTTGCAATTTTAGGAAGTTCATTCAATTCAGGACTTAGGTGCTACTGCGGTCATTAGCTGGGAGCATCGGCCCTCATTTTATAGTGCACAGACAACCATGCTTCTTTAATATTGTGTTGATTGCAAATTCTCAAGCAACTCCCGATGCAAAAAATGTCAGTAGAATATCCATCGTCAAGAGGATAATTTACGTTACATAATGGTATAAGGTTCATTCTCGAATAAACATAGTTATTAGAAATGAGTAGAATTTGCCATTTGCGCTAAAAAACAAGTAATTTTCGATAGGTATTTCTTAGGTCCTAGATTCGTCACCTCAATCCTAATTGGTTGCCTTCAATTGGTTAAGAATATTTCATTTACCAATAAATTGTAAAAAGAAAAGTAAAAATCACTTTCTTACCCTGACTTCGTTGGGGTGAACAGAGTTATCGGTGTAGGCGCAGAGTAAATCCACAGAAAGTGGTTGACACTGTCGGAACTTTGAGGCCAGTAACATCGAGGTCACGGCCAGGAGTTGCAGCTGCTGCCGCGAGATGGCGCGTTGTGCTAGGAACCTGTCCATGTAGCTCACAGCCAGAGGGAACACTTGCTCCTCACACTGCTGTTCTTCGCAAACCTGATTGAAACAGAGCTTTGAGTGGCCGATCTACGAAGTTCGTAGTATGATACGATTTTCAATATATTTATAAAACGTATTGACATGTGTATAACTACGAGAAAAACCCGAAGATAAAAAATATCTGTTCATATTCGGAATACATTGTTACATTACATCTATGCATGGATGTTACGTTAAAATATATCTAACTTCTTATAAAATTAATTCTTTGTAAAATTTTTTGCGTTAATTGAAATAAATCAATAAAGATATATTTTTTATTTAATATTTACATAAATAAATATAAAATTAACGTAACAGATGTCATGAACATGGTTTAAACGTACCCGTAAATCTCAAAAAACAAAATTGTGAAGGTATAATTGAAAATAGTTCTGTAATATTTTATTGCTTTAGTTCTTTTCAAAACATATTATTGTAATATGTCTAAAATAAAAAGCAGGGACGTCGATCTAAATTTTCAAAATAAATATATTTAGCTCAATATATTTAGCTCAAAATAAATTAAGCTCAATACTTGTAGGTCATTGACACTATAGTTATCAGCTGAAGGAAGTAGGGATAAAAGATTTTCAAGTGAATTTCACATGAAAATCGTTGGGGGCCACAAAAATTATTAAGTTACAAACCAAGCACAAATCGTACGTTAAGCAGTAATGTAGTGTGTTATGTAAAATTATCATTTAATAATTAAAATAGTTCAAATCCTTTTCTCTCACCTCCAACATCCAAGTTGTGACGACCTTCCGCATAAATGGTTGAATGTCAATCTGTACGTGTTGAAAGTAATCCGTGTGCAGCGCGTGCGACCGCTCCAAAGTCAGGAGGTTCAGCAGTAGTCGGGGATCACGGTCCAAGGCGCGATCTGGTCCAGCGACGCACATGTCCACAGCACCAGAGCTGCCGCCGCTGTGATTGCCGGAATTCGGGATATTCTCGCCACAAGACAAATCCATTGTGACCGATAAATTACACACGATGTAACCACAATATTATTACTCCGACTTTGTTCGCACAACGATTCAGAGCCTCACGCGTAATGATGTTTACGAAAAGTTAAGGACACCGCAATACACGTTGCCGCCCGTAGAGCGGCTAACAAGCAACTACTATAAAGCGTAAAGCTATTCGGTTGTATTGGAACTCGCCTGCACTCCACGCTTGTAACCCCTCCCTTGTCCCTTTAAAGTAGGACAGCCATGTAAACCGTAAAAAATACAGGACAAAATGATTCAGATGTGGATAAAAGTTTATTTCATAGATAATATTACAATACAAATACAATACAAAACAAATACTTACTGTCTTAGTATAATACAGTTGAGTTTTGATATATTTTTATGTTTAATTTCATTACTACAGATATTCAATATAATCTATATATAGTATATAGTTCGATATAATCGCAATAGTACTGTAAAAAGAAAACTATTTACTTAGCCTACAACTTATGGTCATACCTCACAATGCTCAGATTAATGCAATGGAGATGAAGAAATAATCGAAAATACGACTAGCATCTTTATACGCTACATGATCTGCAGCTACATGAAGTGATCGTAACGATTCGTTACGATGACGAACTTAAATTAAAATTCATAGCAATGACAAAAAATAAACAGCTACGGTGTCGCAGCATTTTTATCGTCAACGTTTGTAATGGCTCTATTGAATATATAATTTTGCTAAGTAAACAAGAAAACTACTACTAACTATAATAGCTTTTGGATTTCTATACACTATAAATTTAACTCGACTTCTTATAAGCCTTTTACAAAAGAAAATTTACTTCATTAACACTAAGATCTTTAGACTGTTCGATATGGATTGACCGTGTTATTTTCCTTTTGTTCATATCATTTGCAATTGTAAACATGTTTACGTAAATAATAATATTACCAATTATAATAGTTAACCTTAAAAGATGTTCAATACAGTTAACATTTTTCTATGTATCAAAAATCTTCATAATAATACAAATAAAAATAATTCATAAGGTACAATACTTTTAATGGTCCACTAAATTTTAACTTTTATACTACGTTAACATAACAATTATATGGACGTAATAATAACACAAAAATTTTAATTCAACAATGGGAGGTGTTCGTACGGAGGGCGAATGTGGCGAGAGGGCTGAGGGCAGCTGCGCGTGCTGGCCGGCTGCGCGCACCAAGCCGGTTGACGTTTCATTGTAAATCCCAACACACCTGATCTTGGAAACCAGTCATTATTACAACTCCATTCTCTTTCCAGATTTCCATTGTAAACAGGCGCGTGCTCGAAGCGTGCTCTTTGTAAAATTCAAATTAATCCATCTTGCTGTATAGGCTGGCTTCTTATCGTACCAATTCTAATTGAATAGAATGTTTAATCCCAGTTGCATGTAATATAAAATCTAATTACCAAACTGATAAAACTAATAGTATTTACAACATTGGCAAATTACTGGCTGTATTGATATCTTCTTGATTTAATTTTTAATTATTTATTAACAAGAACGTTTACCATCTTTGATAAATTGATTTCTATACATTGGAATATACATTACTACAGCCTTCCAGTCCGTGACATAAACCATGCCAAGAAACCCGGCTATGCCGTATGTTATTGCTGATGGAATGAACGATGTAAGCTGCTGTGAAGTCTTTTTCCCCAAGGACATATTGTATTTTAATTGTTTATATACATAAGTTAAGATTTCGTTTTCCTATTTAACGAATGTTTTATGGTTGAGCTGATTCGAAAAATAACATTGATAAAGGTAACAAAATTAGCAAAATATAATGTCAGAATGCATTGACGTAACGTCGAAATCGTGACGTGTGTTTATAATATGATAAATAGGTTTCATTAAAAGCCGGTTAAATGTCTATCTAAACCAAAAAATAATCATTCGTTTAGAGAAAAAACGAATATTTTACCTAATTTCTAAATATAATTTATTTGTTACTTTCAGCTATTAGACTTAAAGGTAATATACACATACCCAGAATAGTATTTAAACTTCATATAACTCAAAAACCAAACATCAAAATTGGCATGATAAACTAAACTATATTACCATTCTAGGAAGTGAAAAAAAAGAATCCTTTATTTAATGTTTAAGGAATCTTATTATTCATTTATTGGTCAATATCAAGGCGACGCAGTCGTTAACTGTTAAAACTTTTGGTACATAATGATGCCTTTGAATTTTCATTAACTTAGTATACACTCAAAATATCCTTATGCTTCTAAAAATCTGCTTATACTTCAACCGTGTGCTTCTTTTTTAGATGAAATTTTCACGGAATATGTATTATCTCGTTTCAATTGAGCTCATAATAAATTAGACCCATGTATAATTTACACTGCAGTGCGAAGGACTAACATACAGACAAACTTATATCTAATAAATGCGTGTCATGTTACATTCTTTTTTTTAACACGTGAAATATCTACTGTCGTGACATTATCGAAATCATTTTGTCTGCCCATGACGAACATGGCGTGCGATCATGTAAGGGCACCACGTAACCACTAATTATGTTATCTATCGTCAACTCATTCCCATTTCGTTTTACGTGTACGTGAATAAAAACTAAACAAAATTTAATTCTTTTGTCACTAATACACTTGATTAGGAGTACAAATTATCAAATCTTATACTTCCTATTTTGAAATATTTTCCCTATTTAAAACTTCGGTGTAAAATGGCTCAGTCAGATACCACCAACTCTCTTATAAAAGGCCTTATTGCAGAATGCTGTAGTATTACCAATTCTCGATTAACTTTTACTAATGATATGGGGGTATGTTGACCATTGACCCACTAACAGGGGAGCGGAAGGGGTGGCCCGCCCCGGGCCTCTAGTCCTGGGCGGCAGCATAAGATGGTTTGAAGTTAGGAGTTCCCATACAAATAAATATAATCAGATCTCATACAGATCATACTACCAATAAATTAATACAGCCACAACCGGTAATAGCCGTGATAGCTCATGAGCCGTGACAGCTCATTGTCCGAGCGCTTGCATTTAATACCATATACTTGAGATCCCCGTCGCCAGCACCAATGAAAATGTTGGCTTTTAAGTGCTGAATTATCACTTGCTCAGCGTGTAGGCAAACATCGTGAGGAAACCTGCATTTTTTCCAAATTGTTTCGATTCGATGTGTGAAGTCCGCCAATCCGCAGTGGCGCCGCGTGGTGGACTATGCCCTTGTACTCTGTACAGAGGAGACCTTTGTCCAGCAGTGAGACATATATAAACGGTTACAGTACTCTTTTTTTTCTTTACAACCGGTAATTTACAATTCATATAAAAAAATACTACTACTGCTAATCTTTCTAATGTCTTTATATATATTTTTAGTTCCACTGGATAGACCTGAGATTGGAAGAAATTGATTACAAAATAGGATTAGGTATTTTAGTCGTACAAATACGCTAAAATATGTAGAAAAGTACGATAAGATTGTCGCCGCTGTGGGAATCGAACCCACGTCTTCGGCATTCGCGGCCTGACGCTTTAACCACTAAGCTAAACGGCTGATTGCCACACCGACGAAAATCTTAACGTCTTTTATCTACATTGTTTTTTTTAGCATTTGAAGTAATGCTTTGCTTTTTATAAATTTAAATTGTTTATTAACAGTTGAGAGGGATAAGCCACAGGGTAAGGTGTTCTGAACGTGGCAATATGCATCCCCGTTGAGAGGGATAAGCCACAGAGTAAGGCGTTCTGAACGTGGCAATATGCATCCCAGTTGAGAGGGATAAGCCACAGGGTAAGGTGTTCTGAACGTGGTGATATGCATCCCAGTTGAGAGGGATAAGCCACAGGTTAAGGTGTTCTGAACATGGCGATATGCATCCCAGATGAGAGGGATAAGCCACAGGGTCACTTGCACCAGACTACAAAGCCATTCGAGGACGAAGGCGTGATTCAGGACGGCCGAATGTTGTCGCTGGCAACACTATATATCACTATTTTGCATCATTATCTAACAAATGACTTCATAATTTATCCAAAAAACATATTGTTGCGACGTATTACATTATTATCAACTATCAATTTTTCGTAGTACCGTGTTGTTAGCCCGGTGGCTTTGACAGCTTCGTAGAATGATAATCGCAGGCAGACGACTAGCGAAGTCGGGAAAACAACGTAGCTGGTTCGCAACGATGACACGATGACTTCTTCCATTATTTCCGGGACCTCTGTTATCGAATAATAAGGTCGAAAATGCAATTAATCACGAGACATGAATACGGCGAACGATCACTTACGAGATGTAAATTGCGAAAAAATATTTGAAAACCATTAGTTTACGAGATACAATAAAATGTTTCATGAAATACAGGATTCACCAAAATAATCAATTTATTGAAACCATTAATCCTCAAAACATTCGTAGTTAATTACGTAAGAAGTGTATGTTCGTGTCAAGACTCGGAATTTCATAACAATAACAACACAACGTAAACGATAGAAAAGCGGCCTGGCGTATATGACGGGTATATCGAATTGCCTTCGTGTTCGCCGGCGAACACGCTGATATGCATGAAACGGTGACGTCTTAAAAACGTTTTAGATGATCGAGACAAATTGAAGTGCGATCGAATGAAACATTCTCTCGTCACCAACCGCCAATACTTCGCCTGCCAGGACCCGGCGATAAGGAGCCAAACAGGTCAATTGGCCAACACGACCGCAATTGACGTGGCATTTTTTTATGTGAGAGGGTGGCAACCGCCAATTTCTCAGTTTAAAAAAACCGACGCTCATGGACAATTCCAACACCCGTAAGGTTGCAGTTGCGTTGCCACATTTAAATGAAGTGGGCCTCGGCTACCTCACTCACCAGAAGAAACACAGAAGTATGACACTTCCGCTTCACGCTGGTTTTCTGTGAGGTCGTGGTACTTACCCGGACGGACCTGTCCATTCGTATAACAGCCGAAGCTGCGTGGCCCTGCCACAGTTTTGTCACTGTGGTGAGTGAATGTGGCGGAGCATACACCACATTCACTCACAAACATACAAAAGACATAGGAGCATTCGCCGGGAAACACGATGGCCATGATATAAAGTCTACACTCGACATCCCCGTGTACCGTGGTGCTTCGGAATCGTCTATATCTTAGGATCGTATTTTTGTTATTATAACGAGTCTACATACGTCCGTTTGATCATCGCGTAATTAACAAAAAACTTTATCCAAAAGTAATTGTTTCCACAAATTGATTACTTTCTTGAATAGTGTGTTGATTTAATGAATGATTAATTATCGTTAATAAATTGTTTTATGCCGCCCCGGCCCTGACCGAAGTACCCCTTAGATGAGAGGCAGACAAATTGTCTACACAAGTAGCGTCCCAAACAAGGGCTTTGCCTCTCTCACAAGAGATCAAGCTTAATCCGTCAGGTCTCTTACCATCGTCGCGAAAAATGCCACAGGGCTCTAAAATAGATGGAACATTGATGGAAACAAGAGCCCTCTGGATTATGTCGTTAAATTATGTCAAGAGAGCTGGTTCTTTTCGCGCTCAAAGGTTAAGCATAACTATTCAGCGAGGCAATGCAACTAGTGTTCTTGGCCCTATGCCGCGTGGGTTAGGTTTATTAGATAATTTGTAATTGTCCGTATTTATGCAAAATGGAACCACACGACAATTTTGTGTTTTTCTTTTTTTTACTAATATTGAATTTAAAAGTGGTCTAAATTCTTACCCAAAAAGAACCACATGATTTTTCCCTTGGAAATAGGGCATACAAAAAGCAGAAAGGAACCAACTGCAATAAAGAATATTACAAATTTCACAGATTTCAATTATTAACAATCATTTTTAATATACCAAATGGAACCAAGATTCTGTGGTATCGTTATGCGTAAAATAAATTCATAATTTAATTTCATATATTTTTTGCAAAATGGAACCACAAGCATTCGGTTCCATCATGTATAAATACATTGTGTCAAATAGTAGAACCACTAGTATGTGATTCCATTAATCAATATAACGTTTTGAAACACATGAATCGCCCAAAGGTACCAAATGTCATAACTTGTTAGATGCCTCTTGCCTTTAAACAACGTAATATAGGTACTCGTATACTTACTACTTTCGAAATATATAAATTCTCTCATAATTCAAATTAAATAATTCTCTATTGGAAAAAGTCGAAGTGCACCTGAATTTATATATCAAAACACTTGGCGTTTCTACAAAGATCAATAATACTGCTTTAATTAAAGTGATATCATAGAATTATAAATATTATATAGAATAGGATGGGAAAGTGGAGGTAACAACAAATGCAGCGACAAAATAGTTTTATACGTGAGGTGCAATTAAACCATCTTTCTAAGTATAAATCACACTATAGAAGAAGTAAGCCCGTGACCGAATATCTTATGCCAGACTTGAATTTGGACACCATGTTCCATTTAAACTGTGTACATAGAGGAGAAGCTAAGAAGATCAATAATGTAATGTATAGTTTTTATGTAAGAAGATGGCATGGGCATTTGCAACACCCGTAGGGTCGCAGATGCATTGTCACTTTTTAATAAAGTGGGTCCTGGGTACAATACTCTCAAGACGAAACGCAGAAGTATAACTCGTCCACTTCACGCCGGTCTGTGAGTTTGTGGTACTTCCCCGGACGGACCCACCTATTAGTGCAACAGCGAAGACTGATGCGTGGCCCATATTTAAATCTTAGACGAGTGCCTTTAAAACAGATTTTTGTAACAAGTGTGATACTTTAAAGTCGGAAATTAACTCCTTGCAAACCTGCTGAGAAGAAAAAAGCCATAGATACAGAACGCGAAGAATATTGCCGATAATGGAAAGAGGCTCAAAATGGAAACCTGACTTTATTCTTGCTACTAAATGTAAGAAACTAGTCTCAAGTTTGATCTCCAAAACATTACTTACCATAAATGACAGCTTTGGCTGGGTTGCTTTTTTGGATAGAAAGAATGGTGGCCAAAGGTGCTTAGGAAGTAGGTTCTTGTCTTGTAAAATATATACGCGAGCATATTTCTGTAGATTTCGAGGATCTAATTTTATGGACCGATTCAAGTAGAGGAACCAATTTCAGGTTAAAAGCATCTTTCCATCCTCATTTCACCTTCAAAAAATAACACTAACACAATTTTTATACTCGGACATGCTACCTAACCAATGACAGAGATATCCCTCATTGAAACGGCAATAAAGAAATATCCGAGACTATACACTTCCGATGATTATAGACAGGTAATGAAAGATTGACTGAAAAATCACCGCTTACAGTAACAGTTATCCCAAAAACTCACATGGGAACTTATAAGGTTGAAAAAGTATTAGTAACAGACGTGGTATTAATAAATAATGTATTAATCGGATATAAACTCAAAAAACATACCTGAAAATAGAATCACCTTACTCTATTTATTTTAAAAGATTTCCTTGGGAGTTCTGTGACCGGCTGTAATCTTCACAAAACATTTACCTCCCCTGTGATCGTCAAGGAAGCCAGTATCATCAGCGAAACTAGCTGATGTTCAGTTTATATTACACCTCCTGCCACTAAATGCAGAGTTTTTATAATGGTCTCAATTATAACGATGTGAATACAATAGAAGTCGATATAGATGGACTGAATACGGTCGATTTCGAAGTTCAATTCGATGATAACGTGGAATAAACGCTCTCTATACGTATAATTTTACATTTTTGGTGAATTAATCTTTATTACGATAATATAAATACATAGTTTCATTTATATCAGTAAATCCCTGGGTTGTGGTTCTTTTTTGTATATGAGAAAACCTATAAATCAGTAAATGTTAAAAGGAGCCACATGCACATTTTCTTAATTATTTAGAATATTTCAGGCTGTGCAGAGCAAATTTATATATACTTAATTAAATACATAATTTATCAATAAATTAAAATAAAATAAATAGTAATTTTGTTTCATCTAATAGATACTGCTGCACATATTTTTGTAAATCCTGTAATATCTCAGAAGTGCGTTTTTGCTGGGTGGTTCCTTTCTGTATAAATACGGACAATTTTAGATACATTTATTCTTGTAAATATTAGCTCAATAAACTGTATGATATTTATTTAAACAATTATAAGTTTGATCCATATTAATGTATACTTTATTTCGTAATGTCACTTTAGTTTATTAATATCAATGTCCCGCGTATCATCGTTTATTTAACAAATTGTAATTCAGATCATAAAATTCATAAACGTTTAGACTAGAGATGGGCAAGTAAAAAAAATATCGATATTTATCGTATCGTCAATTTGAAAATATCGATATGTCGTCAGTTTTCACATAATTATTCATACATATTTACAAACAATTAAAAATTCGTAAAAAAAAAGAATAGACATGAAGAAAATAGTTAAAAAGATTTTTGAAGTTATACTTCTTTTGGCGCGTTAGGGAAAAATAATGAGAATAAATTTTACGATGCGCGCGCACACCATCACGTAAAACCGACACCCTGAAGTTAGCTAGACATCTACGTATGTTTGCGTGAGAACTGTCAACTGTATTCACGATATTTATTTTGTGATATTTAAATAAACTTTATTTAACTACATAATGCGTTATGTTAAAACTTGAACAATATATTAAATACCTTTTTTCTATTGTTCGTGTCGTTTTTTCTACAAATATAAAATTTTTGAATAGATTTTTATCTTGTTACGCCAAAGAAGTATAACTTCTAACGCGTGTACATAAGTACACTTTGTACATAAGTACACTTTTTTTTAAAGTTAACGATGTGCGAGGAGCATGCAAAGAGTATCTAGAACATTAGAAAAATATCAATATTTTTATGTATCGATATTTTCTGCCCATGACTAGTTTAGATAGACATCACAGACTAACTAGAGATGCTTACGCATATAGACATCCATGATAGACATCTTTCTATAACTGGCTTAAAGGTCATGTTACCAGGCAATAAATTTTTTATTAAAAAAAAAACTATAACTGTGAACCGTCAACCGTTGACTTGATTGAATGATTGTCATTGTCATATTGTGGATGGATTTAGATAGATTTGTATTTTTTCGTAAATAATATGCAATTCCAATAAGTAAGTCAGATTTTAGAAGTCTTTATTCGTGTATTACAATTTTAATGTGAATATATATAATATACAACTTGACATTGCCGGAATTGTGACAACTCACAAAGCAAGCCATTAATAAAAAGAAGAACCGTTGAACAGTAAAATCTTAAATCAACTCGAAGAGTAAAGAAGAAATAATTACACTATAATGGCTTCGGAAAAGGATCCTCTAGTTAGTGAACGTTCAGGAACAGTGCGCGAAGTTGGTAATCATGCTATTTGGAGTTTATCTTCTTGCAAACCAGGTTACAATTGTTGACTATTAGATGGATTTTAATTTAGTACCCATTCCTTATTTCAACTTCATTTACTTTTCAGGGTTTGGTATTGACCAGTTGCGAGATGATTGCATGGATACATATTGGCAATCTGATGGTCAGCTTCCGCATTTAGTAAACATACAGTTTCAGAGAAAAACAATGGTTTCCCACATTTACATTTACACAGATTACAAATTAGATGAAAGTTATACTCCTAGCAGAATTTCGATTCGGGCTGGAACTCACTTCAATGATTTGCAGGAGATAGAGGTTATTGAACTAATTGAACCAAGTGGTAAAGAAAATTGTATTTATTTTTGGTATAAAAGTCCAACTTTTGTTTATCATTCCTTATAAATTATTGGGCCTATTTTGCTTCAAAAAAATAATTGCTAAGCCATATTTGATGTGTAAATTTTTTTGTTTTTGGTTATAACTATAATGATATTTACCCTTAATAACAACATAGTATGTCCATTACAATCCAGATTTAGATCTGGGCCTAATATACTAACACCTTTAATACCGTCCATTACATTATACTTTTTACCATCCCTTAAGTAATGGTTTCTAAAGAGGTGTTGAAATGATTTTCCTTCTATATATTGAAGGCATCAGCAATCAGTTTCAGTGATTTGTCTTCAAACTGGCTCAATATGATAACTGGTGTTCTCCAAGGCATACTGCCTTTCCCGAATTTTATTTTCTATATTTATATGTTATTACTTGTGAATGTAGGTGTGCATGTAATCTTTTTATAAATGATACAATATTAAGCAACCATTGATGTCATCCCAGAAGTCATTTCTAAAGTTAATTGAATTGGTTACTTAGTTGAATAAAAATTAGACTGATGTGCTTAATTTTAAATGCATCAAAATGCCAAACCACCATGATTGGACCAATACTATAAGTAAAATAGGTTTAGATAATCTTGCACATGTCTTATTTGACTGGATTGTGGATGAGTACCCATTCCTATAAGCAAAAACATGAAAAACCTTAGTTTATATTACTTGACTAAGCTGGAAAGAACAAATTGCAAATGTCAGCCTGCTCACAAGCTTCCTGCTGTGTCTCTATTGTCTTAAAAATTTGCTACCTCAATTTATTTGATGACTGACTTTTGAACTGCATTACATTTGTTTTCACCACACATTACCACTCGTATAGCTCATACATTCAAACAATGAGCAACAATCACAATTTATTTTTTTGTAGATTTTTCATCCACTTGTATATCTCTCCCTACAAGTAACTCTAAAGTAGGGAGAGATATATAAAGTAGGGAGTACTTTATATAGCTCTCCCTTCTTTCAATACCTTTTATAATTTAAACAATAAATATCACCATTCAGTGCCCTTCTATTCATTCTTATTTCATGCTCTCTTCCTTCTTCATCTATTTTAATCTTCTATGGCTAATCTTCACATTTAAAGGGAAAGCTCTTGACCATTTAATCAAAAAGTTTTGGGCAGAATGAGTCCACTCTAATATATATATTTGTGTGTTTATTATGTATGTACAGTGTAATGTCACTAAAGTGCCTGTGCATTTTATGGCGTTATAGAGAGTTGTTGTTAAATGGAGAGAAGAAAAATCAGAATTAGAAAAAGAAAGTTTTTTCAGACTAGTGTTGGTAGTCATGTACATTAAAACCAACCAAAGCAAAGTGATTTCAACGCTTTAGAGAGTTTGTTGTTAAATCGAGTGATGTTACATGGAGTTTACACTGTATTTATGTTCTGATATTATTATGTTTGAATGTATGTCTATTTTGTCAGTGTTGTTTCACATTTTTCAGTATAGTGCTTAATGATATTTATTGTGCATAAGGTAGGCGCTAAAATTTAGATTCTAAATTATGTGTCTGTTTTGTTTTTATTTATTATTAGCTTTTCGTCCGCGGCTTCGCTTGTGTTGAAGCCCTTAAATAAATATCGATCCCCTTTAAGAACCCTTTATAACCCTTTATCCAATTAAAAAATAGCCTATATCCTTTCTCAGGCTCTAGACTATTTGTGTCCCAAATTTCATTTAAATTGGTTCAGTAGTTTAGGCGTGAAAGCGAGACAGACAGACAGACAGAGTTACTTTTATAAAATAAGTATGGATTTTTGCAGCTCTACTTACTGTTCTGGACCATTGCTTAGGCTAACTAGCAGGCCAGTTTGTCAAACATTGAACCGTTTTCCACCAAAATAAAAACTGAAAAATTATAACATTAAACAAAATTGTTTTTGTTACAGGTTGGGAAATGATTCCAATAAAGGATATTCATGATAGACCAATAAGAACATACATGATACAAATAGCTGTACTAAGCAATCACCAAAATGGAAGAGACACACACATGAGGCAAATTAAAATTCATTCGCCATGTGAACCTACATCATTTGATTTGAATAAATTGAGAAACTTTTCTACCGTACAATTTCAACAATATGCAACAATACGATAAAGGAATGAATAAAATTGCAAAAATTGAAGAGGCTTCTTTCATCATTACATTTTATATTAAAGTATGAGCAACATGTTAATCTGAATCTTCACTTTCCTCGCTAGCTTCCTGAAGCCATTCAAAGAATTTGACTAATGATGTTTGACTGACAAGCTGACTTTCATTGTCTTTCAGATCATCATACCATTCTAGTAAAGAATCTTCGTCAACTACATCCGCTTCATATAGAAGATGTAGAATTTGACCTGCTTTGCCATCAAGCCATTCACACTTCATGCAACTATCCTGAAAGAAGTTTAAAGTTTAGTAATATAAAGTAATAGGAAATACAAAGAAATATATAAATATAGAATTAATCCTGTAACCTTTCAGAAAATTATTGTGCATTCCAAGATAATATTATAGAGAAGAGTTATAAAAACATTATTAATTGCCAATGGATAATTTTCATTATAGTCATTAGTCATTATATCATATTTTAATTTATTAAATAAATTTATATTTATTATACACACCTCTATAGCTCTCAAACAATCCATTATTGACGACTTTGTCTTGATGTAATTTGATAAAATTGGTCTGAAGAATTTTAATATGTCTTTAACTGTGACAAGTACACTTTTACTATCTATTAAAATAGGCATACTCAGCATAGCTCTAATAACAAAAAAGTTAACTTCATGTAATTGAATATTGTATGCATATCGGGATGAATTAATTTCCAGAATTAAGTAATCACATTTGAGTTTTTCTTCATATCCTCTTGCGAGACTGTCAATAACCTCTTGTAAGAATACTGAAAAATAAGGCATAATGGAATATTGGAAATATTAGTCATTTTTTATTAATTATTTAATATTATTATGTGTGATAGATATTTGCTTATGATGGTCCAAATTACTATAAACCAATCAATAATCTAAAATTAAATCCTTTATTAAAAAAATACAGAATAGTATTTTTTAATAAAGGATTTAATTATTAATATGTAGTTAAATTAATAATATTTCTTACTATTGGTATCTTCGGGTACTGGTGACTCTGGTAGGGAAGATTGAGCACTACTATCTGATGAGTAACATGATTCGCTATCACTCCATGATTTATTAAAACCACCAAATTCATCATCACCACTACCATCGCTTTCATTCTCCCACTCTGTTCCACTTTCTGATGCAGATTTCGAAACTTTATTTTCTGTAAACAATATTACCCATGAATGTCTTAATCAAAGTTTAATACTAATCATAAATCATAACCATACTTTCTACTAACCATTTTCTTCTATTTCAGAACTTTCTATGATAGCACCCTTCAATTTGCTTCCTGTTTTTATGTTTACATTTGCCACAATAATGGTACCATCTTCTATAAGTGAATCTGCTTCAATTACACAGTTGTTGTCAATAAAGGAATTGATAACTTTACAGTTATCTTTGATTTTAACATTGTCCATTATATGGCTACCTATTAATGTAACATTATTGCCAATTTCACAGTTATTTCCAATCATTGTTTTTGAGACAGTTGTGTTATCACAAATATGAGTATCGGCTCCTATCAGAACATCTTCAATAAGTGTGCAAGATCTAAAATTATAAAGATATTGTTAAATACTAATCATGTTAATAAATCTATTATCTGGTGTTATTGAATGAAATACTATTAGTATTTCACAAGGCTTACCTGCTCAATTTTGAAGTTGTCTTACGAAAATTATGGTTACCCATAAAAACATAATTGTTTTGGAAGAATGAACCAGACTCAATAGACAATGGATGTACCCAATAATGTAAAATATCCCACCTACAAATGAGAGACAAAAAATATAATGCTATGGAATTTAATAGTAAGAGCACTTAAAAATTTACTTAATCACTTACGAAATGATTTGGTATGTTTTCCAGTTAGTAATAGCAGCAGCATACTCATTTACTTTCAAAATTTTGTAGTATACAGTGCTGGCAAGAATTTCTTCATTTATCAATATACCATTAACAAAGTCATCCCTTGTTTGAAAATCAAAATTGTCAGCAAATAAGGGAGGCACTGAGGGTGAACATAGTGCAATGTTGGCATCTATCAAATTATAATGTAATTTAACCTCGCCATGACTCAAGATGCAATCCTGGAAATTTTTATTGTAATTAATAAATGATAATAAACAAAAAGACAAATGTATAATAAATGACTAATTTTGTCATCTAGAACATAAAGTATAAACAAAATTTACCAGTGGTAACTGTAATGTAACATCATTTGATTTTGTCTTTTCATGGATTAATACTTTTTTGGTATTTCCATCTGCTGCCAAAAATAGGGCCCTATCACTTTTTATTAAAGGATGTTCCTGAGATACTTTTTTGTAAATCAATGTCATTGCAGCTTCTTTGTCCTTTTTGCATGTTAATCTGTAAATTTGTAACAATACACATCAGATCAACTTATCAAATCAACTAGAGCTCATTTTAACACAATGTATTAAAAATAAATTCATAATTGTTGTAAATACTAAATAACTTACTTATGCTGTTCAAGGAGAGCTGCAAAGTTTATGTTTGTAATACTATTCACTCCCATTAAAATGAAATAACCTCTGATGAGGCCTGCAGCATCTATTTCTCTCATTACATCTCCCATAGTTTGACATGTTTCAGATGTTATAACCTGGACATCCATAGTCAAACTCCATGTTACTTTTTCTTTTGTACATTTTCTGTTGTTCAAATTTTATTAGTAAATGTTTAAAAGTTGATAAATATAACAACACAGTTATGTTTGTCCCAACTTACTTTATATGCTCCTTAATTTTCGGACCATCATTACAACAAAACAATATTGTTTCACCGACTCCGCCCAGTCCCAGAGATTCTAAAACATAATCTATTAGTGGAACTCCAGCTACCGGAAATAATGCCTGAAATTATAATATTATAACATTTAATATATTTGTAAGCATTCATGTATATTTATCATATAATAAATAAAACTTACCATGGGCTTAGTTTTATTAATGGGTGTAAAATTATTCTTAAAAGTATCCATAACAACCACAGCCTGAACAATATTTTCTTTACCTGACTCCATTTTTAAAAAGCCGAATCTATCTACCTATGTAATAAACAACTGAAATAGGGCCAGATTGCAATATAATGTTATACCATGTATCATAAAGCGTAGTGGCTTGTTGTGGCGTATTGGTTATATTCTCTGACATCACATAAATATAATATCACTAGCCATTAGCCAACATTGACACTGACAGCGAGGGATGGGCAAAAAATATCGATATATATCGTCGATACTTTTATTATCGATATTCGATATTTATTTTCGACTATCGAATTCGTGTCAATTTCGATTTTTTTTAACGCTACTCTTGGTCCCTTTCGTTTGGTATTTAGGTGATGCGTGCAAGATAATACTTTTTTTTTAATAATGATTATATGCCTGGTAACAAGTTCTTTAAGCCAATACCATGAAAATATTAATAACTAATACTTTTAAACCATCAATCAGTGTGAGACGTAATTATATGACCGAGACGAAGTTAACAAACAATTAACAATTTTCGGATCTTTTTTTCAACAAATTAAAAAAAATTGCACATTTAGAAAGGTAAAAACTCTTAGTACAATTTTTTATATAATATAAAAAAATGTATAAAAATATTATTTTCTTTTATAATTAATCATTGGAAAAAGTTATGTTTAGGGTGGTTTAGGCCTTTTAGGATGTGCTCCGTTAGGCGGTATAATTGATGGGGACAAGAGTGTCTAGCTCGAAAGCCGAATTGTTCCGTCGGCAGAAGGCCGTTGGAAAATATGTGCTCTTTGAGCCTGTTTAATAGGAGCCGCTCGTAAAGCTTCCCTAGGCAACTGCGGAGGCTGATGGGACGATAGCTAGAGGGCTGATTAGCTGGTTTATTCGGCTTGCGAATGCCGATAACCGTGGCTTGTTTCCAGTCGTCCGGAAAGGAGCAACTGGAGAGTAGGGTATTGAAAATGGTCGCCAGTAAAGAGATAAGCGGCCCAGGGAGAGCTTTGAAATGTGTAACTGCGATCGCAAGACCCGTATTTAAAAAATATGGCCATAGCAATCAGGACAGGAAATCATAAATACGTCAGACCATAAGATAATTTTTATCTATATTTGAATTAAAGAAATCAATGACCCTATTTGTTGTATGTTTGGTTACCAGGGTGTTATTGATTGCTCAGTCTTTTGAGGCCAGTTCCACGGTTAAGTATACAAAGAGAATATACAATGGATTACGATTTAGCAAGAATTGACTATATACTTTGCGGTATTACTTATCCTGAAACACTGAAAGTCCTTCCAAATCCTGGTCAGAAGACACAACAAAAGGTAAGGTCATATTAAATTGGTATTTCATTAAATGGTCAAAATCTAGTTTACAATTTGTTTCTAATTTTGTAGTTTGCTGTCGGCGATAAAAATGGAGTTTTGCAATGTTTGAGTATAAAAGACGAGGAACCTATTATTCAATTTAAAACTTTGCCAGGGAAGTCAATAACTTCAGTACAAGTTGCTTCAACAAACGGTAATAAATCATTCATGATCCCATAGCCATACTACGTTTGAATAATTATATTTTGTGTGTACTGATGATAGTATTTAATAAAATATCCATATATCAAGACTAGGAACAGGCAGCAACGCAGGAAATTAACAAACATTAATTTAACCAACACACAATAAATCCAGATAAACTATCTGCGAGTCGCAATAATGTTGATAATGAACGCACAGCCTGCAGTAGCCCATAGCTTAGCAACTCCTCCGATCTAACATTTCGAGAATAAAACGGAAATTCTTAGCAGGAATGAAGCGTCCAATACTGTTGCAATTTCTTATTTATCATAAGTTTTCCCACATAATGAAAACTTTTGTTTTTTGAATTTTGACCACAAAAATATTTATTGAATCCGAATTTCGGATGTTTTATGAAAATAAATGTGTACACTATTTGAAATTTCATTTATTTTTGAATATGGAATGCTTAAAGAAGATCGAGTTACGGTTATCACATTACAGCGATGCGGTAACTCGCTAAATCAGATTTTCAATCTACTGAAAGATTTTAATGTCACCAAAAGATTTACTTATCGCTCCCTCAAACGGACTCCAGCAGTAATAAGAGCTGTGAAGGTGTGAATACAAAGATATCCCATGCGTAAGCATAAAATGTTGGCCCTTCATGTGGTTTAACAGAATCAAGGTGAAAAGGATGTTGAATGAAGACTTAGGGCTTCGAGCTTTTCGAAGAAAAATATGACATTGTTTGGATGCACGTTTCATGATCCCGCGCTTTGGGGAATCGGTATAAGCGAAAAAAAAAAGTTTTTACCTATTGAAATGACTTTTTTGTATAAAAAAAAATATTGTGGAGAGCTACAATAATCAAGTCGATAAGGTAGATGCCCACAACAGTGAAGCGCGTCCAGCGACGCCATTTTCCATCGTCCCTCATGTTTTCGCTGGTTATCATATTCGGGCTTAATTCTATTTTTTTTGCGAGAAAGGGGTAAAAACTAATGCAGTTGTGTATCAAAATACAATCCTTACAAACCTTGTAGAATCTCTTTCTCATGCCAAAACCATGTTCAAGACAAGCTCTGACTATCCCAGCAAGATTCTGAGTTCAAAGACTGAAAAGCAAAATTGGCTGGCAACGCGTGAAATTGACTACATCCGACACGAAGATTGGCCCTCTTAATCCAGACTTAAATCCGTTCGATTATAAAACGACTGGCTATGCAGGTTGAATGTTGCATATAAATGCTTGCATACACAACCGCGGGGGCAGTTGAATTAAGCTTAGTTAGCATAAGAATCTATGTTTCAGTAAGTTCTTTTTGGTAGGTACCTATATAAATGGTTACTGTAAAACAAACATGCATCAATTATTTCACAATAAAGATGTGACTAAACGTAGCAGTTATGTTCTCTTTGCAACAGTTGCATTGTAACAAGCCTTTTTTTTCAAAGATTATAGTAACCGAGACTTATTGACAATAAATTATATAGTTTTTAAAAATAATATCTTGCATATTGCACAATCGATAGTCATATTGCCCTTTTGCTAGGTAAACATTAATTAAGTAGTAATAATGAAAGTATAGAACTAAATATGTGAAAATTAATAATTTAAAACACCATTGCACGCTACCGATGTTGTGTTAATCTACGACAATAATAATTGTTAGTTTCGATTCTATTTTAAGACTTCAATTTATTACACTTAAAACTGTTAATATATTTTAAGTAGTGTATAAACTTTAAAACTTGTAGAAAAAGTACGAAAAGATTGTCGCCGCTGTGGGAATCGAACCCACGTCTTCGGCATTCGCGGCCTGACGCTCTAGCCACTGAGCTAAACGGCCGATAGCCACTCTGACGAAAATCTTAACATCTTTTATCTACATTGTTTTTTAGCATTCGAAGCAATGCTTGGCGCATCTATTGTTATATCCTTTCCAGATTGTTATATAAACTATTTATAAGTTTTTTTCAATTCATTAATATTATAAATTTTTCCAGGAAATCATGCGGACAAAATTTTTGCTGCATCAGGGAATGAGGTTAAGGGTTACACGAAAAAAGGGAAAGTATTTTTAAGTATTGAAACATCGGTATCCGAAACAATTACGGCAATGTAATTATTTTTTCAGAATTTACGTACATTTATTTTATAATTTGATGTAAATTCAGAGCAAAAATGTAACGAGCTATTAGTATACACTTGTATAAACAGCGTGTCGTTACAACCGCGACAATAAATCAACACACTTCTAACGCTACTTGCCAATAATCATCTAAAATATTAAAAAAATCTATAATTTAAAAAATATATTTTTCAAACAAACTAATTAAATAAAAAAGAAAGAAAATATGACACACCCTATACAACTACAACTGACTGATTCATACATTCAGAGACTTTTTCATTCGTTGCCACAACGTCGCATTCCAAGTCTCTCCTAACAGTATGTTTTATTTCTTTTAAATTCATTTAACCCATTCATATTCTTTGTGACCTTTACAAATGAACTTAACGTTACAGTTTTATATGTAAGGGTGTTCTAAAAATATATGTTTTGTAAAATTTAATAACTCTGTAAATATTGATGTCTAAAGAATGTAAATGCTTAATACAATTTTAAAAAGTTATTCTCTATATTATGTGTGTTCATTTACAGTCGCGGTTGTAACGACACGCTGTATACGTAAACCTATTATTAATTTTCTTTACCTTGTCATGAACTCAGAGGTAATGGAAATGCTTAATACAATTTTAATAGTTATCTTCTATATGTGTGTTCATTTATTTTCGCGGTTGTAACGACACGCTGTATAAGTATACCTAATGTTTGCTCGTTACAATTACGTTATTGTTAAGTATTGTTTTTGTATGCAGGTGCATTTTGGGCAACGACTTAGTGCTATGCAGTGGGCGCACGGTAACATTCTACAGGGACTTGAGGGAGATGTATTCGTACGACTGCGAAGATCGTGTACTTGACATTGCCGCGTTTTCTGCTCCAAACGTGCGGATATCAATACTAATTAATATTGTTTAGTTCATAGATTCCGTTGATACATTGCGGAGACTGCATACGATATATCTTTGCTTTCTCCGTAAGCCTATGCCTACGAAAACAATATCGACTTTAATGCACGAATTAATCGCTGCATGAGTTTTAAGTGTTTTGTTTACTGGCTGAACCCGGCCACACTTCGTTGTAGTATTTTTTTTTACGATTGGAACTTCGGAATAAAAAGTAAATAAAAACACTATCCCGTTCAATAGCCATGTTGTGAACAAATGTGAACTCAATTCATCGGCTAGTTTTTGAGTTTTTTAGGCACAAACATACGGTAGTACCTAAAATTTTAATTTCAACTAGCTGAATTCGTTTCCGGTGTAATTTCGAAATAAAAAGTATAAAAAAACACTCCCCTGTCCAATAGTTATGTTATGAACAAATGTCAAGTCAATCCAACTTGTTCTTGAGTTTTGTGGAAAAAACGAAAGCCATTTTTTATAAACAAAGAAGATTAGCTTTAAAATACCTACTTTGAAGGACACATTTATAAATTCCAGAGTACTCGAGTTCGACTTCTTGCGCTTATCACCAACGAAGAAGCGGTGATAATCGAGAACGCAGAACTTCTAGCGCGAACCCATATAAATTCAGGTCCATCGCGTCTAATAGTGCCACCGACGCATCGCTCAGCAGAGGTCTGTGTGATCTACGGCGCCGCTGATGGTTCCATAGGCTTAATTCAATATGAGTGAGTTTTGCAATTTTTAGTGTCTGTTTCAATTATAGTAACCGAGACAAAGTTAAAATATTCCGTTTTTCATAATCAACACCCATAAAAAAGGTATTACAAAAATACATATTTAAAAAAAAGTGGTAAAAAATTACTATTTATATACATGATTTGATTAATGCATTGCGAACCCTATAAAACTGACATTATTTACAAACTTGAATAACAATTTTAGATGTAGGTGATATAAAGGTCTAATCGACTTGTCCCCTCCGTATATAAGGCCTTTTCCCAGCAGTGGGATATGTATAAGCTGTTGCTTTACTTTAGAATATTTAATTCAGCCTCTTTCGCAGAACCGAGTTATCGAGTAGATGTCTTGTGGAGGGCGGAGGCCTGGGATCTGTTGTTTGCCTGGGCTGGTATTTCAGCGTTAGTGGGGCTCACTTAGCAGTCGGCCGTCACGACGGCTCCGTCCAGCTCTACTTGGTCGACTTGGAAAATATAAATGAAAAGCCGCGTTTGAAATTCACCTACGTACGTAACCCTATTTTCAACATAAAGGAAAAACCCGGCTTTAAATGTCACCTACGTACACAGCCTGTCGTTACAACCGCGACAATAAATCAACACACGTCTAACGATACTTGCCAATAATCATAAAAAAATATAAACGTTAAAAAAATCCATAATTAAAAAAAATATTTTTCAAACAAACTAATTAAATTAAAAAGAAACAAAATTTGTAACATCCTATACAACTAAAACTGACTGATTCATACATTCAGAGGCTTTTTCATTCGTTGCCACAGCGTAGCATTGCAAATCTCTCCTTCTAACAGTATGTTTTATCTCTTTTAAATTCATTCAACCCATTCATATGCTTTGTGACCTTTACAAATGAACTTTACGTTACAGTTTTATACATAAGGATGTTCTAAAATTGTTTGTTTTGGAAAATTTTATAACTCGGTAAATATTGATGTTTAAAGAATGTAAATGCTTAATACAATTTTAAAAAGTTATTCTCTATATTATGTGTGTTCATTTATAGTCGCGGTTGTAACGACACGCTGTATATAATAGGTTTACTATTATTAATTTTCTTTACCTTGTCATGAACTCAGAGGTAATGGAAAATGTTATGAGAAAACCTCCATATTTTCGAAATAATAAAAAAAATATATCGAATACATCTGAAGACAGAGGTGTCTCGTGGTGGACTATATCCTAATACCTTTAATATGAGCTCCTAGCCTTCGCTCAGCAGTGGGGCACATATAGGCTGCTAATTTACTTTCTCTTTACTTCTGCGGCCTCCCAGCAGCTTCTACTGTTGCACGAACGGGCAGGCTCATCCTATATAAAATCTGGGAAGTTTTAGAAACGTCACGTTGACGAGTGTTAGCTGAGGATCGTTCTACACGGTTCGACCGTTCGACCGGTTTCAATTTTATCCATCTGTTGATTTAGTTACTAGCGATAGGTATTTGACATTAGCACCACAATACTTACGTCAAAATTATATCTCCAGTAACCAAATCTACAGATAGATAGAATATTGTATCCGACCGTTAGTTGGGCTATTTTACGTAGCTTAGCTGGCACCGCGGGAAATGTGCGGGAAGTCGATGGATGCAGGTGGCTCAGGATCGTACTTCGTGGCAGTCTGTGGGGGGTCCTATGTTCAGCAGTGGACTCAAACAGGCTGAAATGATGATGATGATAGCTGGCACCGCATACTCCGGTGGATGTACATGTGTGAAAAGCTGGCGCAACTGTGCGAACTAAACTAAGCTAACTTAGTTTAGTTGGCGTTAGACGATCGGCATTACAGTTCTGCGGCGAACCAGTCACGTCAGTCAGTGGGGGACGCGTTGGTACGGAGAGAAGCGAGCTGATGGTGTCGACCTTTTCGGGAAGAGTTTTCGCGCTGCGCTCGCAGAGACTGATCGCTGGCGGCACGTCCCTGAACAATATTACAGCGGATATCCTCGCATCCAGGCGGAACAAGCTGGAGTTGGTTTTATTTGGAATACTAATTAAGTCGTCTCGGTTGTATTGTATTTTGCGTGGAAGGGGTTTGGTATTATTAATTGCCAACAACCACTGCGACCTAGAGGATCAATTTGTAGTCGTCCCTTCGAAATCATTTCTCCCTTATTGTAGGATAACATTATCGTGTTTTGTAAGGACGTTTTACATACATATATTTCACGTGGACAACCACCTAGATCCGAAACAATTATTTGTGGGTCACACAAATGTTTTAGTTTCATATGTAGGTCAGAATTTGGTATTTGGTTATTTGATGACTATTTTAACTATTTTTATATTGAACTATGTTTTCAACAGCATTTGCACCATATTCCAACAAATAAATTTATGCCATTCTATTCTTTTACAATCTCTTCTAGTACAAACAAATTTGGAGACGTATATTGGATTCGAGTTTTCTTTCGACGCAAAAATAAAAAATAGTTAACTTTTTCATTTATGTGTTCTGACGTTCAAGACAAAGCTCTCTTTTCAACATTTCATGTAGCTTTTATACTAAACATATTTAACGTTTAACTTTGTAGGTTAGAAGTGGCGCGTTTGGAAAAGCAAACAGCAATCGAACGGGAGAAATATCAACGTAATACACGTTCCTTGTTGGGCGGATTGTCAACACCGCCTCTATTGGATATTCAATACGAAGTAAATAAAATAACCTCCAAAGTATCTCAATCTTAGCCTGTGGTTATATTGGTATCAATAACTACTTCGAGTTCAATCACAAAGATGGTACCGTTCGGCGTTCATTTCGAATCTTCGAAATCGATCATGTTATTTCTAATAATCTGTCTATATTTCCAAGCAGTGGCGGACTTACAAATTTACTGCCGATATTCTGTTCAATTTTTGCTGCCCCTACTGACCTCTGAAATTCGATACCCTAGTTGGCAATATGAATTACATTTATTCTATCAATAAAATTGCAACATTATGATTTGTGCTCTATCGTCTTTATTACATCAGATTTTATCGTTATTAACATGATTTTGAAGTAGTGTTTCTTTGTGTCAATTTCTAGATTATTTTTACAACCGACGAATTTTTATTACGGTACATTTTGGTACTCGTACTTGCAAGTTTTCGCCATAATCTAAATTTGTACAAATCTCTTTATCGTGTTTATTAAGGACCTTAATTTTTATACACCTAACGGGGACTATAGAGCTCAGTATCTGGTATAAATTTCATCTTGCTAGGTCCGCCCGTTCTTGAGAAAATGAATTTTATTATAGTCGTATAATTGGTAGGTACGGAACCTTCGGCGTACGAATTCGACTCAAACTTGACCGGTTTTTTCATAAGACAAGTTTTTTTTATTTTCAGTTAACAGGAGCAATGCTCAATGGATGGCAGGAAGTGGTCATTACCGCGGGAGTTCCATTAGACATGCTGTTTATTTACTGTGACAAGGAACTGGAAATTCAAACTGACAGCGCAGCCGTATTGAGTACGTGCCTACCACAGGTAAATTAGGAAAAATATTAGAATATGTATAATACTATTGTTCTCAAACACTACACTAATCGCAACCACACCAGCAGAACCTCCGGTAAAAGTTAGTCGAATGTAACAACGAAAGTTTTATTTCGCTGTTTCGTTAAAATTTTTATACAAAAAATGTTTCATCTTCATCATCATCAGCCGGATGAATTCCACTGTTCAACCAAGACCTCCATGAAGAACTCTATACATAGACTGATATACTTACTTACATAAGCACCAACACGTAGCCCAAATGTATAGAGTATAGAGTTTTCCATGAACCTTGCCTTTTGCCTCTTCCAAATTCATACATGCCTACATAATTATACACTCATGTGTGCTTTTTATTAAATCGATTTGGTCAATTTGTGCGAGGAGTACTTTCGCACCACAAACATTTTTAGTCGATGTCTCTATATCCACATCACAGTAAAACCTGCTATTAGATGTTTCTGTTACAATAGGAGGGAAAACCTGAAAACCTCGCTACAGTCCGGTGCCAAGCCGGAACGAGACGTACATGGCTCCAAATGCGTTCAGGAACAAATTCAGTCGTTGAAATGGCGGAGGCCACGCACGTTTTTGTCTACGTGCTTCCAGCCAGCGCGCCGCGAGTCGCCCGCCTTATCAAGCTGATGTTGCCAGCACTGCCGCAATACTGCCAACACGCAGACCCGGAATGCGACGACGACAGGTTAAGTGATGAAGATGAACTTTTAGGGTTCCGTACCCAAAGGGTAAACGGGACCCTATTACTGAAACATCGCTGTCTGTCTGTCTGCTTGTTACCAAGCTGTATCTCATGAACTGTGACAGTTAGACGGTTGAAATTTTCTCAGATGATGTATTTCTGTTGCCACTATAGCGAAAAATACTAGAAACAGTATAAAATAAAAAATATTTGAGGTGGCTCCCATGAAACAAAAGCGAGTCGGTTGCTAGGGCACCTATAGGTACTTTCCAATTAGTTTATTATAGATAATGGTACAGAACCCTTCGTGTGCGAGTCCGACTCGCACTTGGGCAGTTTTTTTTATTTTTATCTAAATGCTGATTTTATAAATGAAACTAATTTTACGGATTTATCGCGTTTATTGTTAATTTTAATTCCCGACGTTTCGAACCCTTTACAGCGTTCATGGTCACGGGACAGACTGAGGTGTTAGACGTCGTCGAACCTCCACTAGATGGAGTGACGACCTTTACAAATGTGCGGGAAGTCGATGGATGCAGGTGGCACAGGATCGTGCTTTGTGGCAGTCTGTGGGGGAGGCCTATGTTCAGCTGTGGACTCAAGCAGGCTGAAATGATGATGATGATGAATAGTTGTTACGTTCCAATTGAATATGAAAAACTTTTCAGAGTGTGGTCGGAATTGCGCGTGACCGGTGGTTTTTCCGTGGCCGAGATGACATCGTGGCTCAGCGAAGCGTTGCCAGGCGAAATGCCGAGGCCAGCGGCCAGCATAGAGTTTGCACGATCGCATTATCTTCTGAAAACGATTCTTATATGCAGCTATCAGTAAGAAAATTATCAAATTCATATATTTAAACTTCTTGTTTGATCTGGTTTGATTCAAAATAGTTTTAAAAGTTACGATCCTTATATACAGCTATCAGTAAAGAAAGAAAATCGACAAATGTTTACATTAAAACTTATCGTTTTAATGTAAACGTTGTAATATAACACTTACGTATTAAGTCTGGTGAATGAGGTAATCGGACCCAATTCTTTAAAAATTATCAACATATCAAGGGCTTGCAGCCCTTAAGTGTTATAGATGTCTATAGAATGCGGTAATCACTAGACATCAGGTGAACCGCCTGCTCGCTTGACGTTTCATATGAAAAAAAAATATAATACAGTTTTTACGAATTTAGTCACATCTCATTTGCAGAAATCCGTCGAAAGATTTAGACAGTACAGTGTGCCATATATAATTGTTAGATATGCAAACATACATTAAATGTAGATACGTAAATACGTTCAAATAACATTACCATCCTTCGGCGGTCAGGTAAAAATTACATAAGTTTTGTTTATGTTATGAACTATTCTCATTTAAACTTTCTATTAGACGGGGTACAGCTACATTCAAGTCTGATAACATCTCTACGATAGCAATACTCAAAGACGTCTTATCTAACTGTTCCGTAAAGAGGTCAATTCGCGTCGATATATCGTGTGGTGAGTACTTATATTACCATTTTACGGCATTTTTTTTGCTTTTCATTTTGTATTTAAATTCCCAATGTTTTGAAAACTTTCAAATGTTTATGGTCACGGGACACGAGAGCCTGTCTAATCTCTGAATTGTATGTCTGTCTGAGTATTTGTGGAAATACAAAAAATTATTATTTGTTATCATTTTTAATTTATGTACAGGCTTACATTCTTAAATAAATTAAAAGTTTTGTTTATTATTTATGTATACCGTAGAAGTTCCACAAGTCAGCTGCGCAATGTCATTCGAGAAATTGAAGGATGATTTTGTATCTGAATATCGTATGAAAAAAGAATATATCTTGAAAGGAGCTATTGGGTAAGTTAGTTACTACCAAGTGACTTTTTTATACTTAGTTGAATGCAATAGAAAATGTCAATGTTACCGAGGAAATCGATTTTTTGTTATTTGTGTAAGTAGTAGTAAAGTATAATTGTAGTTGTGTGGTAGTAAAGTAACATGTACAGCCTGTACATGTCTCACTGCTGAACAAAGGCCTCCTCTGTACAGAGGCCACGCGGCCCCACTGCGGATTGGCGGACTTCACATATCTTCGAAATATTTGTTTTTGATATTATTTCGAAAATATGCAGGTCGATGTCGTGATAAGTCAGCATTTGAAATTAAAAATTTCATTGGTGCCGGCACCGGGGATCGAACTCAGGTTGCTCGAGTATATTGAATTAAAGGCGAGCGCACGGACACTGAGCTATCACGGCTCTTGAAGAAAGGTAGGCGAGTTGTTATTGGTATTATGTATTTTGTGTGGAAGGTGTTGGGTAGTTAAGTGTCAACGACCACTGTGACCTAGAAAAACCTATTGTGGTTTTCCCTTCGAAAACATTACCCCCTTACTGTAGGATATTATCATGTGTTGTAAAGTCGTTTTATATACATAACTTTCAAGAAGACAAACACCCAGATCCGAAACAATTATCTCTGGTTCACACAAGTAAAATCGCGCCCACGACACCCGGCGCCAAAGCCAATAGCTTGCTTACTGTGCCACGGATTTATCAGGTATACAGGTCAACCGCGACAATAAATGAGCATACGTCTTACGCTACTTGCCGATAATCATAAAAAATACAATATTAAAAAAATCCATAATTAAAAAAAAATAATTTTCAAACAAATTAATTAAATAAAAAAGAAACAAAATTTGTAACATCCTATACAGCTACAACTGTTCATTCCGTTGCCACAGCGTCGCTTTACAAGTCTCTCCTTGTAACAGTATGTTTTATATCTTTAAAATTCATTGAACCCATTCATATGCTTTGTGACCCTTAACAAATGAACTTTACGTTACAGTTTTATACGTAAGGGCGTTCTAAATTTTTTTGTCTTGTAAAATTTAATAATTTGTGAATATTGATTTTAAAGAATGTGAATGTTTAATACAATTTTAAAAAGTTTTCCTCTATATGTGAATTCATTTATTGTCGCGGTTGTAACGACACGGTGTATAAAGTTAGGTCGAGTACTATGGTTGTACTCGACCTATCCACTCGCTTGTACAACATGGAATATGTTGAGTGGTTACTGCCGCCCATGGATGATTAGAATACCACCAGGATTCCACATATTATTTTGCCAACCTTTAAAAGTGTGGATCCCGATTATCTCACTCACCAGGCAATAGCAATAGTGTAATAATTCACACTCGTCTTCTGTCTGGTGACGAAACGAAAAAGTTTAATCTTTTGTTTATGGCCATAGTACTTTCTCGGTAAAAACACCGCAGGCATGACAAACGATATTTATAAGGTCGTTTCATGATCAAATAATTTCAGGGCCCTCGATTTAGATATGAATGCGTTTAATAACGAATGTCAACCAATTTTGTGCGAAGAATATATGCAAATATGTAGAAAGCCCGATAACAATACCGAAAAAAAATTCAATTTTAATGATTTAGTCAGTAAGTACATTTAAATTTTCATAATTTAACTATGCAAGCTTATTTTTTTCTTTGGTTGTAATCTTAACGCATTTTCGTTCGAAATAAAGAAAAAAACGTGTGTGTGTGTGTATGTACTCACCCAAGAAGCTATACTTCGTTTGTGTGTCCGAAGCAAGACGCACAAAATAGCGTCAAAAATTCCAAAAAAAAACAGGTGTTACCATGTTAGAATCGCCCATATAGTCTGGATGTAAATCTAGTACATATTTTGTGAAACACCGCGATTTAAATACCAACGGATACGAATAATCTGAATGGGGCATTCACAAAACGTGAAGATTTTTTATAGCAGAAAGATGGGAAATATCGTTAAGCAAACTCACGCCATTTTACAGCTATAATCGAAAGCGGAGACAGTCCACAATACATCAATGCTATCTCTCTAACTCTATTATTTATCTTACTCTACTATGTACTGATTTGTTACGAACTAATTATTTGTTTTTAGTGTTCCTGCGTAAAACCTCTAGATGGCTCCTCTTTCTTTAAATATTATTCTAGTGATTGTTTCGTGTTATGTACTCATTGCACGTTCCACAAAATTTTTACGAATATGGCAAATTTAAATTTTATTTAATTTAATTTACAGAAACCGTCGAGCAGTGGTATTCAGATTGGTGTAAATTGTCTTTGCACGGCAATAACTTTAATGTTCAAAGATTTCAGTTGAAATCTGCATTGCAAAATTGTCAAATTGAAGACATCGAGAAAATACTCGCCGTTACTGATTCGCATAGTGATTCAGATATGTAAAAGATAAAAATATTTCACATTACAAATATTAATACATGTTATTTAAGATTCAATTTCAATCATCAAGGAACATAAGAGCTATATTATACCTAGTCAGTTCATTAGTTCTGTCACATAATGCAAACTTTTGAATATTTCTATATATATTTATAAACTATAAATATTTATAGAATTCGAATTTCGAATGCTTGAAATAAAAATGTGCACTATTTCGAATTTCATTTATTTTTACATATGGGATGGGCGTAAAAAGTGAGATGTTATCACGTTGCATCGTTTCATAACTTTCGAACTACTGAAAAATTTTAATACAACCAAGAGTTTATCGCTCCAAAAAACGATTTCATGAAAATTGGAGCGAAGAAGACATAAAAAGAAGCGGTCGCCGTCTCACTGTTAGGAGTCCAGCAATGATAAAAGCTGTGAAGGCGCGAATCCAAAAAATCCGCAAATGAGATTAAGCAGAACCACGGTGAAAATGGTGTTGAATTAAGACTTAGAGCTTTGAACTTATCTAAGAAAAATAAGAAATTATTTGGATGCGCGTTAAATGTATTTACTTAGTGAATAGATTCTGCGTTTTGTTTGAGGCCATTTTCCATCGTGACTCATGGATTGGCTGGGAATTTCCAATATAAATATATAATAAACAATAAAACAAGTGCGGGTCCAGGGGGTGGGTCATGGGGGTCATGACACCCACCCCCTCCCTCCCCCCAGGGCCCCCCCATTTTTATCACAATATAAATTAAATGTAAGTACCTTCAATATTTAATTAATTTAATATAATATTTTGTATGATTGCAAACGCATTATTCGGAAACGAACGCATCGAAAAATTGAATTTTACCGCGCCACTGCCACCTTTGATTTTGATTGAAATTTTTACACTGACACTTCGTGACACAGGGTATAAATTTGAATAAAAAAAATTCAAAAATAATCTTCTTAGTTTTAAAAATCAAAAAACTTCAATGCCAAACTATTGCGCGATACAAAATCATCGCGTTTTATTAAAAGGCGTTTACAACAGGTAAAAAGTCTGTTGTCCTTTTATAGATTTTTAAAAGTTATAATATATTAAAGCAGCAAAAGCTGCTTTGGTTGTTTTAACACTATACCTAAAGTATAAATTAATTAAAAAAAGTAATAAATCGAAATTTTATTAGGTAGGGGGGTAGGGTAGGGGGGGGGGGGTACCTAATAAAATTTCGATTTACTACTTTTTTTTTTCGTTAAACGTACTAATTGCCGAGGCTACGAATAATTAAAAAAGACTCTGCTCCTTTTATTTAATGGTGGGATTTCTGGTAACTAACCAACGAATCGCGGTTTAATTCAAGCCCCGTCCATACTACATGGCTAATATTTACGAGGTGAACATTGGTTAGTCTGGGTGTTTTATGTACTTATAATTAACATGTTTTACAAAAGTCTGTTGTCTGTTGTGTGGTGTGAAATTGTATGGTCTTGCTTGCAGGGACTCTAAGGGAAAAGGATATGGCAGTGGTGCGTGGGTTGTAATACCGCAGTCGATTTCTGACCTTATTTTAAATTGCAATATTGAGATGTATCATTAGAATTTTTTTATTTATTATGGCTACACTACCTGCTAGTGTAGCGACAGCGGAAAGATCTATCTCTATGTTACGATGAATCAAGTCGTGGCTAAGAGCTTCAATGTGGTAGATTTAAAAAATGACTAACTATAGATTAATTATTATATATTTCTTACTTCGATGAATAAATTATTTGATTTTATTTGAATGTTTGAATAACGTCTAACCGGACTGGCACTTTTCCAGGTCCATAAAAAGGTACCCATTGAAGTAAATGAAGCGATAACGTGTTTCGGGAGAAGACGTAAAAGAAAAATTGATTTTGTTATTTAAATATAGGCTTTTTCAAGTACAGCAAGTACTTACATACATCAATAAAATACCTACTTTTTACTTGTATCTTGACCACGACTATGTGCCCCCACCCCCCTGGCACAAAAGCTGGATTCGCCCTTGCAATCAAAATGAGAAAGTTGACTGACTATGTTATCGATTTCGGAAACTATTATTTTTTTGATTATTTTTGGAAAAATTTACAATGCCAATATTTATTACGTTTTAAGTCGAATCATCGGTAGAAAAACTATAAAGTTTCCTTTTCAAAGCAAACTAGAATTTTGTAAAACTTTAATGAAAGATCTTTTTGTCTCGAATGCTCTTTATGAGACTCGCCGTATTACGATAACAAATGGATGAAAATAAAACATGTTTCAAAAACGCCACAACACTTCCTCTTATTTTAAGGCCCTGGCATTTTAAAACTGAATGGATTTGGATACGCCTTCAATAATGTCAAATCGTAGTGATATATAGCGTGTTCATCGCCACATAACCTTTCCATCTTTGTGACGTGATGCGACAATTCGTTTACAGATGTCATTTGTTCCGCCAGATACACCGAAGTAATGAAATCGGCACATTGGAAATCCTTTACTTGTTCTGCCAACGTGACAATGTTTTCTAATAGCTGTTAAAACGTAAATAATTTGTAAATAAGGAGCAATAATAATGCATACCAATACATCTTTTACTTGTATGTGCCATTTCAAAGGCTTAGGTAGTACGGAAGCGGATTCACCCTTTCTTCAAATTATTTTTATTTATTTTATTTTATTTATGAATTATGTTCTAATGGGCAAAGACCTCCTCTGTACAATGGGTATCCTCCACCAAGCGACCCTACTGCGGATTGGCGGACTTCACAATTAACTTTCTAAATATTCGAAAATATGGAGCTTTCCTCACGATGTTTTCCTTCACCTCTAAACACGTGATAGGTCAGCACTTAAAATTAACAATTTCATTCGTGCCGGTACTGGTGATCGGATTCAGGTTCGTCGAATATATTATATGGCTACAAGGGCTATCACGGCTTTAATTCTCAAATGATAAGAAGTCTAGTAAAATAAAGTCTAAATAATATAATATAGTTTTGGTTTGAAGATACATAGGTATATTATTTGTCTGAAAATGTAGGATAAATGTGGATAGGCGCATACTGATCTCAAATCTAATCCTTTGCAAGGGACAAACCACAAACTTTTTACACCCATGGGTGTAAACTTGCTGTCAAAATGGAAAAAGTTTGAAAACAATTATCGTAATTATCAACATTATTAAAATTGAAAACGCTGTTATTAATGTGCTTCTTCATAATGCCCTGATTGTGCCTATTTCTTAACTTTAAAATAAATTTAGTAATATTGAGATTTTGTAAAAATAAGTTCAATACTCACCTCTGTAACAGTTTTTTCCATTTCTAGACCCTTTTTAAAAGCGCTTTGCAAAGTTAAGTTTTTATCAACAATTGGCGCTTTTAGTCCACTAATAACAATCGCTCCTCCTCTTATTAACTGATATTCTATTAGTTTCTGCATGTGTTCCAGCTCCTCATTATACATTTTCATGAAGTAACCGCCTGCCCCTGGTCGTGACAAGCATGGGTGTAAAAAAGCTGTCGCTATGGACAAATAATCTTGAGCGGCTTGTTGCTCTGCTTGTATTTGCTTGTTAATAGCTTCTTCTACTTTAGAGTCGTATTTGTATTGATAATACACGTTCCTTTTAATATTAAATTGAACCGGTAGAAGTGTTCTGAACAGGAAATTTATATTTATAATTTTATACATGCCGAATAATAATACTAATACTGTAATTTAACAATAAATAACAAATTTAAAAATACTATACGAATTTAATAGGAAATCATAATATTAAAGCTCATTTTACGTCAAATATTTTTTTTTTATAATTATTGCTATATGTCATTTTTTCTAACAATCAGTTGGGTACAGCCAAAGAGAATATAACCACTACGTTTGGGTACAGCAACAATGCCTACCCAACCGGCCCCTAGAAACTACTTTGATTGAGCCCCATTTTATTTTTTTAAACTTAATTAATCTGGACTGTGAATAAGGAGTAGATATAGAGATAATAGAATTAAAAATTGTAGATTGATAAAAATTAAAAAGAGATAGTTAGATGCAATTTATATAATATTTTGGTTCAAAAATATGGTAATATTTGGTATTTTCCGGAGTGAGACTATTGCACGAATGGGCAGGAAGGAACACGGAGGGCGTGTTACCTCTTCTGGGCAAGTAACACGGCCTCGCAGAAGCCCGATTATTATCCAAGTCGTTCATGTGTCATTGTTCGCCGTAAGGGTCTCGCGCTCTCTTGGCTCCATCTAGTGTGCATACTTTACTTTAAAGCATACAACACATTACAAAGAACATCTAATATTGAACATAATATGTAACGAGATAATATGTCGCCTTTGCTCCCAAAATTTTTACGATTCATTTTTATCTTTAGTGCGTTTTTTTTATGTGAAAAGTTGCCAAGCGAGCAGACGGTTCACCTGATGTTAAGTGAATACCGCCGCCCATGGACATCTGCTACACCCGAGGGTTCCAGAAGCGATGACAACCTTTTGAAAATTAGGCTACGGCCACCTCACCAGAAAACGAAACGCAAAAATATTATACTTCCAGTTTAGGCCGGTCTTCTGTCAGATCGTGGTACTTACCCGGACGAGCCTGCCCATTCGTGCAACAGCCGAGGCTGCTGCGTGGCCCTACCACCGTAAAATAACAGCTAATACCATAAAACTAGTTAATGCACTCTAGATGAAACTTTAAATTAAAAGCATTGCTAAAAATGCAGTAAAAATAACGTAGATAGATGTCGAGATTTTTGCGCCGTGAGGTCATCGTCCGCTTAGCTAAGATGAAGAAGATACAGGTTCGAATCCCACAGCGCGGTTTTTGTTCATTTACCTACAAAAATTTATAATTTAAAGATAAAACTTGAGTACAGAGACTAGCACTAAAAATAAAAATTCATCTTAAAAACCTAAAATTGTTTTAAATGTTTTATTTCAAGAAGCACTCAATTTCACTAAAAGAATGAATGAAGAATAAAGACAATATTGAATAAAGTATATGCATTATGTAGTCTATATGTTTGGTGCTGAAAAAAGAGCGGCTGGTACTTACCTATTACATGGCCTGGGGGCCAAGGGCGGCCAAAACTGAAAATCCACCACTGCATGGTGGGGCGAACATACTGATTATAATCTTACTTTTCAAGCACTGTGAAATTTTTCGGCTCCCTAAGTACATCTCCGAGCTTACTAAGGCGGTCCAAACAAGTGAATGCGGAGGCGGATATCTATATCATTATCTTCTCAAGACAAGTACAAATAATGCCCTAGGTAGATGTATGATCGACAAGCTCTATTTACTTTCCGTGCCGAAGCAATCACTCCTACGCAAATCATCGGCCATAACGGACATCAATTTCGAAATATTCAATTTGAGTCACATTGTAAGAATCTAAGACAGATGCAAAAAGCTTGGGTGAAATATTTTCTCCCTATCTCACATCTAGGGCTGCCATGGAATGCAATCCAGGTCTATCCAGGGTTTGTATGACCGATGACCGGGCTTCGGATTTAGCATCAATATCTGGAGGTGCCGATAGCAGAGCGAAGTCCGATTGTCTTACAAATGAAGACAATAGACGTAACAAGGGACACTACCATAATTAAACGCACGCATGAGCACATGCGCGACCCTACCCATAGCGGAGGGTCCAAACCCATGGGTTCTGGCTAGCCCACCGGTTCTGCGTCCGATGAAGCTTTAATACTCTCGGGACTGAAAGCAAAAACATCAGTTAATACAAGATACAAGAGAAGGGACACTCGTCAGTAAATGTCAGGCAAATTTTTATATATAACACAATTATAGTATATCTTGATGAAGTAGCAAAAGCTTAATGTTGTAGAAAAAAAATATTGCCTGGGGAGCTTATTTCGCAAACGTGACGCCCTAAAGGGACATATTTCTGACGCTACTTGCCACTAATCATAAAAAGTATAAAAGTTAAAAAAATAATAATTTTCAAACTAATAAAAAGAAACAAAATTTGTAACACCTTTTACAACTACAATTGACTGATTCATACATTCAAAGATTTTTTTCATTCATTGCCACAATGCCACATTAAAATTCTGTCCTTCTAACAGTATGTTTTATCTCTTTTAAATTCATTCAAACAATTCATATGCTTGTGACCTTTACAAATGAACTTTACGTTACAGTTGTATACATACAAGTATTCTAACATTATTTGTTTTGGAAAATTTAATAATTTGGTAAATATTCATGTTTAGAGAAAGTAAATGTTTAATACAATTTTAAAAAGCAATCCTCTATATGTGTGTTGATTTATGATTGCGGTAGTGTACATTATATTTTTATGCAAAAAAATTGTACTATTTACTCTAAATGTTAGGAAATTATCATAACAAATATGTTTATTTATTATTATATAAATATTGTGTGATAAAGCATAATGTAACAATCTCATAAAAATATTATAATATTTTGATCAGGAGAGATACCCAGTATTAAGGTAGTCTTTTTTTTTAGTAAATTACTTCTCAAAATTGTCTTTGAAAATTAATATCTTTAATTATAAAACAAAGGAATTGAGTAAACATAATGTTAACATGCTAAACTTTAACAATAAGTTTTAGCATTGTACAATATTTTGCACATAAGTAACATTCTTTATTAACACCCTAATAAATATTGTATAATTTTTGTCTAAGACAACACACAGGCACTGGCAACTGAAGAACGGAAGAACAAACATGATCGCTCTGACAAGTCTCAAATAATTGTAAATTACTATTACAATAAAATTCTTATGTTAGCATTCCACAAGATTTATTTGGACCCTAACAAACATCAAAATATGACATGATTAAAGTTCAAAGAAATAGATGGTGCCAAAAATTTATTACTTTCTAATTACAACTATGGTATTATACACATTTCTAGAATTTTTTATCTATTTTTGGAAAGGATAATAATCTAATCCTGAGTTATAGCTAAACTTATGTGTAAACCGGTTCACTTGGGTTTTGCCCACTTCTATCATCTTTTTGACATCTTCTCGGTATGCCGGCGGCAGCATCTCTTTTTCTAATGTACAAGAATGACCAACATGATTTTCGACTTTAAACATGCGCTGTCTGACAATATCCACGTCTCTGCTATATTCTTCTTTGAGATCTGCAACTGCTTGTGTTGCTGTATCTATTTTAAACACAAAGTAGTTTGCTTCTCGATGAACTATGCCATGAGCACTTGTTCTGTATGGCATCGCCCTGAATCCTAAATTTTCAATATTCCTGATGATGCCACCGCGATTAAAAATAGCATGTGATACGCGTTTAAGTGTATTTTTTAATTCTGGCTTGGGCATTGTTCGTAATATCAAGGCTAATTCGTAAGTTGGCATTTTTAAACACAATTATGTCTGTTAATATATGAAAAACAAAATTAATAGTTAATATATGAAAAACAAAATTAGTAGTTAGTTAATTAGATACTATAATAGAAATACAAATGTCAAATACATACAATTACATTGACATAACATTACTTTTGAGAAATATGGAATACATACAGATGTAATATATATTTATAATCTGTGTAATATATCAGTTATTTTTTATCACTGATAAAAAATAACTTGGGTATTGTTTACCCGATTGCACCAGTAGGAGGGTTATGTTTTTCGAGAGTATGTATGTATATACAAAAGTAACAGCCTATACATGTCCCACTAATGGGCAAAGGGCTCCTCTATACAGAGGGTATCAGGGCATAGTCCACCACGCGCCCCACTGCGGATTGGCGGACATATCTTCGAAATATTTTTTTTGTTATTATTTCGAAAATTGCAGGTTTCCTCACGATGTTTTCCTTCATCGCGGAGCATGTGATAAGTCAGCACTTAAATTTAAAAACTTCGTTGGTGCCGGCACCGGGGATCTAGCTCAGGTTGCTCGAGTTATTGAATTAAAGGCGAGCGCTCGGACACTCAGCTATCACGGCTCTTGTGTGTATGTATAAATATTACTCTGCAGCCTGGACGGCTTGCTGGATTTTAGCTTGAGAGGTGTCGTTAGATTTGTATTTACTGTAAGAGTGACACTGTGAAAAAAAAATGGTGCATTTTTGGCGCCAAATTTAATTGTTCTCTGAACGTTAAAACTTGTAGAAAAAGTACGAAAAGATTTTCACCGCTGTAGGAATCGAACCCACGTCTTGTTCTCTGAACGACTCGATGGATTTTAGCTTGATAGGTCTCGTTAAATTGGTATTCGTATTACACATTCTAGAAAGTCAGTTGTCTGAATCTGCAACGTAATAATGGTATGCGCTCTGAATTCACGAAGCCTCTATTTTAAGATTAGGTCCCAACTATTACATTTTTTCTTGAGTTAAAAAATTATGTTAAATTTACAATGAGCTCCTGTTCTATAATTTACCTAGGTACCTCTATTAGTCGAGTGCCCGTTTGCAATAAACTTCTTAAAGCGCCGAAATACTATTATGTGAGGTCTAAATTGTCAATGTCATAATTGTTATGTATGGATTTGACGTAAGCGTACCTTTTTTCTGGACTCTTTTTTTTTGTGTAAAATATCATTGAATGCAATTGATAATGGTTTAAATAAATAAGTTGGAATTACGTGGCTTTGCAATAGTGGATTCAAATAAAACATGAAAGCATTATTGTCGCTCCAAAATGGCATAACAAGAACTGTAGGTACCGTAATGGGCTGGGCATATAAACTGTACCGCGAGGCGAAAGTTGAAAGTAGTTTTCAAAACAGTAGATCAAATCTAGAAGGTACGAGTTTCAGCACCGGGGGTCGTGGGTCGTGGGTTCGATTTCTAGACGGGATAACTACTTGTGTTATCCATAAACAATTATTTCGAATCTTGGTGTTTGCTTACGTGTATTTAAAACGTCTTTACGATCTAGGATAATTTTACTACCGTAATTACAATGTATTTTTTTTTTCAAAAAGAAAAAGGAAAGAAGAAGATAAATAATTACTTGTCATCATTTATAAAAGTCATCAATATTATTCGCTATTATTTTAAAAAGGCAAACAAAATAATCAGCGAGTCGGCGTCTTGCGTCGATTTCACATGTGTTGGTCCGAGCTAGAGGCGAGAGATTGTATGTCCTATAGCGAATTGCCGCGACGTCAGGATGTAGCGCGAGCCCCAGCTTGATGCGACTCGAAATCGAACCGACTCAGCTCGACTTATAAGGAAGTCAGGTCGATTTGATGACTTCCCGTCCGACCGAGTTTCCGCCTTGACGTGGCGGAGGAGCTTAATAGTCGTGGCTTGGTCATCTACAGCGAAGCTAAGAAAAACCCACACTGGTCCTTTCTTGGCGCTTGTGGTGTAAGACCGGCTCGAAAGGGCCGCTCCAAGTGGGCTCATTGAGCGCACTCTGGACGTGTGTTAGAGGGTGCGGGGGACAGGTTGAGGGTGGTAGAGGAGTCTTTTGCTACCGAGGAGGAGTTGCGGGGAAAGAGGAGTACCGGTATTGCGTTTGGCCGTGCTCCCTATCCTCCGCGACTCAGCGGGGTTGCACCGCTGATGCAGTAGTGGTGGAGCCGTGGGGGGAGGGGGGGAGTACCGGTATTGCGATGCACCGTTCTCCCTACCCTCCGCGGCCGAAACGTGGTGAGCGGTGGAGCCACAGACCAGGTCCACCCTTACCGGCTGGGAGGCTTGCTGCTTATTAGCACTCACTCCAATGGCCCTGGGCAGCGAACTCGAGGAAGTGCGTTGTTCGACAAAAAAGGGCTACGTAGGAAAGCGAGCTAAATATTCCAGCGAGCCTTACTTGGAGATGAGGGGAATTGCTCCCCGAGTAGGGGCTGCTGAGGTAGCCAGCGCTGGAAGGGTCACGGAAGTGAAATCGTTCTCGTGGCCCTGCCGATATGCGCCTAGGTGTAATAAAGTGGTGGTTTTATTTGATGAAAATAACTCGTCTCTGCGAGTAGCGAAGTAGTATGACCCACACAAGTCAACGCGACCATCGGTACTAGTCATTAAGATTGGCGGTGATGCGTTTATTTATGGCTAAATTACTCGACAAAGTATTACTCAATTACTTACATTAGTCTATAGTCAAGTGAACAAAAATGATGTTTCAGTTTAGTTTAGTATTAATTATCTGTAACAAAATTCAGAAACAATAGGGATATCTTGATCGAAGTGACTACTGACTGACTGAAGTATATTTATTCCATTAACTAGGGAATATTGTATTATCTATGGACTGAACGATGGAAAACGGTGATGGCTGCGGCGTATGTGTGTGATTCTGTTCAAGTAATAAATTTGTTTTGAAATATAGGTATTTGTGATTTTAACAAAATGAGTACATATACGAAATTTGTGTCGGATTATTGCAAAACATGGGAAAAATCAGGAAAAGAACATTTGTAAGTACAGGATTTTCAACTCCCTACAAGATTTGCTATTCCACATGGGGTAGTTATTATTAACAACAATGTATGAATAATATAAGTATAAATACAATATTTTTAGCTAAATAATTTAGCAACCATTTCCATTTTAAACTTTTTTGTCACAGTCTATATTATACAAATATAGTTCATTCCGACCATTCAAACATGCTTTTATTGCTATGTATAATTTAATCAGTTCCGTCTTTAATTCATTATAATTATTTTCATTTACGGTGAAATACATTTAAATTAAAAATTATGTTTCATGTATCAAAATATTTCATTTTCAGTATTAAAGGAGTGACACAGTTTATCAAAGATGAAGGTAAAAGTCCTTTGTTCAATAAATCGGGCAAATTATCGGGTATATCCCAAAGCATATATGATTTACTTCTCTGCGGTCTCCACGGCAATTTGAAAAAAGATGCTGTAATTAATGTGCTTCATGATATTAGTGTAAGTCCATGTTCCACACAAAGTATGCTATGGTAGGCCCATTGCCACTTCACCTTACTATTCTTCTGAGCTATGCTTGTTAACTTTGTTTTACTGTGGATACTTGCATTGCGAAATCTATCACACAGAAATATTGAACATAGTCTGCTCCATTGTTTAATGTTCGCCTCAGTGTTCTCAAATGTCTAGCTGTGGACGACCATGTCTGAGTTCTGTGGATTATCACTGACAATATGTTGATATGAGTCTAAACTCAGACTAATCTTATTAAATGAAAGTATTTTATGGATTTATTGCATTTTATTTTTGATTTTTAATTCCCGACATTTGAATCCTTTCCAGCGTTTATGGAAAAAGCTCAAAAATCAAAAATAAAATGTGATAAAATGCATGAAATAGTTTTATTTCATATGTTAAATATTTGCTCTTTATAACATTGAACCTCATATTGGCCATCTCTCATCTCAGTGTAAGAAAATCCGCTCACTGGAGTGAGAACCTGTACAAGTTTGCAGAAAGTCAATGGATAAAATGTAATGTAATAGAAAAAACAATAAAATAGTTTCATTTCATATGTTAAATATTTGCTTACAATAGTCTTATAACATTGAACCTCATATTGGCCATCTCAGATCTCACTCTCAATATAAGAAAATCCTCTCAGTGGAGTGAGAACCTGTACAAGTTTGCAGGAAATTAATGGATGCGGGTGGCTCTCTTGCTTTGTGGCCTTCTGTTTAATCATATAAGGGGAAATGATGATGATAACATATCATATTGTATATTATGAACTTACCTTGTGTAGAAAATTTACAACATTTGATCTTCCTTTCAGGCATTACATGCTGATATACCTTCTATAATCTTGGATGTTATTAGTGTACTTGATGCAGAAACATGCATTGAAGTGCAAAGTGATGAGAGAACAAACTTCTGCTATATTGTCAGGGAATTAGAATCTTTTATTTCAGACAAATTGCTGAAAGAGCGTCTGGAAATTGACACATTACAAGATGTTGGTACCTTAAAGAACAAGAACTTCTATACAAAATTTATAAAAATTAAAACTAAGTTGTAGTAAGTGTTATTTTTGAGGTTTAAAAATTTGTTTCTAAAAAACTTAAAATACTAAAGTTGACATGATTTTATTATTTTCCAGTTACAAACAACGTAAATTCAATTTGTTTAGGGAGGAAAGTGAAGGGTATGCAAAACTTATTGTGGAATTAAATCAAGAAATATCTGAAGATACTGAATGGAAAACATTATTAGAAATAATCCAATCTTTAATAGGTAGTGAATGCAATGAATTTTATTTGTTATTTTTTTTAATCCTTATCTAAAGATATAATTTCTTTCAGGTTGTTTTAATTTGGATCCTAATAGAGTTTTAGACATAATTTTAGAATCATTTGAAGCTAGACCACACTTGGATAAATTATTCATATCATTAATAAAAAATTACATGGGTGACCCTCAAGTGATATCAGAAGTTCTTGGATTTAAACTTGGAAATATGGAGGTTTCAGAAAGTTTTAAGGAACCACCTGCTTTGATGACTATAATAGCTTTGTTACTGCAACACCAAGTTATCTCACTTAATGATATTTACCCCTGGGTAAGTTCCTGCTCGAATTGAGACATTATTTTCACCCTGTAAAAATATGATATGATAATATATTTTTTATCATAATTATCTTTAGCTGCGACCCGATGACACTATAATGGCAAAAGAAGCAGAAAAAGAGGTGAAGTCAGTGCAAGATTATATTCGTAAGCTAAGTATTGTTTCAACAAAAGGCCCTCAAGCCAATGGTACAACCGAATTTGTCGAAGAGAAAACTGACCCTCAGGTAAGAATGTTTGTTTTCATCTTTTGTATTAAAACTTAGGAAATTAAGCCCATCACCCATGATTTTATGTATATGCTGTAAAGGATTATAATAATGGAGCATCAAGCATAGCTTGAAATGCAAAAAACCATGAAGATAAAAGACATTGAAATTTTCTTTGGTGTGGCAATTAGCCATTTAGCTTAGTGGTTAAAGCGGTTGGGCGAGAATCCGGAAGCCGTGGGTTCAATTCCAACAGTGGCGAGAAACTTTATATCACTATTTCTACAAATTTTAATGTTTCCTCTTAAGTGCAGAGGTACTATAAAAATTAAAATTTAAATAAGTTTACTTATTTTCTATTATATTTTTGTGACTTAAAAGGAATACTGGAGTAATCAGAAGCTAGTTTTATGTGAGGCGTTGCTGAACGTAACTGCATGGCGTGAATTTGCAGCAATGTCGGCTCGGTTACCAATTACAAGTATGGCTTCACGTCCCGCCATAGCCCTATGCACCATGCTTCATGCTCTTGTAGAACCTTTGTATAGAACGTAAGTGGAAATTTTCTTATGTAAACATCACTTTTAATTTGCCAAGTAAAAAATATATGTATATCTCTCATATATACTCATGGCATGGAACCAAGAGAACTCATAATTTGCTATAACAATTAATTAAATATGTCTAACATTGTTCTTATCACGTGGGTAGGCAGAAATAGTGTTAAAGTTAAAAGGGTACTTAAAAGGGTAATTAAGAAAGTTCGAGTGCATTTTGCCTTGAGTTTAATACTTTTAGAGTAACTTTGTCATCAGTCAGGCTAGGTTGATGTTTTAAATTGTGTTCTGGAAATTGAAAGTGTTAAGTTGTCAAAGTTTTTTGGTTTTATTGTGATTCCTGGATATCTGAAGACACATTAGAATTCTTAAAAATGACTTTGGCACTGAGTCAGATAGCACAAGCAGTGGCATTACTAGCTTAAGGGTTGACCTATCCTGAAGTGGCTACTGTGCTTTACATACCCCGTTTTTCGATGCAATATGCTCTAACACGGTATCAAGGTACAAGAAAACACAAGTTATCACAAATTTTATGCTTGGTCAAGTTTCTGTATCAGTGAGTTTATATTTTTATTAACATGCTATTTTGTTATAACAGAAAATAAAATTTGTCTTGAATCCTTTTTTTATTATAAAACTTAGTCATTTCAATTACATTGAAATGGCTGATTAACAACTTAATTAAGAGTAAATAGATGATTGGAAGTTAGTGTGAAACAAATCTGATAGTTTATTAAATTATTTGTTTCACACTAACTTCCAATCATCTATTTACTCTTAGGAAAGCATGAAGAAGAAAATTGAAGAAGAAAAGAAAATAATTTAGTCTTTTTAAATTTGATTTTTCAATGTACATATATATTATACATTTAAATGTTGTACTTTATTTTTGTGTATAATTATGCTGAATAAATATTAACTTAAATTTACGATAAAATTAATTTACACAGGCATTGTCGCGTCGCTCCGAAAATCATTGGAAAACCAATCCCTCCGTTGAAATCAAATTTAGCTCCAGCAAGTTGTAAAACATTTGAGGACATGAAAGAGACTGTCATTCCAGCCCTTATTATATTAGGGCCTTCTTTACACTATGACCCTGTTTTAATGTACAAAGTAAGTTATTATTAAATTCTATTCAATCATAGTATTGGACACTAAAATTTCATGGAATTTTTTCTTTATATTACATTAATTTACTGTATTATGTATTCCCTTAAAGTATATTTTTTCCTTAAGATAATTCGTATCCTAAAAACGGCGAGATCATTGGTTGAGGATCCATTGCATTATGAAGCTTTGACAGTCCTTGATGCGGCAATTTTGCCGGCACTCACTTTAATGGAAGGAAACTGTTGTATGGCAGAAGAAGTGTACACCCTATTAAAGTTATATCCATATCAATGGAGGTAAAAGAATTTTGTGGTTATTTTTAGTGACTGACTTATTTGTTAGTATAATAAAATTACAAAACATTTTTTTCATATATCTCTACAATTTTATATACAATTATGTCTATTGTTAGTTCTTATAATGTAATCAGTTTTTAACAATGCACTTTGAAATACAGAGATTTTTACTTTCTGCTTAAATGACTTGCCTAAAAGCATTTCACACATTATGGTTTTATTTTATAATGACAGTACAGCTATAATTAAATCATTAACTAAAAAGTTTAAACTAGGAGTTCTGGATTTTACATTTTACTTTATAATGGCTAATTAGTAGTATTTTTTTTTAATTACAATAGTATTTTTTTTGTGTGGAAGTGGTTGAGTAGTATGTCCAAATAATCACTGTGATCTAGTAGGGTCTATTGTAGTCTTCCCTAAATGTTGCTCTTATATGATATAATACTGTTGTATGCACATTTTACATACATAAATTTCACATGTTTTCAAATTATTTAAATGTGTAATGCTGTTTATGAATTTAATTCATAATCAACTAGGAATTATATAGTCTTATTGTCTAATTAGTGAGCCACTTTATTGGTTTTCATAAGATCTTTAGTTGGTTCGTCGTTCACGAATACATCATTGGGTTTTATTTATGGTTGGTGTAATTAGGTCATTTGCTTATAGGTACTGCTTATATTCACGTTGGAAGAACGAGTCTGGTGAGAAAATACCAGCACTGATGCGAGTGCGTGGCAATTCCTTGCAGAGGATTAAGCATATCATGAAGCGTGTATCCAAAGAGAATATAAAACCCCAGGGGCGCTTAATTGGCAAACTGTCCCACGCCGCGCCGGCCTTCCTTTTCGATTACATGCTGTTGCAGGTAAAGTGAAATATCCAATAATGGGTAAAAATTCTCTTGTATACTTGTGTCCACCCAAAATTTCCTTATGCCACATTAGTTCTGTTGTTTTAAAATATAAGTAAGGGTAAAATATTAATGACTTACAAAAAGTTATTAGGCTTTTCATATAAAATAATTTGTAAGGTGGTGTTTTGTGGAAGTTTTATTTAAGTTAATGTGTATTTTGTTTCAGATTCAAACTTATGACAATTTAATTGGGCCAGTGGTGGAATCTTTGAAGTACCTGACGTCGCTTTCCTTGGATGTCTTAGGTTACTGTCTGCTCGAGGCTTTGTGTGCTGGAAAAGGCAATAGCGGTGGGGCAGCGCATCCCCCTTGGCTTCAAGCTCTAGCCGCCTTTGCCGGGGCGGCTTTCAAGAAACATAACATAGAGCTTACTGCTCTATTGCAGTTTGTTGCTAACAGACTAAAAGCACAGCAGAGGTATGAAATATATCAATGATGTTGGACAAATTACGATATAATTATAATGTTAGTAAGGAAGTAAATATTAAATGGTTGACCCAAAAAATTATGATTAAAGAAAATATTAAATAGTTGACCCAAAAATTATGATTAAAGAAGTAAAACAGTTTATTGAATTTTGCCATTGATTTCAATACTTTAGAAATGAGGGCATAAACAGCTTAATAAAATGGCTATTTCATTCCATTCAATAAAATGAGTTCTTTCTTGTTTCATTTCTGTATTTCTCTGCCAACAGTCAAGACTTGTTAATATTGAAAGAAATAGTACAAAAGATGGCTGGAATCGAAGCGGCGGAGGAAATGACGCCCGAGCAACTCGACGCTATGGCGGGTGGTGAACTTCTCAAAGGCGAGGTAAAAAAATATAAATATAAAATAAATTTTACATCAAAGGTATCTATTAAAATAATTTCTTATATTCCCCTGAATACTCAACATTATGCAGCATAAAGATAAATAGAAAGGAAAAGAGAAAAATATATAAAATTTAAAAGCAACCACTCTTTTTAAGTAAATAAAATAATTTTTGTCCAGGCTGGATATTTCTCTCAAGTTCGTAATACAAGGAGATCGTCGGCGAGATTGAAGGACGCCGTTGTTGGTAACAATTTGGACATTGCACTATGCATATTGTCAGCGCAACAACGTCATTGCTGCGTTTGGAAAGGTAAGTTCAATATCAACTTTTATTACGAAGCTGTATTTCATCTCCCGTATACGTCTCTCGATTGTTTTCTTTATTTTGAGAAATGAAAGAACACCCTACTCTAAAATAAAATAATTGTACTTTAAAATAAAAGTAGTAAGTAATTTTCCGTTAGGTATAAAAATCCTTATCCCCAATGCAATGCAACGCGAATTACATTGCAGCATGAACCTGATTTTTAATATTTTTTATATCTTTATTACTACTATTTTATTTTAATGTTTTTAATATGTTTGTCTTGTAAGAATATGAAGACGAGACGTCGACTCCTGGGGAGCCGCCTGGCTCCCAGCTGAAGGTTGTAGGGCGATTGGCAGACCAGTGCCAAGACGCCTTGGTACAGCTGGGCACTTTCTTGGCCTCTTCGCATGCACCAGACGAGTATGCCGCTCGGCTGCCACCTTTGCAGGTTTATAATTAATACATATACCTACATGGAAATATATACAGCGTGTCGTTACCATCGCGACAATAAATGAACACACATATAGGGGATAACTTTTTAAAGTTGTATTAAACATTTAAATTCTTTGAACATCAATATTTACAGAGTTATTAAATTTTACAAAACATATATTTTTAGAACACCCTTATATATAAAACTGTAACGTTAAGTTCATTTGTAAAGGTCACAAAGCATGTGAATGGGTTGAATGAATTTAAAAGAGACAAACCATACTGTTAGAAGGAGAGGCTTGTAATGCGACGCTGTGGCGCGAGTTGTATAGGATGTTACAAATTTTGTTTCTTTTTTACTTAGTTAGTTTGTTTGAAAAATATTTTTTTTTAATTATGGACTTTGTTAACCGTTAATATTTTTTTATGATTATTGGCAAGTAGCGTTAGACGTGTCTTCATTTATTGTCGCGATCGTAACGACACGCTGTATTTAATATATTTTTACAGCGGTAGGACCACGCAACAGTCTTCGTTGTTGCACGAAAGGGCAGGTCCATCCAGGGACCTCCCTGTCGTAAATAAAAAGCCTTTAATAGACATTTACTTTTTAAACAGATTAATATGCTCACTGTTCTAATCTCAATACAATTTATTGTAATATTATTATTATTCGAACCTTCTTTCAAATCCCGCAGCGCCAAACGTTTTTTTTTTCATTTATCTACAAATAATATACAATATACCATTTATCTTAAGTACAGAGACAAGCACTAAAAATAAAAATCAATCTTAAACCTTTTACAAATATTTCGCAGGAGCTCCTGAGAGACTATCACGTGGACGCGGACGTGGCGTTTTTCCTCCATCGGCCGGTACTTGCGCAGAAAATTTCCGCTAAGATCGAGCTACTGAGAAAAGGTTCGGAGGGCAAAGAAAGCCAGGAGAGGAGCATAGAGAGATATTGCGTCGCGTCCAAGGAGACTTTGGAGCCTGTTATTATATCCATAACTCCCCTGCTCCCTTCCAGAGTTTGGGAGGACATATCTCCCGAGTTCTATGTATCCTTCTGGTAAGTTGCTACACAATATTTAAAATTGACAAATAAAAATACTGTAACACTTGCTTAAATTTTTTTACAGAAGTATTAATAGAAGCATATACCATATAATTATGTTTTCAAGTACAATGCAAACCTAAATTGTTATTACTAGTCTTAAGGAACATTTCTTATGGGAATGTTTATTCCTTGATTTATGTAATTTAAAATTGTTTTGATGTTTAAAATATACATCGCGTTTAATAGTGTTGTACTTATTAATTTTCTAGGTCTCTGTCCATGTACGATCTGAAGGTACCGGAAGAAAGTTACGACCGTGAAATAGATCGCCTAAGAACGGCCGCGGCGAATGCAGCCAAGGACACGTCGCAAGGCACTAAAGGGAAGAAGGAACAAGAGCGTTTTAACACCCTTATAGACAAACTTCAGGTGGGTTTTTAAGAAGTATTAAATCGTCCACGACAATTCAAATACCCTAAAAATGTCCATTAAGTTCATTATTTATAAGTAAAATAGTAAAGTAACAGCATATATACATAACCCACTGCTGGGCAAAGACCTCCTCTGGATGGAGGGTATTAGGGCATAGTCAACCATGCGGCCCCACTGCGTATGAAGCCGACAGGCTTCTCTCAACCTCTGGAGCGGGTCGAAAACCATTACGTACATTATTATTCCGCGTCGCATATAACAACGCGGCCTTAAAGGGATAAACAATTGCAAATTGATGTTTTTCTGGTTAATCCTTGTCAAAATAAAATATTAATAATTTTTAGAAGTTTAAAGTTTTTTATAGTGCTAATCTCTGCACTTAAGATTAAGAATTAAAACTTGTAGAAAAAGTACGAAAAGATTGCCGCCGCTGTGGGAATCGCTGTGGTTTTAATTAATATATATTTTTTTGAATTACGGAATGCTCAATTAACATTATCTCAAAGTATGTACTTCGCCTAAAACAATCACCGTGTACACGCCACTGACACGGCGCCCCGTCGGCAGGAGGAGAGGCGGCGGCAGCGCGAGCACACGGCGCGCGTGTCGGCGCGGCTGGAGCGCGAGTGCGGCGGCTGGTTCCCCGCGCGCGCCGCCAAGTCCGCCAAGAACGAGACGGTGACGCGGCTCATGCAGCTCTGCCTGTTCCCGCGCTGCGTGTTCACCGCCGCGGACGCGCTCTACTGCGCCGAGTTCGTGCACACCGTCCACGCACTCAAGACGCCCAATTTCTCCACGCTGCTGTGCTACGACAGGGTGGGCGGATGGATAAGCACTTTTCATTCCCCCTGTTTGCACCTACTCTCGCCGAACTTGATCAGTATAGCGGCGCTCGTCGGGCGCACGGCTCGTCTCGTTCAATCGTTTGGGCCAAACGATTGTCTCTACTTTGTATTATTATATTTCTCCATGCTAGCCGCATGGTGAGCGGCTTCGCACTTACGGTACGATTCTTGATGACAAACTTCTTTCCTGCCGGGCGGGGAAATATTGCCTGGCAAAGGCAAGTCAAGCTCACACGCCGTTTTTTTTTTGCTTAGAAATCGCGCGTTTATTAAGAATTAAATACACGCAATATGTATTCTTTATTGAAACACCTTAGAAAGGGATTACAAAGGGCGGACTTAATACCGGGGCGTGAAGAGAAATCGTGGTAGAGTTAAAAAGTAAAACGGTGCAATCAATAGAATAATAATATGGATCCGTGATGCATCAATACCGAGGTCCAAAACGCTATGTATAAGATATTTTACCACATACAAAACAAAAATATAAATATAATATGTATATATTTTAAATATATTGAAGTAACTACACGCCAACAGCGATTCTATCCTTGTACAAAATAATAATCCCGATAGACATCTGGCGTCCAGTCACACGGTTGTCGTTCGTCGGTTGCAGCTGTTCTGCGACATCACGTACTCGGTGATGTCGTGCACGGAGGCGGAGGCGGCGCGCTACGGCGCGTTCCTGTGCCGCGTGCTGGGCACCGCGATGCGCTGGCACGCGGACCGCGCCGCGTTCCACCGCGAGTGCGCCCACTACCCGGGCTTCGTCACCAAGTACCGCGTCTCCAACCAGTTCACGGAGGCCAACGACCACGTGGGCTACGAGAACTACCGGTGGGCGGGCTCTCCTTTTCATTATCGACTAGCCGCTACTAACGCTGAAGACAAAAATACATATACACACGAAAATCTATACAGATAAATAAAATTGGAGTGTCCGTTTGTAATATTAAAATAACCGCTTTTTACTAAATGCATATGGATGTATACACGGTACATATACCTAAATAACATTTTTTACAATTTTTGTCTGTTTGTTCCGGCTAATCTCTGAAACGGCTGCAACAATTTAGACTGGGCGTTCACTGGCAGATAGCTGATGTAATAAGGAGTAACTTAGGCTACTTTTAGATTTTTTTTTTAAATTCCACGCGGGCGAAGTCGCGGGCACAGCTATTATGTATATAAATTATAGCCTATGTCTTTATTCTGACACTGCTATATTATTGTAAAGTTTCATTAAAATCCATTCAGTAGTATTTGCGTAAAAATAATAAATTGATATTTGTAAAATAAAAGTAGCCTAAGCTACTCCTTATTACATCGGCTATCTGCAACTGAAAGTCCCGTCAAAATCGGCCCAGCCGTTTCAGAGATTAACCGGAACAAATAGACAGACAGACAAAAATTGTAAAAAATTCCATTTTGGAAAATGTACCGTGTTTCGTTGCGAATGCATTACGCATGCAAGGCATATGTGCAAGGATTCGACTTTCGCGTGCTGCATGATCTATGGAGTAAAGTTGCTCTGCATCTGTGCTGTCGTGTAAAAAGTAGCTTAATGAACCGACCTGATGTCTAAAGTCAACGATTACAATACGGTAGAGCAACGCGACTGTACACCAACGTGCAATGCAAGCAAGATAGGAAGCATTTTGGACTGAGGCAGGAACGAGAGAACAATAGTTTCTATCATCTGAAACCTATATATTATGTAGACGTATTCAGAAGTTTACCGTGTATTACTTTATTCATTATTTTGTATTGTATAGGCATGTGTGCCACAAGTGGCACTACAAGATCACCAAGGCGATGGTGGTGTGCCTGGATTCGGGCGACTACGTGCAGATACGTAACGCATTGATCGTGCTCATACGGGTATTACCTCACTTCCCTGTACTCGCGAAATTGGCGCAGATCATCGAGAGGAAAGTCGAAAAGGTTGGCAATTATTTTTAAATGATTCTATGACAATATATGATTACTTCCGTATTGTGTAATGTTTAAACACATAGCTATTTATCGTATATGTTACAATGAGTGACGTAACTATATATTTTATGAACATATCTTAAAATTTTGATAAATATTAATTTTATTATTTAAATTAAATCAAAAGGAAATGGTTTGTTCCGTTTAACATATTATCGAAAATAAGGCCCCTTATCATATTGCAATTATTTTTAGTGTTATTGGTTAGGAATATTTGATATTTAGTTATAATTTTAACTTGTATAATATTTTGTTTTACTAGGTCAAAGAGGAAGAGAAAACGCAACGTCAAGACTTGTATGTACTCGCTACGGGTTACAGTGGGCAGTTGCGTAACAAAGTGCCAAATTTGATGAAGGAATGCGATTTTCACCAGGTAAAGTAATGCAACATAAAATATGTATAGGTACCTGAGCTACATGTATATCATATCTTATCTTATCTTTTTAAAATGAAATTTCAAATGTAATATTTTTATTTAAGTTCATTTAAATTCACTTAAAATTATTTAAGAAATAATTTCTTATTCCCATCTGACCTGAGTATTTGAAACACTGGCTATATAAATTTAAAAAAAAATATTCCTAGCTTAAATAAACTGCAATGAAATCAGTAAAAATAGTTTCATTTTTCAGTTTATTACCTACTGTTTCACTGAAGTATTTTTTAAGAGAAATTAAACTATTATTATTCAAATGTTTGGAAGCAATAAACTATTATTTTTGATTTTGATTTTGATTGCTTTTGGACTTTGAAAATTGCATATTTTTGATTTAAGGTTTCATACTGTCATAGATATGCACTTTACAATTAACAGTTTGATTTGGGCTTATTTTATAGGCTTAACTTATATGGATTTTATCATGTTTTAATGTTAATTTTAATTACCCGACATGTAGAACCTCTTTTGATTTGCTTGTCCTTTTTATTTCTTTAACTCTGCCCTTACGGTAGTATTATCCGCTTTTCAACCGACTTAATAAAAGTAGGAGGTTCTCGATTCGTTTGTAATTTTTTTATGTTTGTTGCCTCAGAACTACTTCATTTATGACCCGATTTTAAAATTTCTTTTTGTATTGGGTTTGCTTTAGCTACCAAGTGGTCCCATAATAATGTCATTAGTATTGGATCTTGGGCTCCGGAGATACTTCAGGGAAGTCCTGAAAATCACTACATAGTATAAAACAAAGTCGTCCCGCTGTGTGTCTGTCCCTATGTATGCTTAGATCTTTAAAACTACGCAACGGATCTTGATGCGGTTTGTTAATAATATAGAGTGATTCAAGAGGAAGGTTCATATGTATAAACACATATAATACATTGCACCCAAGCCAAGCCGGGGCGGGTAGCTAGTCAATTATAAAATGAATACATAGCGAGATATTTGAAGTCGGTTTTTCGTTAAATAAAATGGACCTGTGTAAGGACGTTTTACGAACATAAATTTCACCTGGACAAACACCCATATCCGAAACAATTATCTGTGGGTCACACACATAGTTGTCTCGTGTGGGAATCCAACCCGCGACCCCCGACGCCTAAGCCAAGGAGTCATCTTCGGTTCATCAAAGCACTATATCGTCGTGTATAAAGTTTTTATATACACCTAGATGGGGGATCAACATAAAGTAGCGGCAGCAGCCACTGCGCCTGCGCCTACCGTTAAAGAGGAAACGGCCATTGTTGTTACCAATGCCAAACAGGAACAATCGGAACCTGGCGCATCTCCACAACCAGTCGGTGAGGATTCTTTTTTATTACGAGAAGGTGTCAAGGGAGCTGGCGGTACACTTGATGTTAAGTGATAACCGCCGCCCATATGGACATTTGAAAATCCGTAGGGATACAAAGCGTTGCCACTTTTTCGCACCTTGAATGTCACCTTGGAAAATAAAACCCCGAAAATTTTCACACGTATCTTAAGCCTTGTAACTAAATCTGAGTACATCTTGAGCTTCTATGTATTGAAAAGTTCAACACAGTTTGCACTTTAATAATAATAATAATTAAACATGATTATTGTCAAATGCAAGTTTTAATTAAAAAAAAAAAACATATATTTTTCTTTTCTTAGATACAGACAAAAGAGAATCAAGGAACAGTGACAGACGTCGCGAAGAGCCGGAACGTGATAAGGAAACGAAGCGTGAATCGAGATCGTAAGCAGTGTTCATAAGCATTATACAATAGTATCGATTGTCGCATTATCACTTTTAACTAATAACGCATTAGTTCATGGACAAAAACTGTTTTATTTTGTACAGAATTTGTTCTGAAATTAAATAGTTTAATTACCTTATGTCGACGACGACGAGGGATAAAAAGGTGAATTTTACCACAAAAAAGAAAACTGGTAGTCTAAACTACGCAGGGAAAACTGTTGAATCATGCATTGTACACTGGCGTTCGAACAGTGATTTATACTAATAATTAAGTTTTTTCGAAACACGTGTCTGTTATTTATAATTTTTTTTTCATCTTATCAACCAATTTCACTTGGTGTTTAATTTGATGTGATAAACTTTGCTTCCACCACCTTGTATCAGAAGTTATTATTTAGTAATTATGTTTTTGGGATGATCATTTCTCATGCTATTCTACACATTTACAGGTCGCTTAAAGAGAGAAGTAAAGAAGAGATAAGAAGCAAAGACAAATCACCTAGAGAACGTTCACATAGAGTAAGCTAAAATGATCTTAATCTCTTATAATTTTTTACCTCTAGGAGTATTTTATAATATTAAATTCTGTTCAGGAGGAGCGTTATTTGGAAACAGTGTCGCCGCCCCAAGATCATCGACATCCGTCCGATGACATTGATCGTGGTGAGTTTTTACATTAATTGTACCTGCAAAAAACAGTTTTTTTTTTATTGAAGGTGCTACCCAACGAAATTGTGATGGGGGCTGGGACTATTGCCCTCTCGTTTGCTCCATCGTTTAAACAGTAATTTTCTTGCTTGCTACACATTCGTCATTATGTACAAAGTTACATACAGTATTAGGGCTTTTAGACTTGACCGCAACGCGACTTAACATGGTTACGATCAAGCGCGCAACTAGAGGAGGGTTATTGATTGTCAAGACTTTTTTTAAAGAATTTTTCAGAAGATTGCTTCTGAAACATTTGGTTCTCATGAAGGTTGAAGAGCGACTTACTGGTCTATCGTTACTAAATGACTGATGTAAAGTTTCTTCAGATACTCCAGTCTCTGACCCCCCTCAAAATTTAACCTTAGATCTGCGCCTGGTTGGAATTTATTAAGTGATTAGAGCGCAAACTCAGGCGAAACCAAATGTGCTGTGTAATAAAATTGCTTTAGGCACTGTTTGTTGCGTTCAGTACTATTATACAGGGAAGCTTTTTTAAAGGTGCCCAAATTTACACAGGAGATTCTAACTCGGTAGTATAATCGTTTATTGAAATAAAAACAATTTTTTTTTTGAAAATTACCATTCTATTCTCTAAAAAACAGAACTTGTTGACAACGCGGTAGTCATTCATAAATACCTAAATTTTACTGTTCACGCACAATGAACTTGTGTGCGTGTTAGTTATGAATGATCGCACGTAAAATAAATGAGTTGCGTATAAATCATGGACTTTTTGAGATAAGTTCAAATGAATGTAACAGTACTTAGGAATGATTTAAAATATTTATCATTTTTGTATAACATTATTTATGTCTAGAATTTAAAAAAAATGGATATACTTAGAAAAGCCTCCCTGTATCAGTAACCTGTAACCTAGGTCAGGTATTCAAAGCGATTTTTAACGCATGGATACTTTTGCAGATGTGAAGCGTCGTAAAGTCGAAAGCAGCGGCAATGGCAAGGTGAGTATTGTTATGATAAGCCGACCCTGCGCCGAGCTAGCGCCTGACTGATTGGACTGGACCGCGACCACGGCCGCGACAGGAAACGACCGATCTAAAAACAAAACAAAAATATATAAATGTAAAAATAGAAAACGTAAAAAAGTGCGAAGATCTAAAAAAGCGAAAAATTGTACAAATATAAAAAATAAAAAAGTGCCAAACAGTGTTCAAGAGCATCGGACTCAGACTGTTAAGTGCGAAGAATTCAAAGACATTAAACATATAGTGCGATTAATGAAACAAATTTAAATTCAATATCGAATCGTCTAAATGTCGTCTAAGTAAATGTAATGTCGTCTAAATACTTAAATAATAAAAAACAAAAAAAAATAATCATTAAAAAGTACAATAAAAAATATGAATCACCAAGAAATTGATGTTGAAACAAGGAAGATTCTGAAATTGATGGCTGTCATTGGAACGTGGAAGACTTCTGATTATTCGTCTTTCGGAGAATAATTGATAAGGAGAAGAAAATAATTGAAGAGGAAATTAAATGTTGCAGACTTTAATATCCCACAATTTATATAATTTAAAATCAATAATCATGGAGTTTTTAATTATTAAGAAGGAAAATACATGATTGAAGAGAAATTTAATGCGATCATTGTTCCTTATTCAAGATTCCTGACATGCTCAACAGTAGTTATAATGGTTACAATAGAAGAGATTACATTATGACGTATGTAATAAACACAAATTACATATTGTGATCGACGGAAAATAGCTAACCTACTACAATAAACACTTGTTTAAAGAAGTCAAACAGTTTCAATGTAACCCACACGTGTACGCAACGACAAAGAAATTCTTTCACGGAAGAAGATCTAGTGGCGGATGACAAGAAGAAACAGGCAAGGAAAACAAAGAAAAAAATGAGAAACTATTCATTCATTCCGGACTCACGCCGATACTGAAGACATGGGTAATCTGCAAGGTTACCAACATTCCCCCTTCATGAAGATCTGCAAAGCGGATTTTATCTGGTGAAGCAATTTAAATAAAATAATTAGGACTCATAAAATATAAATAATCATAATGCTCTGTCGTAAGTCCAATCAGCCCAGTCCAGTCGACAATTGGTAAGGTTGACATGAATTCGCAATGAGATTAATGAGTTAAAAGGAACAATGGAGAGCCCACGGCCAATATCGTCTCGGTTCTAGAAATGTCGTTACATTGCTTGGAAGCGAATCAAAACTATGATATAGCTACGAAGCCATAGAGCAACAACTGCAGGAAACTTACAGAATTTAGTAAACATCCAATCAAGAATACAAAAAAGCCATGAAAATCTCAGCCGAGAGGATTTATCAACACAAAATAATTGGACTGAATCATTGGATGGAAGCGTTAAATGATTAGTTGAAACAGCGTAGAAAGCTAAAAATGAGAAGTCAGTAGCAGGATTATTTCATTGTATCTTTTAACTCATTAATTCTTCAACAGTCTATGTGAGGGGATTAAATATGGTTGTTATTAGTTATATTATAGGCATATTTGTGTTTATTTTGTAATAGTAATGTGTAATTTCTGCGTGAGCAGGGTAGCAAAGAAATCGAGGAACGTTCCCCGGAAAAGGAAAAGAGAAAGTCTAAAGTAAGGGGCGATGAACGTAAAGAGCGTAAGATGAGTCGCAAAAGGGTAAGCATATTTACATGTTTTTATAGAAAAACTCATTTAAATTTTTACTATGAATATTAGTAGAGCAGATGAACACCTCAATTTTTTTTTTTCAAATGATGATTAAAATGTAAGCTTTATCATACTGACGTTATTGAAATCATAAAAATGTTTGTTATTATTCTTTCAGTATTTATGTTATTTAAAAATCTTTTTCATAATTTAAATAATATTTATCGTGAGAAAGTAATATATGCAAATAAGAAATTTTCTATTCAGGATAGAGCTGAAGAATCGGCACTTTTAGAACAAAAAAGACGTCGTGACGAACAAAAACGTAAGTGTTACTTTCATATTCACCTTTAATTGGTCGGTTCTTTCTTTTAATAATAAATTTTGAACTTAATAATAAACATTGCTGAAGAAGCTATATATGTCTATATGTGTCTTTTAAAATTATTCTCGGCGGTCTTAAACGAAGAGAGTTAATTAAAAGTTGTGGTAAGAAGACTCGACCTCTTCAATGAAAATTTACGGCCTTTAAGGTTTCTTTTTTAGGTTTGAAAACTGATGAAAGTCCGAAGACACCAAATGGGGAGAATAAGCTTCATAGTATAGCCACAATCGCTAATGTGAGCTGTGGGTCCAAGAGACGTGTGTACGAGTTCATTGTCCTTATAAAACAACACTTTCTTTCTGAGCTATGGAGTTTCTCGCTATTTTTTTCATGTTAAAGACTTAAAAGCGTGCAGTAATACGCCGATTTTATTCTTTCACAAGGTCACCAGACCAGCCTTCCATGATGACTGTTCTACCATGATGACAACCGTAGCAGCCAAAAGAACTGATTCCTTCACCTTGGCAGCCAAAATTGTATTTAATTTTCGGAGTCTGATCACCAGATTTGTACCACTGCTTGGATATTCTTTTGTTTCAGACGTATAACGATAAAAGCGAGTTACACTCGTGATTATAATAATCGTGGCCAATCAGGCTTAAAGATCTTTAGAAGGGAGAAATCGTTAGCGACTGGAATCTATAATTGGAATAGCCATGAGTAGAAACCTTAAAAACCCAACTTGTTTTCCGTTCACAGAGGATATCTTTAGTATTTGCAATACACTGGGTAGTCTCCGGCCTGCCTATATGAGATCACACACTCCCGATCTTTTCTTCAGTTCATGGCGTTAGGTGTCATCTCGAATGCATGCTAGTTTATTTTCGAATTCTGCCCCACCTTATTATTTCAGTGGCAAATGAAGGACAAGATATTATTTCTATACAAGCTCGCTTTTGTGAAAAGTTGGCGAGTGAGCAGGCGGTTCACCTTAAGTTCAGTGATTACCTCTCATAGACATCTATAACATGGTGATGGTAATGATTACAATTCGTAAATTAGTAGGAAATATTTTAGTGCGCTTGATCAGCTCCATTTTTTCTTGGATCCCCTAACGACATCTTTAGGAATGCGTGTGCATTGAGGATGGTAAAACTTTCATAATATATTCTATTAACCCCGTCTTATTTTAATTTGTGTTAATTTTTCAAACAATTTTTTTTCTTTTTCATTATTTTTGGATCAATCTCACAGATTTCATCGGGATTCCATTTCTTTTTGGCATTTTCGTTTGATTTTAAGATTGAAATGATGATGACGATCATGAAAGCATTGGCAAATTCGCCAGTATTTAGTTTAGTTTTCAGGTGAACTGCTTGTTCAGCATCCGACTCCAATCAAAAAAAGTATATACAACGCAATTGTTACCGGTTCTCTTTCTCCTCAATAATAATGTTTGCGGTTGCAGCTGTTGTCAAAATGGGAAATCATCAGAACGGGTCACAAGAGGACCATCACTACGACAAGTATCATAAAAGGGTAAGGAGCGCCATTACCATATTTCAAATGTGTCTAAGTTAAATTAAAAGAAAGAAATTAAGAGTAAAACTTGGTATGAAAAAATTAAAAAAAAACCAATTCTCATACATATACATTTAACGTACAAAAAGACATTTGTTTCCTTCACTTCTACCACCATCTAATATCAATGTACACACTTGAAAGGTCTATAATAATACAATACATACTTTTAACATACAAATGAAAGAAATACAAAAGAAAAATGTTGAAGAAAATACAATAGACAAAACCTGTTTGCTGGCTGCAGAAATAATGCACAAAATGACCTTCATGATTATCTTATCTTCATTATTATATTTGAAATATCTATATAAAATCGAATTTGATTACGACTTGGTCAATATTACTTTCGGACAACAAAGGATGGATTTCAAGTCGAGGCTTTTTGAAGAAGTGAGAATCAAAATAATCGACGAAAATTTTTCAAAAAGCACCGACCGTTGTAGGTCCTGACTCCTCACTTTTAATTCTATATACTCGAGCAACCTGAGTTCGATCCCCGGTGCCGGCACCAATTAAATCGTTAATTTTAAGTGCTGACTTATCACGTGCCCAGCGGTGAACGAAAACATCGTGAGGAAGCCTGCATAGTTTAAAACCTTTAAAATAAGTTGGCCCCGACTACCTCACTCACCAGTCGAAAGTATCATACTATTACTTCACGACGGCCTTCTGTGAGGCCGTGCAGTAGTCGAAGCTGCTGCGTGGCCCTACCATAGTACCTTCGATGTTTTAAAGTTTGCTGAATCAATTGTAGTATGGCTCGGGCACACGAGCAAATATTTTTCACTTTTTTACTAATCGAGTTGCTTGTTCGACTAATCACATAATTATGTAATTTCGTACTAATGAGTCGCTGAACACTGCACATCCAACCCGTTCATTCTTTCAACTTGAACTTTAAAACGTTTTCCCCACATTTGTTTTCTGAAATATTATGAACAAAGTGACAAGCTTCAATATTTCTTTACAACATTACGTATATTTCAGTTTTATAAAAATTAGACGATTTTTAGTGCAAATGGAGTAAATTTGGTAAGATAATTTGAAATTAACAAATAGTTACACGTTCTCGTGATTTAAGGCCCATTTACACGGTGCCAGTTTCTTGCCTGTTGTATACAATTAAATTGAAGCAATAAATGAGTTGCATGGTCTAAACAACAAATGGTCTAAACAATTATTGCGCGCAATTTATTGCATTCAATTATTGCTCTTGTATGTTCAAGAAAATGGCATCGTGTAAATGGGCCTTAAAGGCCCATTTACACGGTGCCAGTTTCTTGCCTGTTGTATACAATTAAATTGAAGCAATAAATAAGTTAAATGGTCTAACCAATTATTGCGCGCAATTTATTGCATGCAATTATTGCTCTTGCATGTACAAGAAAATGGCATCGTGTAAATGGGCCTTTAGTGTGCTTGTCAGTTGCAAGTTTTGCATTTCTAAAATACTCGAATACGATTTAGTTTTTATTTTTATCATCTTAATGAATTAGTTTTAACTCAACTCTTCCTATACAGGTCGATCCAACAGTTTAAAAATTTTATTTATTAGTGTCTTTGCATGTAGTTTTATAATGATTAGCAATTAATTTCACTTTTTGTTGCTATTTAATTTCACTTTATAATAAAATATGCTATATTTTACAAGTAATTTTTAATTTTATAATGGTTTTCAGGAAAAGTCGCCGTTTCGAGATCGCTCGCATGAAGAACAAAGGGACAAACAATATCCTTTTTAATTTAATTAATTTAATAATTTGCTATTTACGTGTGTACAATTTTTTCTAAAAAACTTTAGCAAATACTAAAAATGAACATTCAAAAGACAAATGTTTGAATATAGACGAACTAATTATCGTTTCTTCACAAGAAGAGGTTTTCATTTTGTGACTGGCTGTGAGCCTTTTGATGCTAGGATTAAAAATTCAGTCCATCAACGTCTTTCGCCAAAATAGACGTCACAACCTAGGGTAATGGTAATTGAAATTACCTGGTTTAAATCAGTGAAATGGTTTAATGAAACGAATGACTTATTATAAATAAAATGTCAATTGCAGTTGCGTCTCCCGCAGATTGAAACAGTAAGATCATAAAGATCTAAATATTTTGATTTGTTTTTATAAAAGTCCTGAATTTTATTAACCCTGTATATTTGTATACGCCTTAGGTATACGATGATAAGACCCACCTCTACGTTGTCGTGAAATGTGTATATTATAAATTAACTCTTTATTCTATTTAAATATGTATTAATTTAATATACATAATTATCTTGTATACATCTGAGTGCTTGTGATGCATCAACATTTACAATTATATACCCTTAATGAGAAATACCAGGCGGACAAGCGACTCAAAACTAAGAAGATAAGACAGTGACCGGAGATATTTGAGGATGGAAGAGGATTTTTACAAATTACTAAATGCAGGAATTATCCGAAGTTTTAAATAGAATTACGCATAAGAAAAGAAATAAATTTTGTGTTCTAAGTGTCATGTGTGTTGTTATTTTATATTATTTAAAGGAAACGAAATATTTGTTTTTTGTGAAAAGTTGCCAAACGACCAGACGGTTCACCTGATGTTAAGTGAATACCGCCGCCCATGGACATCTGCTATACCCGAGAGTTCCAGATGCGTTGACAACCTCTTGAAAATTGGGCTCCGGTCACCTCACTCACTAGACGAAACGCGAAAGTATTTGTCATACTTCCACTTTACGCCGGTCTTCTGTGAGGTCGTACGACCCGGACGAGCCTACCCATTCATGCAACAGCCGAGGCTGCTGCGTGGCCCTACCACCGTGATATACACGTATTTGTCCTACTGTTGACATTTTTTGTACTTATCGTGTTAGTATCATTCATTCATAACAAGATTCTTCCTCAGAAACCAGAAATTGTTTGAAAGAATAAGTTCTCAGATTTGAACCGACTAAAAAGTATTGTTTTGCATCAGTTGGCCTCAGAAAAGTGCCTAGCCACGTAGCCTCGTCGGCGAGAACGTTTGAGGTCTATTGCAGAAGAACCCTGTCCTTCACCTTTAAATTAGCTGGGCTGGAAAAGCAAGAGCCAATACTTCGAATTACGAACTCCCACGAATCCGCTAACTGCAGACTGTGTTTGACGGGTCTTTATGAGCATATAAACCACAAGCACTGGTTTAATTTGTAATATATACTTATTATAATTTATATTTGCTCTTTAGTAGGCTGGGTGGGATATGTTTTGAGTATTTGCTTTTTTTTTTTTTATCTTCATAGAATTTGACTTCTATGTCAACTGATATTTAGCGATGATGGAGTCTTAGATGGTAATCGTGAAATCCTTCAGTAATTTGTTCTTTTTTGTCGTACGTAACTACGTACTACTTACTAACTAAATAAACGTTTTTTTTTTAATCTGCAACAGGTCAACAACACGAGTTGGAAGCGTGCTAAGCGTCCAAAAGGTGGAATAAGAAATTAATATTTGTTGTTGCTTGGTGAAAATTTGAACCTATTTGGCAGCTTTATAGCAAATATAGTAGCAGTATATGGATACAATCTCTATTCGAGTATTAAGTGCCGCCGTATCTTCTAACCGCCTTATTATTTTCAGCTTTTTTTATTATTAGACCAGAATAACTTTCCGTTCAACTTCGAAGAAACGCCTACACCGAATTACTTAACCCGGTGTGTGCAACAACGGTACGCCACGACCCGTGGACATGATTGTGTTTGGCAAGCATTAAAATTTTATAATATTGGCATCGCTCCAATTAAAGAACATCTGCGGTGTGAGTATAGGTCCTATTTATAAATAAATATTTCAGGACAATTTTTACATAACGTTTCCTAGCCCAAAACTAAGCAACGCTTGTACTATGGGAATTGAAATATGGATTAGATAACGGATAAACTTACTTGAACATACTTTTCTTTTGTAAATAAATACATAATAAGTATATAAATACCCAGACACTAGAAAAACACTGTTCATCACACAATATTTTTCCAGTAGAGACTATCGGTTCGATAGACTCTACTGGAAAAATATCACACCCTCTTGCGCAAGAGGCAGGGTCACTACTCATTAGGCCAACGTAATTCTCGGTTAGTAACTTATTGGTACATCGTTACTATTCAATCTTTGTGGTATTCCCTCTGATTAACACTCTGTCCCGTCCATTAATAACTAATTTCAATAGGGAAAATGACCACAATAAATTCCATCTCTTCACTGGCGGCCCTAAACCATTCAAGAGAATCTTATTTTTCTCTCCACTACACGGCGTCCCTAAAGTGGATTCCAGTCTGTTCGGATGGATTTTTTTTATTAGTTGTACGGAGAATAATATACAGCGTGTCGTTACCATCGCGACAATAAATGAACACACGTCTAACACTACTTGCCAATCATCATAAAAAAATATTAACGTTAAACAAAATCCATAATTAAAAAAAAATATTTATTTTTTTATTCAAACAAACTAATCAAGTAAAAATCAAATGGTGTCGTGGGACACCAGGTAGGAACGAAGTTCCTTCGGCTGCGAATGTAGAATCGACACAAATTGCAAAAAAATCGTGCTCAATTTTATGTAGGTTTTCTTGATTTTTCTCTTAAATTTTGCTGATTAGTTTTTATTTAAGTACAAGAAAGTATTTAGGAAATTCAGTATTTTAGGAAATAATAAATTACTTAAAATAAAAAAAAACATCGTAATTCAAATTATCAACTAAAATAACAAAATTATACACTACTCGCTTGTGTATGCGACTGTCGCGCCTGCGCACGTCTCATTTAACGGTTTTATTCCACGCACTTTTTTCCACGGATTTTTTCTTACGGTTTTACTATCACATTTTTTTCAGTTCGGTCGCGCCCTTTCCCCTCCCTTTCCCCTCCAAGCCTGCAGTAAGGAACTTCGTTCCAAAAAAAAAAAACAAAATTTGTAACATCCTATACAACTCGCGCCACAGCGTCGCATTACAAGCCTCTCCTTCTAACAGTATGTTTTGTCTCTTTTAAATTCATTCAACCCATTCATATGCTTTGTGACCTTTACAAATGAACTTTACGTTACAGTTTTATACGTAAAGAGTGTTCTAAAATTGTTTGTTTTGGAAAATTTAATAACTCTGTAATTATTGATGTTTGAAGAATGTAAATGTTTAATACAATTTTAAAAATTTATCCTCTATATGTGTGTTCATTTATTGTCGCGTTGGTAACGACACGCTGTATAACGAAAAAACCATTCCATACTAGAGCTTGGTGCTCACCTGTGACGTATTACCTAGATATCATTCTTTTCATTAATGTTGCATCTTTGTCAAAATCATCAGTCGGATCTTTTGTTAATGACCAAGATATGTGAAAGGGATTACCCTCTTTAAGCAATATTTTTCAAATTAACATAAAAAGTAAATAAAAACGGTACACTGTATTATATGTATATGAATATTTTTCATTTCCTTTGAGAAAGCATAAGAAAACAGCTAATTATGTATCGATGTCTTGTTATCAATTTTTAACAAAACCAAAATAAAAAATTAGGCTTAATTCACACACGGAAAGTAGTCTCCAAAGCTCCCTAGCCGAATATCATCATATCTTCGGCTTAACTTAGACGGATTACGAACTACCCATAAAACGATTTGTCAATCAGACTAGTTGATGCCAGTACCATAAAATAAAGTAAAATATATTAATAACTATCACTTGGTAAAGCCGTTTCACGATATTTACTCTGTTAAAGGTTCACTAGCCCAAAAGCCTTTCAACGGGCGTAGGAACAGACATTTTCTCAACAGTTTAGTACCGGATACCTTTATGGATAAGCCCTCTTAAAAGGGAAATTGGATAACATGTAATTTACTATAATAGGTATTTATCAGAGAACCCTAATAAAACATGAAAGCCGCACGTTCATACTAGTGATCGTTAATAAATAACACCACAACTCACACTGACAGTAATTCGGCACATATAAACAAATTAATGATAGTATGTGACACGTCTGTGTGTACACTGACAAACTGGAAACAAAAATTAACTTATTTATTAGGTCAAATAAGTCTATACTAATTTGTACAATACGCCAGTTTCGGCGTTTCCAAAATATAGCAGCACAAGCACCCACATTGAGCGCTCTAGGTGACAAGCCGTTGCAGTAATGCCAAACGCTATCATAATTTCAGCCAGTTTGAGTCCACTGCTGAATATAGGTCTCCCCTATGTACTGCCCCGAAGTGCGATCCTGAGCTAACCGCATCCATCGACATCCCGCACATTTGTACGGGTCGTCACTCCATCTAGTGGGGGGTCGTCCAACACGACGCCATAATAAATGTATTATCCATAATTTTTAGATAGTTATTAATTATTTCATGCGCCCTTTCAACTCTTGCCTTAATTTTTAGATTTCTGTGGTATTCAGATTCACAATGAATAAACTAAAAAATAAATTCCACATAGTCATCATCATAATGAGGGTATCATATCTTTACACAATATTTGAATACGGGAAATAAAAACAGTGAATAACAAAATAAAATCTATATCTCGTCTCGATTTAAAACTTCTTTCACAAGACGTTTTTGCCCTTTTTCATTAAGCTGTGTCTATATTAATGTTGATAATTTTTGTGATATAAAAAACTACAACGAGACAAGCTAAGTAAAAAGATTCTCCTAGGCTAACTTACTATCGTCGTTGTACGATGACACCGCGGTTAATGAATGGTTTTTAAAAACGGTTTATAAAGAACTCATAATCAAATGTAAAATAAAAATATCAATGGTAAAGCAATTTACCTTATAAAATGAAATTATTACATGCAAAATCTTTAATTAAATTAACTTACATGACATCGTGTCATCCACAGGACTTCAACTGAGAGCCGTCTCGCGGCACAGTTTATTAGCCCCGCGCCGTCACGGTATAGTTTTTCGTTATTTTATTTTGGAGCGAATATAATGCTTTCATATTTTATTTGCGTACCCTGGTCTTTACTTATGAAATTTCCCTTCTTCAGTACTGGACATTTAAAGCAAAAAAAAATAGTTTTGATTGTCTGTGAATTATAAATTCAAATTACTTAATTCTATTTTAAAAACATGAAATTCTTCTTTTTACAAAGTCAGTCTTTTGTTTATTAATTAGGTTGGTATTTTCATTACAAACATTTATCGTCATAATGGATCCCTTAAAAATTCGTGTTATTATGGAATATGAGTACCGTCGTGTGGCACAAACGGCAAGTAACATAAATTACGTTTACGGAGCGAACTTTACAAACGAACGCACAATCTGTTGGTTTAGCTGGTTCAGTTCTGAAAATTTTGACTTTAAAAATGAAATTGGTGTTCGTCCGGACACTGGT